GGAACAGTTGTTGTATTGTGTATAGATTGTATGTCCTTTCATTTCTTAACATTATATGATTGTAAATGCTAAACAGCCTCTATTTCACATTGGGAGCCTAAACCACGCCCATCTACTTCTGGATCATGGGTCCCTGGAAAAACGAAAAAATCTATGCAAGACAATGGAGCTAAAAACGCTTTTTTCTAACTCCGCTTGTTCTGTGCCATGGATTTCACATATGATGTCCGTGAATTTTAAAGACACATCTAGATACCAAGAACGCTTATTTTTGAACGTAAGGCAAAGCAAATTAGAAAATAGCGTTTTTAGCCCCGCTGACTTGCATTTGTTTTTTCCTTCTTCCGGGGACCCATGAGCCGACCGGAAAGGGAGGAGACTTGGGCTCCCTATAGCACCTTCTAGGGTTCGACAACCCCCCAAGGTGCTTTACAACATAACAGCCATTCACCCACGCACACACACTTTCACACACTGGGGATGATGAGCTGGGGCACACTGACAGAAGCAAGGCTATCGTACACATCCAAAAGGGTTTTAAATGAAGGCAGCTGAGGGTGTTTCACTTCTCATCCGAGGAGCTTGGGAGAGTCACGCTTATAAGCTGTAGCTGTCTGTGCCGCCAGTCCCTCTGAACACCATCAGCAGGTAAGGAGGGTCAAGTGTCTTGTCCAAGGATACAATGACTGTGACAAACTCAGCAGCGCTCAAACCTGCATCCCTCCAGTCAGAGGCGGGCACCTTACTCCTCTGCCGCTGTCACGTTTCGTCATTTAAAACTCATGAAAGGAAAGTGGAGGGAACGCAGGACCAGGGGTATTCAATTCCGGACCTGGAGAGCCGGTGTCACGGCCTTTAAACTTCCAAAAAACGATTTCCAACCAAAGGCCGTTGGTGAGAACGGGTGATTTCCTTTAAGCACGCACTTTTAGACTTGATTTCTTGCAAATTTTATAAATGGTTTATTCTTCCAAAAAAAAAAAGTTTCAAAATTCATTCAAAATTTTCTACTTTCCATCCAACGAAAATTAACCTTAAATTAAATTATCAGGTCTAAAAAATGGTCAAAAAATAATTTTACCAAATCCTTCCATCTTCCCTGACACTTGACAAACATGTTTTACACACGCCTCCCCATGTGCTACTAATCAGCTTAATGACTAAGGCGTGTCCAAAAAGTTCACAACTACATAAATTTACCAAAAAATTAAAAATTAACACATTTAAATTGCAAACTTAACTTATTATAAAAGGAATGATAAGAAATTCTAAAATAAATTTATAACTAACTAAACTTATGCTGTTTTACTGAAATGGCCACCACAGCCGGTATCCAGCATATTTTAGTGGATGATCTGCTCCACCACACATGATTCAGTAGTTGAATCATCTGTTCAGCAGCTCATCAGGCTCAGCAGAAGCCTGTTAATCACCTACTTACTGAAATCAGGTGTGTTGAAGCAGGGTTAAAACCAAAACGTGCTGGATACCGGTCCTCGAGGCCTGGAATTGAATAGCCCTGGGCTAGACCTTTCATCTTTAGAGTGTGGGGTGAAGTTAGTGTCCAACTGTTGCTCATTCATAATCAGCTCACCTGTTTTTGATCCTGCAATCACCCTCCCTCTATAAATCGGGATTTGTGACTAGTGTTCTTTTTATTGCTGCATCCTCAGTTTATTATTCTGCTGTTAAAGTGTTGCTTTGGTCATTTGGTCTCCACAGAAGCAGGAATCCGAATGACTTCTTGAACACCTCTTCCCAGTGCTGCTGTAATTCCCTTTCATTCCTGCAGAGCTGAATCAGTTTGACATCACCTACCTGCGTTCTGCCTCTGCTCTAACGCTTAGACCCGATCACACGCCCGCATTTCAGTCCCGCAGACGCCAGCTCCACCAGAGGAGTTACTCTGCTGCTTTTAAAGTCTCAATTAAAGGTAGAGCAGGCGCCGCCCCTGCTGATCCACATCTGATGATGCGTACACCTGTGTAAAGAGAAAGGGCTGGATTTTACTCTTGTTACTTTAGTTACAGAGGCGCCTTCATCTCCTTAAATCCAGTCTTAATGCGGAAACCTTGGCTCCAGCAGAAAATCTGCTTTTTATGGTTCTGGAAGGTGAAAAAGTGATGTAGACCCACCATGAAATGCCAGTAACATGACCATTACCACTGGGAGAGCGTTGGGTAGCAGCATGTGTTTGACGCTTGACTGTAAATGTGTTAACAGATCTACTTAAAATAATTTAATGTAACAGAGACACATCTACGCTCATTATTTTTCATTGAAAACAGAGCAAAAAATGCCAGGAATGAGGCGAAACATGCTTCAGAGGAACGCTTTGAGTTTGACTTTAACTCTTCTTCTGCCGCTTCTTAAATCCTTCAGCTCCAGAGCTATTAATAGATTGTTGATGTTACGTGAAGGACGGAAAGATGGATTAAAGTGGGTGGGAGTGAACTCCCTTTGAAATGGCTGGCAGAGTCAGGAAATGATTAGGCAGCCACAATAACGCCAATAATCACAATGGGGAAAACATGTTGGCAGCCAGGAGCGGTTAGCGTCAGGACCTCAGTGTGGTTCTCATTTCATGATGAAAGTGGCAGAAGAGTTTTAAGGCCAGGATGAACAATTAGGGGCTCTTTCTTTGTCGCCACACTTCTGACAAACACAGTTTATGCTAATGTCCACCTTAAAGGGTCTAAAGGTGGACAGAAATCATCACCAGTATTTATTTGATAACTCAACAGCGCTGGGTTGTGTTTGGACAGCAGTTGCTGGTGAGCAGCAGCATCACGTGGATCAGTCATTGTCATGGCAACAAACCACTGTTTTACTTTAAGAAGGTAAAGAAAAATTAAAAATTGTGTTATTGCCTGCTAACTTTGCAAATGCTGTTACCGGATTTTGCCCGTTTGGTGTTTAATTTTCCAGGTGTAAAAAAAACATGAACACTAGAACAAAGTGGAAGAAGCAGACGGCTCTGGTGTCTTCAGGAAAATAACTTCTGACCCCATCAACCTCTTATGAGACAGTTGGGTGTAAATCTAGAACATCCACGACTCAGACAGAAACATGTGTGTGTGAGCCCAGCTGGCTTTAAAAGTCTCGTTATGAAAGGGAGGGCAGGTTGTTTGAATAATCTGGGTTTAAATCAACGAAGTTGAAATGAATATTGCTCTTACAATAATCCATTGCAAATAGTAAGTGTTTGATTTAGCAAGTTAATCATTATCTACACTCATACACATCTTTATAAGATACAAATTAAGGTTAAAGTTCACCTCACATAAAGTTTAAAGATTCTTATTCACAGTGATCTTGTATCTGAAGGAATGTATAATCATTAGTTTAGAAAAGAATAAAATTCCTTTTTAACTATATACTTGACTGTCTGAATTACTACGGAGTGTGTTTATGGTCCCTGAACAAGTAAAAGTAACTATAATCTTCTGATTAAACTTCAAAGATCAATCAGGTTGATATTTCATATTTATATGGAATTATCACACCTTGTTGGTCGTAATTAATTTGCAGTAGTCACGCTATAAAGTGTGACCGCTACATATTTAAGGCTGATAAATCCAATAAGACACCCATGTAAATCCACCAGAGACTCCAGGACCCCACAAAGTAGTCATGCCCCCAAACTTTGGATTTTTCTAGTGAAACCCGACTCAAAACGTTACCGAGCCACTTATTCTGTCGAGACAATGCTATTAACTTTACCACAGTAAGTCAGTGTGCTAATGTTTGCTATGTAAATGAGAGAAAACACATCATTTGGCACATTCTTCTACTGTTTGCTCTGTTTAGCTCCTGCAGTGCATGCAGATGGCCTTGCCTACAGCTGCTCTCATTTGTTTCAGTCACCAAGCTAAAGGAAAATTACTTAAAAATGTTTTTCTCCTTCACTGAGTGTATTATCTTAAACAACACTGACTCTTTAAACGTACAGACACTGACGCAGATCAGTGGCGGTGAGGAGATGATTCATGATGTTGTAGCAGCATGAAGTCTGGCATGGACGTTGGCTCATAGGCATCATTTCCTGGTCCTTGTGAAGGACTCCTGTTATTTATCAGAGACTATTTTTTTCTTCCATCAACAGTAGAAATCTTTTTTTCTGGAAAAGTTGTGTTACCAGCTACATGATGGCAGGGTCCAAGGAAAGTGGTTGAATGAAGTCCAGTGTGTGGAATTGTTGCTCTGCCCTAAAACTGAATCGTTTATGGGATATTTTGGGGTAGTTCTCTGTGGAAAACTTAGGAATCTTAAAACTCTTTGAACAACTTCAGTTTGGAGAAACAGAGATTAGTTTTGTTCATATGGTGCTCTAGAATCTGGTCAAAGTGAAGCCAACAGAGTGAAGATCTGCAGTTTTAAAACACCTCTAGACTGAAAAAGGTCATAGTTGTTCATCTGAACAGTTTTAAGAAGCCTGCCGTTGGTTTAGTGTTTCGTGATTTTTCTGACAGAAATATATACTTTGTAGTTTGTCGCTACACATAGCAAGTTTTCCTCTGGTGATGCGTTTTCAAATAAAGAATAAAAAAAGCATCAAGCAGCAAACGTATCCTCCCAAAGCACTCTCAGGCAGCTCAGTCCTTCCATAGCCTCCCAGCTCCAGTCAGAGCAGCATGTGTTAACCCTTCCACATCCTCTGGATTATCTTGTTTTGACTTAATGTCAGGGTAATGACTGCTGTTAGCTTGTCGTCTCTCTTCCTTCAAACTCAGATCTGTATGAGAGGTATAATAGTTTGATAGTTCAGGTCATTTCTAGAAATCCCAGGATCTGAACTACACCCAGAATCTGATCTTACAGGACGGTTATTTGTCGTGTTGTTTTTGTTTTTAGCCTCTGAACCGACAGACCTGTGCTGTGCCAGCTCACATGCAGCCGTAGCCCACCAGCAATGAAACCACAAGTGATGCTCAGCTGCTTCTGCTCCTCCCTGTGGAGCTGATCCAGGTCATTTATTCTTCTTCTGTGTGTTTCCACAGGACCTCCAGGGAAACGTGGGCGAATAGGAAGAAGAGGAGAACCTGGTAAGTAAAACATGTCACCTGTTTTATCTGTTTATCTCTCCTTCTTTCCTCGTTTCCTGGAAGACGCATGTTTTTCTTCATCCCTCCTTGAATTTTCTGTTTTTCCGGGTGAGTGGATGAGTTGGAGCAGAGGGCTGGTAAAGGCAGTGATCCATGAGTCAGGTCGCTACATGTTGGGCTGCAGTTGGCCCTTCTCCTTGGTCCTACCCATCACGCGCCAGCATCTTGTTAATTTCGCCCATGTGGTTGGCGTAACGCTGCCCAGATGGGGTTCCGTCTCGCTGAGCGGTAGCAGCTGCAGCCTGATGAGTCTCACAACATCACTACTCACCCTTACCGAGATGTTCGATCCAAACCACAAAACGCTCGTCGTGAAACCAAAACAGCACAAGAAGATCACTCTTGCCAATCAAAAAGTCATAGTGACAAATGCTCTACACGTCTGAGTCATCCTGGATTCAAGTGGTTCTCGTTAACGGTTGGCTCTGCCTGTTTGATCCCGTGGGATGTTTGTCAGATAGGAACATTTCATGATTCATTGTTATGGATGTTTAATAGATCAAATATTCCCTGAACAAGTGAGTTTTGTTGCCCTACGCGTTTTGTTTATGTTTATGTATTTAGCAGACGCTTTTGTCCAAAGCGACTTACATTCGTTTGTGTTTTAAATCATTTTTCTTTTGTGTGTTTTGTTCCAGGCTTGATTTGAACCATAAACCCCCAGAAACATAACAGTGGTTCCACATGTTGTTGCTACGAGTTGTTTCTGTATTTGGATATGCTGGTACTTCCCGAACGAGTATCTCATAAAAACGTGGTAGTGTTGTTTCCGGCTGAAGATGTAAACACGCACGCACCACTAAGGAAAGTTTTCCGAAACAGCTGGACTCGGTTGTTCTTGGAAACTACAGTTAAAATAAGATTTCACCCATTCGTCCTTTATTTATAAAGCACATTTAAAACACAGCGTCACAGCTGACCAAAGTGCTGAACAAACAGAGCTAATTAGTCATAAAAAGGGGGAAGAACAAGGCTCCCATACAGTTAAAACAACACCACCATACACAATGCATAAGTCATAAAAGACGCTGAAAGTAGTTCCAGCCATAAGACTGGAATACAACTGGAGTAAAGGCTATATACCGTAAATCCTCTAATACATGCCCGGGCCTGTATTTGACTCAAGCTCATCAAGCTCCAGGCCTTTATTGGAAGGAGGGCCAGAATTAGAGGCAGGCCTCTATATCTATTTGAGCAAAAATGAACTAATGGTTCGCTGGAGTTTTTGACAATTAAAATTGCGCCCACATTTTCAAAGTTAAACACATTTCTTTTAACAACGGTAGTTTCTGCTTCAGCCCTCTCCCCCCTCCCCCTGCGCAGCGGCCGCAAACTCACTGATGCGCCTGCAGTCTCTCTGAGTTCCTGCTGCTCTAAACATTAAAATAATTATTTCATTTTCAGTTCCTCACTTCTGATTACCTTCAATGGTGTCTGTTTGTTGCAACCACCAGGTACAAAAACTAACTTGTTTTTATTTGACTATTTTTCTGTCCTGCCTGTTTATTATCTTCCTGCATCTCCTCTCAATCCTAAAGAAAAACTGCTACCTGGGTTCACATATATTCACCTTATGAGTTACCTTTGAACTGCAGTTCTAAAAGATCTACCGACCGCAAAAACAGCAGAGTGCTCGCTGGCCACATCAGTTAGGTGCGTCACCGAGGACAAAACAGGTGATGCGCCCCGATCCACAGCAGTGAAACGCATCAGGCGCAAATAAAAGACAGAAAACATTAAAGGAAATGAGCCAACATGAATGATCGCCTGTCAGTACCGATGCTCTGGCACAGCACGTCGGTCATTATCACGTGACAGCGACTAGTCGATGACAGGCGTAAAAAGTCACTATAGTGAAGTCGACTAGTTCATACAACCCCTGCTACTGCTCCCCAGAGTGTTCTGCAGCATAATCAGCACATTCTCTTTGAACTTGATATCAAATTTTCGCCTCCTCTTCGTCTCCGCACGGTTAAAGTTACCCTCGCGGTCTATCACTGGCAAATCAAAAGTGAGACGATGACACAACCGCCCCCGTACTTGCTTGTTACCACATTCCACCCGGCCACAATAAAAAACCAGCCATTATTCACCTCCGCCGACTCCGGCCAAAATATGATACCCGGCAGTTAATTAAATACCGGCCAATATTAGAGGATTTACAGTAAGAATATCGAGACAATGTTCCGAGGATATGGACGATGACAGGAAGGGAGGGGTAGTGAATTCAGGGGCCAAATGTCGTGCTAAAATAGTTTTTAAACGGGATTTGAACTCTGTCAGTAACTGAGGCAACCTGATGTGGGGATGCAAAGCGTTCCATAAATTATGCACGGCATAAGAGAATGCTCAAAAACTAGAATCTACTAAATAAATGACAATATAGATTTTTAAATGTTTCTCCAAAGTCTCTTCCCTTTCCGATCGGCTCACGGGTCCCTGGAAGAACAAAAACATGAATGCAACGGGGCTAAAAACGCTATTTTCTAATCCGCTTTACCTTACGCCCTGGATCACACCTATGTTGTACTGCAATTTAAATGAAAACTAATGATGAGTGTTTCAATCACACCATTCACGTACTTTGAGATTTATTAGCTTGTAAAAGTTCGTAATTAGCGTGTACGTTAGGTGTTGCATGACTTAATTTTTTTTAAAGTTGACTGTCAAGTAATGAAAATCGAGTCGACTTTGACTAGTCGTTGATGACGTCATACACCTGAAGCGGTGCTGGGGGGGGGGGGGGGGGGGTCAGTTGGTTCCCTGGAGTTTTTGACAATTAAAATTGCGCCCACATTTTCAAAGTTAAACACATTTCTTTTAACAACAGTAGTTTCTGCTTCAGCCCTCTCCCCCCGCGCAGCGACCGCAGTCTCACTGATGCGCCTGCAGCCTCTCGAAGTTCCTGCTGCTCTAAACATTAAAATAATTATTTCATTTTTTGTTCCTCACTTCTGATTACCTTCAATGGTGTCTTTTTGTTGCAACCAGCAGGTACAAAAACTAACTTGTTTTTACTTGACAATTTTTCTGTCCTGTCTGTTTATTATCTTCCTGCATCTCCTCTCAATCCTAAAGAAAAACTGCTACCTGGGTTCATATATATTCACCTTATGAGTTACCTTTGAACTGCAGTTCTAAAAGATCTACCGACCGCAAAAACAGCGGGGTGCTCGCCGGCCGCACCGGTGAGGTGCGTCACCGAGGACAAAACAGGTGACGCGCCCCGATCCACAGCAGCGAAACGCATCAGGCACAAACGAAAGACAGAAAACATAAAAGGAAATGAGCCGACATGAACAATCGCGTGTTAAATTAGTTTTTGAGGTGGCGACACCTGATTTGATAATGTTACTGTGGCCGTGCTCAGGACGCAGATGTCTGGAGTGCGTCAACAATCAGAGCTTTGCATGCGCAAGCTGGTTAAGGTTAGGATGGGGGTGAGGGGAAGGTTAAATTGCAAGAGGGTAAACGTCACAATTTGGTTAATTGTCCGTTTTACGGTGGGTGTCAGTACCGACGCACTGGCACAGCGCGTTGCCTTCCGACACGCAGGAGCTCCTCACCTGCTGTCTTTTCCAAGGACTGCATCTTGCCGGTCATTATCACGTGACAGCGACTAGTCGATGACAGCCATAAAAAGTCACTACAGAGCAGTGAAGTCGACTAGTGACTAGTTCATACAACCCCTAATGTACGTACACACCAGACACATCGGTACGTCGCATATGAGATGTCACCACATAATCTCCTCTAGCGTAGCTGCTACTTACCACATGACCAGATTTATGGTGGTTCTTCCCTCCTGAAGGAAGGATTTGAAGTTTGCTGGACTTACAGCCAATTTCCCTCTGTTTTTCTCCGTGTCTGGTTCGATGACGTCACTTTCGTGAAGCACATTTATAGTCCTGAACTTATTTTCACACAAAACCTAAAATAGTGTTTCCGCCATTCGAGAATAAGAGCATTCATTGCATCAAACTGTGTATTTAAAATTGGCACTTAACAAACGGAATTAGAAAACAGCGTTTTTTTTTTTAAGTCCCATTGGCTTGCATTCATTTTTTCCGTTTCTCCGGGTACCCGTGGTCCGGAAGTAGATGGGCGTGACTTAGGCTCCCTATAAGTCCTATAGATCTAAGTTAAACAGAATAAATGTCAGTGCGGGGAGGCCAATGTGCATGTCTGAGGAAGCAGGGCCTCAGGAGGTTAAACCAGATGGCTCCTTGACCTGTTGGTGGAAATTATTATTTAGCTAGAATGCTTCAGTCATTTTAAGCAGATTAGCAACAAAGCTAGCTTGTAGTACTTCTGGTTCATCATGCAGCATTTTCTACAGAAACAACAAAATATTTCTGCCAGAAAAACAGGGGTTTTGCTAAATCGGTTAACTGATGGCAATATAAATATTTGTAAATTGAATAAACCTTCATGAAGAGTTTCAGATCAGAATTAGCTCTACTTAGACTAGCTGTTAGCTAAACAAATCCCTCTTTCTCCAAACTGAGGTCATTCAACGGGCTATCTACAACCGGTAAGATATTACCTATTTATAACCACTCTACTGGTTCTGAACTCTGCCTCTAAGACTCACCACAGTCGTGTGTGTATCAGAAGGAGCGAATTCTGCTGCTTCCCTGAGTTTTTTTAAAACCTTGTGTGAGTTGTCGTGAGGAGAGTCTGAGTTGCGCCATCTTCTCTCTGATGACTTCAAGACCACAATTTCTTTTTTTTTTTACAAGACCAGAACAGTTTTTAGTCCAAAACAACAAACGAGAGTGAAGAAAACCAGAGCAGAATCTGTGAATTACAGGAGAATGAGGCAGACAGATTAGTTTGTCTTTTGCTCTCCATTATCCCTATTATTTACCTTTATTATGTGTTTTCCTTTAATCCCCTGTCCCCTTCTTTTTGTCTTTCTTCCTCATTAGTCTACACACACACACACACCTGCCTGAAGCTCAGTGGTTAAATCTGGGCTGTGTTTCTCCCTGACCAGAACATGTTTGTTTACCTAACTGTCTGTATAAAGAAGGTCTTGTCAGGACGTCTAGACGTTCAGGTCCTGATTGGCTTACGGCTCATAAACACCCCTCTCCTACTCTCCATCTAATCCATCTATTCCCCTCCTTAGTCCAAAATCACTTTAACTCTTTGTGTGTTTGAACATCACAGTTGAGCTCCAAAGCATTTCATGCGCTGTGACTGCATTAAATCCTATAAATCAGCATTGTGATCAGGACGAAACCCGAACCAGATTAGCCAATAATCCAAATGAAAACGCTCGATGGCTGAATAATCCGTTCACTTTGCAGAGGTCTGTGTGGTTTATTAGAGCCCTCAGCTTCAGCCCTTTTTAGAGAATGTTTTTCTTTCTATTCAATTACGAGCGCTGAGAAAAAGGGGAGCTCTTTGATCACTGCTGTTGTTTTCAGTTAAACTAAAGTTAGGAAAAACAGAGCGTACGGTTCTGCTGCCGAGGCTCAACATCAGAGCATTTCAATCACATCTGAAAGATTGCCCCGGAGGTAAGGAGGGAGGGGGGGACACATGCTTTCTCGACCTCTCTCCATCCCTGCTTGTCCTCCGTTTCTCTCAGACACACGACTTTCCTCAGAAAACAAAGTCTTGACATGACTTCATGTCCTAATTTAAAACATGTCCCATACAGAAGTCTGTTTATTACAACGACTTCACCACAAACTGGGCTGGCAGCAGCTCTAATGAGCTTTTTCTCCACCATATTTAGAGGTTTAATTACAGTCATTATCTAACGAACCACATGGCATGCACACTTGGTTTGTTGGGGGACCTGGTGGCTGCACGGACCAGAGGAAGTCGCACGTGCTTCATAAGTCAATAGAGAAATAAAGACTTTCTAATCACCCCGTTTGTCTCTCTCTCTCTTTTCTGTTTCAGGGCCTCCTGTAAGTACGCTTTCATCTCATCCAGGTAGTATTGAGTTAGTCCAGTGGTTTTGACCTTAAACATGAACACACACCACTCACGTCCTTCCTGGCTGTGGCCCGCAGACCGCTCTACAAACAGCAGGTCAAACACACACACACACACGCACATAAACAGAGACCACCTACAGCAGTGCACGTGTGCATTGTTTCAAGCACATCTAAAAAGAGTCTGCTCTGTTTAGGTTAAGAGTCTGGATTTCTTTTTTAAGTTAATTTTCATAGGTATTGTTATGAAAGCCGTTATTTCCAGCTTTAGTTCTGTTATTTTTTTAAAATCGTTAATCCGCTCACATGTGGCACTGCTCAGATGTGAATGCACCATGACGCTTTTCCGGAAACACCAGAGCAGAAGACTGTCCGTGCATCTGCTTTGCACTAAGAGTCCATGAAACAAAGGTGGATTTCTTTGTCCTGAACAAGTTATTTTTTTCTTTCACCCCCCCCCCCCCCCCCCACACACACACACACACACACACACACCACCCCCCATCAAGGTAATGCAGTCACCTGCTGCTCCTCATAACATCAGTCTGTCAGCATCAGAGCTGTCAGTGCTGTTTGAGTAAATGGGGCAAAATTAAAGAATAACAGCTGAAAATGCAGTTAAAGCTCAGGTTAATGAAAGGTAGAAATAACAGAATAGGTTCCAAAAGCAAGGTTAAGTCCTGTTCTGTGAAGTTTTCACTTTTTAAAATCAGTTTTGAAAGATTTTTTTTCAAAAGTGACCTTTTTGCTCAACTCTGTGAACATTACACATTACACTGGTACGAGAGTATGTCTCTTTTCAGAGTAAAAGTCACATTTTAACACAAAGACTTGATGTAAATTCAGCCTGACTTGTCAGTTTTGTGCATCGTCGCTTCATTCTGTAATGTCTAACCCCACCAGGGCAAATCTGGACGAGATGGATACCCGGTAAATGTTATTTTTATTCATCCTGTCTCTCTTCAGTTCATCCCTCTCAGCCTCTCTGCTGTTTTCCTCTGGTTTTTTTTATTTTGCTTAAGTCAATTTTCATCTTCTCATTCCTTTTTATACAAATGAATCAGTTTTCTTTTCTTGCTTTGTTTTGTTTTGTTATTATTTCTTTGTGCAATTTTAAGCTTTTGTAAATAGAAACTAAACTATCCCGCCCCATGACACAAAACTTTAAGAATATACTTTTTTCTTTACATTTCTGTTCAAGATTTTTTATACTAAATGATGGCAATTTGATAATAATAATAAAAATAATAATACTTTATGTAATTGTCTTTGTATATGTTTTAGATTTTATTTATTCATTTATTGATTATCGGTGAGCTCTTGTTAGTTAAATGCTGTAACAGCTGATCAGAAAGGATTAAAAACAAGCAAATTTATTCCTTGTTAATCGTGTAGTTAGTGCACATTTAAAACAAGTCAGCATGAACACACATAATTATATAAGAATATCATCTGTAAATATAACTACATGGATGGATATAATTCATGAATGCTGCCTCTAGAAAGGTTTAATATTCTTTAAAGTTGTAATGTTATTCTGTAATCTAGCGGCCTCTAGTGGTGAGGGATAAAACCGCTCCTCGCCTGTTGTTGGTTTGCGGCTCTTTCCTCATCAAACTCTCATCATCCAACACAGATACATGACATTCAGCAGTGGGTCACGAGCCTGGAAGTGAGGGTTTGTTTCTCATCAGGTTGCCATGGCAATCCAGTAGTCGCCCGTTGCTCTGCTCTACATTGTCTTGTTGCTCCTTGTGTTGTCTGGGCTGATGCTGGCCCCTGTGGGAACACTGGGATGGGACTGGGGGGGGGGGGGGGGGGGGGGGGGGGGCAGATTCCCATGCAGTCTGTCTGGCACTGCGAAGCACCACTGACGGGAAATGCCTGCTGCTAATTGCACACAGGTGGATGGAGTGCACAGATAAGTGTGAGCACATTTGTGTTTGCTTGCCTCTGACTCTGTCCATCTTTGCCACCGTCTTCAGGGGACATCCTGCAGATTTAGTTATGGTCATCATCAGAGGCAGAGAATCTTCCAAAGCTTTTTAAAGCTGGACAATCAGGTTTTTTCCACCACGTCTTGCTAGAATCGTTTTATTTTTACTGTTTCATGTGTGTGTGTGTGTGTGTGTGTGTGTGTGTGTGTGTGTGTGTGTGTGTGTGTGTGTGTGTGTGTGTGTGTGTGTGTGTGTGTGTGTGTGTGTGTGTGTGTGTGTGTGTGTGTGTGTGAGATGACTAAAGAGCCAGTGTGGAAGGAGTTAGAGTAAATTAATCATAGTGACAGCTCACATGAACATCGTTTAATTGAACAGCAGCAGGATGATTAAGTTTCCATCATGGAGCTTTAAAGCAAGCATTCTTCCTGTTGGGAGGTGGTGGTGTGTTTGTGTATTTGTGTCCGCACGTGCAGATGTGTGTGTGGACTCGGTCCAACCATGTCTCTACATCTCTGTTCCAGAGGAGCAGTAATCAGAGGTCTGTGAGTGTTTTTGCACCTCTTTACTCACATGCACGAGGAACAGAAGACGCAAATGCATCTAAAAATGTACAATTTTCCTTTCTTCTATTATTCTCTATAGACAGAAACTAGTTTGGGCCCATGAAAATGTTTTTAAGGAAGTAAAACCTTCTGTAATTGTCCTGTTTTGCAAGAACATAAAACACATCAATGCTGCAAACGTGCACATTTTTCACAAACAAGAAGGTAAAGAAAGTGAAGTCCTGTAATCCTTATTATTCAGTATTTATACGTTGCTTGGGCATTATGCAGACTTCTTTCATCTGAAAAACATTTACTTTCAGTTTGTTTGCTAAGCACAGCTGAAAGTTCAGCATCTGTATTTGCACAGGGAAGGTTTAATGTACAGGACTTTTGGTAATTAGCATTTTTGTGGCGCTACCGTTAATGTTTAATCACAAAATACACGTTAACAAAAAGATCTGCTCTCCATTCCAATCACACAGATTTGGTACGTAGGACTCGTTGCGTAAATTGACAACAAATTCCAAAGTTGTGAATAAAGTTAGTTTTTGATCATTTCATATGCCTCAACCCATTCACAGTTTATTCAGATTTTATTTGCAGTTTGATCACTGAGCCCATCGCAGAAACTAACATGAGCAGGTTCCAAACGTCTACACTGTGAAAGCAACGCTTTCAGGATTTATTACAAATGTTTTGAACATGTTTTAAATTCTGTTAGCAGAAGTGCGGAATTCATACACACACACACACACACACTTCTACATGTATTACAACACCATAGCTCAAGAGTTTAGAGGTAAAGCCGTCACTCCAGTAGTTCAGACTGGTGACTTATTCATAGCTTTGATGCTTTAAGACATTAAAACACGAATGGTGAATCTTGGGGAAACGCGGCTAAAACCACAGGTGCTGTTTTTACTCCTGATCTGTGTTCCCAAGTCATTTGTTCACTCCAACTGTCTGACTCGTTATCACGATGTGTGATTGTGATACTCCGCACATGTGCATGCGTGTAAAAGCCACATGTCATCCAGGTGAAAACACATGTTGAGTTCATCAGACTAATACATGCAGCACCTCCCACAGTATGATAAACTGTGTGTGTGTGTGTGTGTGTGTGTGTGTGTGTGTGTGTGTGTGTGTGTGTGTGTGTGTGTGCGTGTGTGTGTGTGTGTGTGTGTTTTCTCACCTCATGCAACCCGTGTCACTTCTTCCTTATAAATCACAGCCAAGGAGGCTTTCAGAATCGAGCCTTCCACGCTGTCAAATAATCAAAGTAAGACAGACTGACAGACCGGTGCAGAGGGATAAACACACACACACACACACACACCATTTGGCTCTTGTTCATATGCACAGTCATCAGTGCATACCCGGCCACAAGCGTGTTTATGCAGAAGTGCCAGTGTGAGACAGACATGACTGAGCAGAAAGAAGCCAAGGCCTTCCAGGCTGCGGCGCACAGATTAAAGCCAGAAACATGCCAGTCATTTTGTGTCCCAAATACACATCTCTCTGGTGCTTTCCTGTGCTCTTTGGTTCAGCTTCCAGCACCTTTTCTGTTTTTTTTTTAAGATAATGCCGGGTTTCACAAATTGAACAAATGAAAAAGTGCAGACAAGCATGAAGGTAAACTGAGAAAGATAAGGAGGAAAACATACTGAGGATGAAGGACGAAGGAGAAAAGCTCCTCTCACCACCCCCGTAATCTTGTTTCATTTTATGGCCAGAATTAAGCTAACGGAGGCTAAATTGCTGAACACATTACCACGTGTGTTTGTAGGCGAGACGTCTGCTCTGATGTGCAGACACCTTCATGCTGCATCCTCGACCATTACACACTGCTGGATAATCACCAGTCTGCACCGCAGAAAGTACAATAAAGACAGTAAACACACCTCCTGGGATTTTTCATTGGGCTTAGCAGATACACTCAGGCTAACACACACACACATACACACACACACACACACACACACACGCACACAATTCCTTCTGCAGCCCAAGTCATTTTAAAGAGACTAATAATCATTTTGGAGGTCGAGTTTTAGTGTAGATGTTCAGAGCTAAACCTTTTGAACCCAGTCTGCAAGCTCTAAGCTCTAATTGCAGAACATATAACTCATCCTTAACAGAAATAATGGAGGAAGAGGAAACAGTGTTTTCCTGTCTCCCAAAAACAATCCGATATTGTAATCATAGTAAAGTTTCCTGCCTTTTCCTGAAGGTTGTAAAGCAGCACGGGCTGCAGGAGAGTATTTATATCCATTTGTGTGTTTCTTGATGGCATTACAGCACCAGATATAGGACTGGCATAGTTACTACAGTGTTTAGAGTTTTTCCAGGCACAGGGCCTGATATGATGTGGGGTTTTAGGTTTTTTTTTTTTTTTTTTTGCTAGGCGTATGTGTGCAGGGTGACGGTCACAGACAAAGGGATTTTCGTATTCCAGTTTTGCAGCAGATGTCTCTGAGACGGGTTGCATTGTGGCATTGTCACCTTGCAGCAAGAAGGTTGCTGGTCAGAATCCCATCTGTGCAAGATTAGCATAATCTCACCATACATGTGTGGGTTTTCTCCGTGTTGTCTGGTTTTCCTCAAAAGATCAAAAGCATGCACCTCAGGTTGATGGGTTGGTTGTCTCCGTGTGTTCCTGTGATGGACCGAAGACCTGTCCACCAGCTTCCTGCACCCACAGCGAGGAACTAGCTGTTCAGAAAATGAATGGACTTTAGAAACAAGCCAGGTTCCTCTTCTTTCTTAACGCTGGTCACTTTTTAAATCTTTGATCCGTTTGTTGTATGAGACAAAAAGTTTAGAGCAATCGCCACCTCAGCCTCAGACCATCACAGTTTAGCCCGTGTGCTTTGCGGACTATCTCTTTATGCCACACGGGAACGATGCTAAAAAAGGAAACCAAGAATATATCAAAGCTGCCAGGATCTGCTGTTACTGGATATTATGCAAGATGCTTCAAGTATTGTTGCTTTAAATATGTCTTTGAAGTGGAAAAAAAACCATCTTTACAATAGATGGCAGCTGGTAGACAAAACTCACTGGGGTTTTTAACTTCAGAATAAACCTTTCACACACATCTTCAAACAGGAAAAAGGTACACGGCCAAAGTTCACAGGCCGCTGTGTCGCTTGTTAGCAGCCATAAATCAGTCTCTTTTTGCAGCGGGCTCAGACTCTGCAGCAGCTGATGACCTTAAAACGTTCACCTCACCTACTCATCCTGCTTGAAGGAGCCGGGCCTCGATAAACGCTCCCAGATGCAGGGATACCACCACACACACACACACACGTGCGCGCGCGGTCGTAGATACACAAGGCACAGCGATCTGGACTCAGATAGCGGGGAAAACTCAGGGGACATTTGTAAACTCATCTAAACTCCTGACATGGTAAACACGGCGGGCATGCTGCTTTTAGTAGAGCAACACAACATTTTCTTCCTTTCTGCTGAATTTATTATCGGCTCAAACAAAAAAGGAGCATCGCCCCCTTACTCGTTAACCCTCTGGAGGCAGGCGTTGCAGATTTGCAACGTTAAAGCCTACCTACCTGGTTACTCCACATACGTACTTCACGAGCATTTTTTTACTCATAAGTACCCCTGAAGGACTTAGTTGTTCGTCCCTTTATCAAAACTTTTTTTGAGCCCGGGAACATTAAAGTCATTTGAAACGGCTGCATGATGGTGCAGTCTGTAGCATTCTTTCCTCTCAGTCAGAAGGTCACAGGTTCGAATCCCAGCTCTGGCCTTTTTGAGTGGAGTTGGCGTGTTCTTCTCATGCATACGGGGGGTCTTCCCGGGAACCCCAGCTTGCTCCCTCAGACCACAAAAACATGCTGGGTTAATTGTGAGTCACTTTTAATGAAAGTGTCTGCAAAATAAATAAACATAAACCTGAAAAGATCACTGTCAAATTACAGCTTCGGATCGGTCCCCGCCATTAGCTCCACGCTGGTCTGAGGCGCTAACTGCTGATTTCACAAGGGTGTTTAAATCAAACTAGAGAAAGAAGCTAAAACTTGTGTTTTTACAAATCCCTTTAAGTGCAAATGTTTCAAAGATAATTTACAGTCACTGTAGAAATAATCACACAGATGAGTCTGATCCGATTGTAACAGCTCAGCCATCAAAGACCAGGTAACCGTCAATGACAGCTCTCTGAACAACCCACTCGTTCAAGGGACCCTGTAACAACTGTTAGCTTAACGGGGAGAACGGTCTTTAAGGAGGACGTCAACATTATAGCCTTCACCACATACATCACATCTAAGTGTTTTTGGAAAGTTTGATTCCACAGCTAAGTGTTCCTTCATGTTTAAGTGGGGATCTGAAGGTTTAGTGGCTCCTCGGCTGTTTTTATTGAGGTAAACAAAGAGGACGATTCCAGCTGCTGTTTCTGCACTTCGGCGAGGCTCGGCGGAGCCGTTCTGAAGCCAGCTCCTCACCATAAACACACACATAAAGTGGGTCAGGATTTTTAATCAAATTACCTAAAAAGAAAGGAAAAACTTTTTGTCTTCCTCATCTCATTTCTTCCTGACTTTTTCTGGCACTTTTTTCATCTCACATTTCGACATTTTGATGTTCTTTTGTTTTTGCAAGTCCTGTTTGTTTTTAGGACAAAAAGATCTTTTATATTGTCTCAGAACAGAAAAGGGTAGGAAATACCAACAGGTGGCATAAGCTGTTTGGTCTGAGGATGTCAGCTAACTACATATCCTGATGAGGTTTTTCATCTGGCTCACTGTGTGTTAATATCAAAGTGGGTATAGTTATTCCAACATGCTTTATTGCTGGTTTGGGCTAATCATTGAACCTATTTGGTTTAGCTAAATTAGCCGACTAGGCCCCTTTACCCAGCTTCGTTCTGGACGGGAGGATTTTCATTTGTCATTTGTTTCACATTCTCTACTTTTATAGCTTCTGTTGTTATTCATGGTCAGATTTTAGTTCCCTAGCAAACAAAGCTGTGTGCTAACCAGCCACCTTGACCTTTAGCTCGTCTGGCAGGAGAAAACAACATCCCTTTTAGTTAAACTTAATAAAAAAATTCCATACTTTGGTTTTATGACAGACTTTGTCGTGCTGTGTATTTTTTTGTCAGGCAGAAGTATTTGATTATCAAGCGCCATGCTAACTCCTCTAGCCTCCTATTAGCTATAGCTTAATGTAAAGTGACATTTACCTCTGAATAAACAATTGTTTTGTTTAAAGCTTGGTCTTCAGACTAACGAGCTCACAAAACAGTCAGCATGGTTATTCCTTCAGTTTTCTACAAATGTTGAAACAAAGACGCCGAGCTGGATTGAAGTGGACTGTTCCACCTCTGGTTTCCCATTAGTGTTACAATGTGCAGTGAGACCTTTTTCTTCTGTGAATGATTTTACTTTTATCTGTTAGATTCCAGAAAAAAGGACCTGTTTAGGAGAAGTTCATGGCTAAAACATCAGACTTTGCCAGTTTTTATCAAAGCGACTCTTATGTAATGTGGTCAAAGGGACTTTGTTTCACTCAGAAATGCTGAAATGACATACCTATAGTTCACATACATGTCAAATCACAACTATTTATTCTGGCCACTGAGATAATTTCCCAACAATGTTCCAAAACCTTCAGACCTCTCCTACAGAATTCCTTTGAAGTCTTGTCAGACCTTTTCTTAATTTCTTCTTTCACCCCCTGACAGGGCCCTCTTGGCTTGGACGGCAAACCGGTGAGTAGCTTTACTCTCAGACTTTGCTTTATGTGAATACATTTTAGTTTTTAATGCCGTTTTCTTTTATGTTGTAGGGTTTACCAGGTGTCAAAGGAAGCCAGGTACACACACCTGATTCTCTAATTACACATTTTCATTATCCTGAAGAAGTTACAGCAATCTAATGGCTATAACTGCGAATCCAGGTGGGTGTTGCTGCCTGGAACTGTAGATTTCTGTGGCACATCAGTCATTTTTACTGTTCTTATAAAATAAAATACAGCCATTTTTATGATTGTTCCACTTCTTAAGCCATCCCATGGCCCGCAGTCATCACAGGGTCGACAGGGCCAAAGGGAAGTTAAATCACATAATTCCCTCTGTGCTCCCGTTCGTCAACCCTCCCCTGGAAACCTGCGTGCGTCCAGGCACGCCCGGGTGTGGCGTGGAAGCGAGCAGAGCGGAGCAAATGGGTTAAACATGGGTGAGAAAGTGTGAGTCAGGCTGGTGTGTTTACAGCCTCAAACAGACGCTCTTTAAAACATCATTATAGTACCCTTCACCCCTACTTAGACTCTCCTCTGTAGCTGATTCGCCACAGATTTTAGTGTCTTTTTATTTTATCTCTTTTTTTTCTTGATTAAATGCACCATCTTTCTGCTCCGTCCTTGCACGAATAAGTGCCCTAGCCCATAGCCTTGCGTGGGACAGGGACCAGTCGTCCATTGAAGCCTGAAACCATCACAGTGTAATTAGAGCTCTTTGGATTGTTCCTTTCTAAACGCCATTAAACTCCTGCTTCCTGTTAAAGAAGGCTTCGGGCTGAGCGTGTCGTTTAATAGGACTCCCCCCGTCACTGATTGTCCGCCATAAAACCGCAGCAGGAGCTCGGACCTCTTGGTCAGGGCCGTCTATGAGCTTAGAGAGGGACATAAAAGCTGGACGCAGAGAACAAGTGCTAAATGATTGATTTGTTAGCAGATGTTTAAATAAGAAAACTTTAAGCTGAGATCTTTATCTTTCCAGGGATGTGAGTAGTGAGGAACCAAGATCTTTTGATTTTTCTTTTGATTTGTGAAACAAATTTTTTAAATATCGCTAACAGATTGCACTGCCAGGTATCACATCCTTCACTCTGGTCTTAAACAGGAGCAAAGCTGCTGTCTGCAGACATGTGGTCAGCAACAAACTACTCCTGTTCAAACAGAGCAGCTCAGACGTGACGATAAAGGGTCAGAAATACTGAACAAATACCAAATGGGTGCAAATAAAGTACACAGAAGGAAGAACAAAGGAGCACGGTACTATTAGACACCTTCTAGAGAAGTAAATTAGCTGAGATTTCTGACCTCTTTTCTGTCTCTAAAAGGTTCAAAGTGAATCAAAGTGTGTTTAAATAAAATGATGAGAGAATTGGCTGGTTTAGGCCTTGAAGGGACTCAATTCATTAAAACATTCTCTTTCAGAAAAATTTATTTCAGTTGATATAAATTTAACGATTCAGAAATCATACACATACGCGTGCACACACACACACACACACACACACAGCGCATTATAACACAATCAGTCATTCACCCACGCATTCACACACTGGTGGTGATGAGCCACATCTTAGCCACAGCTGCCCTGGGGTTCAGTGGCAGAGGCGGGGCTGCTGGTCCCTCTGACCACCACCAGCAGGCAAGGTGGGTTAAGTGTCTTGCTCAAGTACACAACAGACAGGGCTTGAACCTGCAACCCTCCGGTTATGAGGCGAGCATTTAATTCCTCTGCCACCTTCACCCAACACAAACTAAGACTATATGGTTCAAATTCATAATAATGCTCCCTTTTGTCATTTATGTTTATTAATCATAATAGTTTATGTTTTAGATTTTGTAATCAGACTCCCTTTGAACGTTTTTGATATTTATAACGCAGTGATAAATGATGATATTAAATGAGAAAAACAATGATAAATGGCCTGCACTTGCATAACAGGTTTCTGAGTCAGAAGGGGAAGTATCTTGCCCAAGGGCACAATGACTGATATGACTGCAGGAGCCTGGGTTTCGAACCAGCTATCCACCAATAACAAGGCCAAGTCCTGACCCCTGAACCCCATATTTGTTTACACATGCTTGTTGCACTTATACAAGGTAGTAAGGTAGTCTGAAATGTTTAACTTAGTAACACTAGATGAACCAAAATGCCCTTAAAATGCATAATGAACACCTATTAGTGACTGTTGCAGACTAAACAATAACGTATCTATAAACTATTCATTAGCCATTAATAAGGGGAGCCTAATTGTAAAGTGGTACACACACATGCTGGTGTGTTCTTTTGTTTCTGCTGTAAAAATGATCATCATAGATGCAGGCAAAAATTATAAGTTAATTAAAGGTGTGTTTTAATGATTATTTCTGATCATGATCAAGTTTTTCATGCAGGCTGAAAATGAAAATAGTCTCCTACACCTGTCTCCTGCATTAGCTTCTGTCAGAAAACAGACGGTGAAACTCTAGGATTTATAAACCTGACAGATCTACACCACACTGTCACTTAGTGTTCCTAGACTCATCCATCTTGACTCATGAAGGGAAAGGCTGTTGTTGGTTTGAGCGTCCAGGAAACAGCAGAGAACATCTCAACTAGTAGAAGCTAACTGTTAGCATTAGCAGCTCCACAACACAGCAGAACGCCTCCAAGCTTGTGTTACTTGTGGAGATTAAACATCAGCATTGCAGAGTAAATAGAGTCAGTGGTAGAGCCACATTTCTGTTAGCCAATCAGAGGTGAGATGTCCATATATCAGGAAGTAAAATTCCAAATCCTGCTGTCTGAAGCTCTCCTCTGATCTGAAACAGGTGCACCAGGGCTCTTTTTGTACACAGAGTATGACTTACAAGGCAGTGACTCCAGGTTAGACTTCCATTGTGTTAAAAACTCCCTTTTCTTCTTTACGGTAAAAAAAAGCATTCCTGGACTCCAAGCGCTGTGGCAGGTTGGAGAAAAAGTTTAGCTCATTTCAATTTCTGCCTCCATGAATTCAGTTCTTTTATTTGTTTAGGAATATTTTCACATAAATTATTGATTATTTTGTCATTTAAACACCAGTTGAAATTGAGATGAGTGGTGCTTTTCTAATTACCAAAGAACAAACCAAACCAAATGTTGGGTGGAAAATGAAAACAGACTGCCCCGAGTCACAGAGGGCTTGTGGTTTGTGTCTTTGATACATTTGAGCATCTTTGTGCCGCTCAGACAAACTCATCTCATCTGTTTGTCCAGTGATCGTAAATAAAAATGGAATGCTCCCCTGAAGAGACATGGTAAACCCCTCACACAAGGTCCTCCGCTGACATGAGAACAGCATTTCTTATCACGCACACGGAAACTCTCCCGGTGTCATCTGGTTTCCCTGAGCGGGGATTGAGAGGTCTCCATGACACTTGTGTTGTAACTGATGCTTTGCCTTAATGTTTGATTGAATGCTCGCTCTTAAGCCGAGCAGGAAGATGCATTGTGCTGGGATGTGTGTTGCCCATAAGCCAGCAACTGATTTATTCCCACCGACTGTCTCTGATTATCTCCTCCCTCCTGCAGGGGCTGCCCGGACCCAAGGGAGAGAAGGTACGCTTCCAAATGAATTTCAGCATGTCTTGTAATAAGTTACTCACCAGCAGCTTCAGATGCCATCACCTGAGATGGTTTTTACCTTCCATGCATCAAGAGAGTAGACGTGCAGCAGCACTTTCTCATGTCAGGGCGCTAAGCGGGCCCTTCGATGTCATCCAGATGTTTTCCTGCTTTGTGAAACTCTGCCCATCTCACGATGTTAGAGGCCATAAGCACCGGCCGTGTGGTCGCTGCACCCGCACTTATGTGTAACGATGTATTTATGTGAAACGAGTGTTTTCTTTTGCCCTCACATGAGAGACAAACCTTCAGATAAACATCATGCGTGACTCATAATGAGAAACCAGCTCAGATCCACTTGAACGGATCTCATCCTGTCAGATCCACAACTTATCAGCTGACTTATTCAGTAAATGTCCACATCCCGTGGCGGTTGGGACAGATGACCCTTGACCTGCTTCCTTCCCATAAACATTAATTTTTGAGTCCTCTTGTCACGGCTTCTCCACGGTATCTGCTAAACGACCGCTCCTGTCTGCATTTATAACACTGAGAAAAGCTGACGATTGTTGTTTTCCTGTCTTTATCTCAGGGGGACCAAGGAGACATTGGGCCAAGGGTAAGTCGCCTTTTATTTTCATCTCCGGAGGCTAAAAATAACACGTTTGAGTGCTTTTGTTCTCTTTTACCACTGCTGCCTCTGGAAAGCAACTGTCTTAAATGTTATAAGAATTTATTAAAACATTAGAAATGTGTGTTTATCCTGTGGAGCGCCTGCAGTAACGGCTGGGGAACGACCCACCTAAGCCTGACCATCAAACCCCACGCTTGTGACGGGGTGCCAGGCTGCTGACTAGGGTCGTTTTTTTTGTTAAATAATATTTCCAAAAAGCCTTGCTCAGCATCTGGTCCCTGCAGTGAGGTACTTTTCTTTTCATGTGATATCATCCCATCCTCACAGACCTCCATGTAATTATCTTCAGCTTCAGTCGCTGTGGTTTGGAAATAAGCCCCCTGTGCTTTACATGGTGCTTTACATGGTTAACGGTTCGGATTCTTTCGGGGAGTCGTGGACCCCACGAATGTTTCATGTTTTTAGTTCTCAGACTTAAAGTGGCACATCAGGTCAGGCCCTTGGCTTAAAGAGACAGAAACTACTGTGGGTTATTTTTTAAACTGTTTGTGGTTTAAACTCACACATCCCGACCCTCGCTTCGTCTGACAGATGTGGAACCAAGAAAATGTCAGAAAAATCTGTTTCAGGGAGTTTCTTAAGGATTTTAGTGACTTTTATAGAACATTTTTAACAATTCTGTTGATTGGCAGCATGGCGGCACAGTTGGTAACACTGTTGCCTCGCAGCAGGAAGGTTGCAGGTTCAAATCCTGCCTGCCCAGCCTTTCAGTGTGAAGTTAGCTTGTTTTCCCCATACATGCATGGGTTTTTCCATGTAGTCCGGTTTCCTCCTACTGACCAAAACGATCCATGTTGGGTTGATTGGAGACTCTTATTGCCCCTAAGTGTGACTGGTTGTTTGTCTCTGTGTGTCCTTTGGAGGCCTGTCCAAGGTGTCCCCTGCCTCTCGCCCGATGACTGCTGGGGGTAGACACCAGCTGTCTGCACCTCCACCGAAGATTCGGTGGTTAAGATAATGGAATATTGACCTGTTTAGAAAAGATTTAGAAATCAGATTATTCAGTAAAAAAAAGCTTCAGTTGTTGATTGATTCAAAGTAAGTTTTCATGTGAAACAAAACTGAAAATTAGACCCAATTCCGAACAGCCTCAGTTCAGAGAAACAGAGTTTACGTCCTCGAGGACTGATGAGTTAGTGGCTAGTTCTGCTGCCATCTTCAATGTTGACGTTATTTTATAAAACCTTGACACAACGGTAATCTCAACATTAAATGGTTATTTCAGCAGGAATAACACTGATGATGCTGTGAAAATTTATTAAACAATGTTGAATGAACTGTTATGAAATCTAACGAGTCTTGGTCTGGGATGGACTAGCCCTTTGTTTCCCCAAACAGAGGCCATTAGGGAAAATATTTACAGCGAATAGTCATAATTTTATTATTTAAACTTTCACACAGAAATGGTTCAAATATCCCTTTGAAAGCTGATTTCAGAAACAGTGCGTTTACATGCGTATAAGAAACGGAACTATTGCCCTAAATAGGCCGACATAAATTTTTTAATGCATGTGAACGCGTTCATCTTACTGAAGGTGAACTGGTACTAATTGTGCTGCAGCACCCAGATGATAGGAAGCCTAAGTCACTTCCGCATCACGGGTCTCCGGAAGAACGAAAAACTTAATGCAAGTCAACGGGGCTAAAAATGCTATTTTATAATTCTGCTTGTTTTCTTGCCATGGATTTCACGTATGATGTCCATGAATTTTAAAGACGTATTTTTATACCAAGAACGTGCTTATTTTTCAATGGGGGTGGGGGTATTTCAGATTTTGTGTGCAAATTAGTCCAGGACTACAAATGCGCTTCACGAAAGTGACAAAATCGATCCAGACACTGAGAAAACTAAAGGAAAATGGCTGTAAGTTGTGCAAACTTCCCACAGGAGGAAAGAAACACCATAAATCTGCTCATGTGGTAAGTAGCAGCTACGTTAGGGGAGAGGAGGTTATGTGGTGACGTCAAACATGCGACATGCCGATTTCCAGTTTGTAGTCATGCTAATTACGAACTTTTACAAGCTAATACATCTCAAAGTACGTGACTGGCGTGGTCGAAACACCCATCATTACTTTTCATTTAAATTGCAGTGCAACTTATGTGTGATCCAGGGCGTAAGGCCAAGTGGATTAGAAAATAACTTTTTTAGCTCCGTTGACTTGCATTCGTTTCTTTTGTTCTTCCGGGGACCCATGATGCAGAAGTAGACTTAGGCTCCCTATACAGTAGGAAACCTACTACATCTGCATGTAAACGGGTCAGTCGAGTTGATACCAGTAACTTCCAGAAAACACGAGATGGTGGAAGAGGTCTTCTGATTATATCATCGCCACAAAGTAACGAGTGTAATACCATCAAACAGTTCAGTATGTACCAAATAAGTTGTGCTGTAGCGTTGTTGTTGTCCATTCCTTCAGCCCTTGAGAATATCCTGTTTTAGCTTCACTTTCGCCAGCATTTGTTTGCTATTCGTGTTGCTATAAGCTAACGGAAAGAATGCCAACATGAAAGGGTGCATGTCGCCACCTACTGTACCGGAGTGGAACAAACTTCTTTTGAGAGTTCAGTTTTCTAACATACATGTAAACTAGGATAAAGACTCCCAGTTTGTTACCTTAGATCGACCCAGATCGACTTAGATGTAAACACACTGACTTGGTAACTTTCCCTGTGATCAAACACGTTATTGACAAACTGTATTTTTTTAAACCAAATAATAAGTTCAATTAATTTGACTAATAAATAAACGTAAATCTGATTATTTTAGTGTCAAGTAAATCAGATGAAAATGTTTTTTAATCTGTCATTCACTCCAAGATAGTTTTAAAGTTTATAGAAGCAGCAAAAAAAATGTAAATCTTTTTATTGTAGCCCAATAAAAAAATTTAATTAACAGAGAAACTTTCTTCTGATATACCGTACATTATGTATTTTCTCTTAATTCTGCTGTTGCTATTGTTTAGTTCTTTTTTCAAGGGATCAGTAGGATCTTAAACAAATAAAAAACCACATTTTTTTTAACAATAAATAAATCTGACAAATTCTAATAATTCTACGACTGAAGAATAAAAACTCTAAAGCTTGTGTCCCTTAAAAAGGACAAGTTGATCAGGATAAATGTCATGGTGCAGGGACGGCAGGGACATGGGAGTAGTCTTATGAGGACGGGTGGACTAACGTCTTGTTTTATAGCGGAGCACAAACGGAGTGTAAATCTGAGGACTCTCCCCAGCGGAACAATATTTATGATGCGGTTCTGAAGCATTTGCAGAAATTCCTGATTCCTATCACGGCGTAAGACATTTGACTTTCCTGCCCTTCCTTTTATTTTTCAAACCAACAATTTGTGCAGGAATTAATTTTTCCTGGCATTCCACATCACCACGTTTTACCCAAATGGTAAATATTTCACTTGGCTCAGGTTTTTGTAATTTTGATGTCCTTGGATCAAGTCGGTAGATCCCCAAACCCCAGAATATTCCCTGGAAACAAAGACGCTGTGAATGATGACTGTGTGTGGGTTTTTTATCATTTTGACCAGAGGCAAGTAAAGAAATCTATTAAAAATCTATTACTTCTTGCAGTGAGAGACTGGAAGTATCATCCTCGCATACCTAGCCCCATGTTTCTACATTGTGCTCCGCTTCACCTCTGAACTCCACAGGAGGATAAGAGAAAACAAGTGAAAACAGGAAACAGCCATGAATCTCTGTCAATCTGTGACTTCCTGTCAATCGATCATCTACAGCTCCTTCATCAGACCCAGGAAGTGGTTCAAACCCAGAATAAGAGAGCTAATAAAACCGAATCAGATGTGTCAGAACCGCATCATCTCTCCTCTAAAGCCGGGTCGTAAAGAGCAGGGATGATGCACGTTTAGGTTCATCTGGTGCCAAATGTTCCTCTCAGCGTAGCATTTAAATAAAAACAACTAAAGTCTTGGTTCAGAGGGATGATGGTTGTTTTTCCTCAAATCGGCCAAAGGTCTGATGAGAATGAGGTAAAGGCGATGCCTGCTGGGAAACAGCCGACTCCGCTCTGGGATGTTTAAGGAGCATATGTGGTTTTCATGGTGGGAGCAGTGTGAACGAGTGAATGTGACAACAGGGAAAAAAGGAGGAGAGAAGGAGTCTATGGTCTCAGACAAACCTCAGCTGTCCAGCCTTCACCGCAGCCAGTTAGCAGAAACCTCTGGAAGAGACTTTTGCTTCTTTCTCTCCTGCTGTTCTCCTCCTCTCCTTCCTCCTCTGTCTAATTTCCTCTATCATATCGCTCCATCCTTCTGTTTGCTGTGTGATTTTTGTGAGAGCTCGGCCAGAGTTCTGGAAGGTTTTACTGCTTTTCTATAAATCTGAATCTTGTAAAAGCACATCTGTTGTTCAGAGCCACCCTGGGTTGTTGATCAGTGTCCCTCTCCTCTTCAGGGTCCTCCTAACTACAGCACATATGCAGGTCTGCACAGTAACCAGATTCTGGCCGTCAAGGTTTGTCGCCCCTCAAAAACTAAAGTCTTTCATCCTCCCAGCAGCCACCACTCGCTGTCCTTCAGGCTGCTGCAGATCTGTCACTGTCCCTGCAGAAAGGAGTAAAACTATCCTCTTCTCCTTTCCTTTCTCCTGTTAAACATGTTTTTCTTTTTCTTCCTTCAGGGATCATTTTCCTCTGAGTTCAACGAGCATTTTCGATTCCTCTATTCGTTCAAGTCATCTCCCTCTCATTTCAACCTGCTTTTTTTCTTTCTCATAACACACTTTCCTTTATTCTGTTTTTCCTCTCCTTTGTTGATCCATCTGTGGCATCTTAGATGATTTACCCGCGGTATGACCACGGCTTTCTCTCTGGGGAGCAGTCCAGCAGCTTCCAGAGACGCTTTCTGAAGGTAGACCTCTACTAACATGTGAGCTCTTCTAACCCAAAGCTTTCCTTTTGCACAACGCAGTCATCCTCTTCCTTCAATTTTAACCTTCTCTCTTTTTTTGGTTTGTATCTTTTTTTTAATTTAAGGTTTAACATTTATAATCTTAGTTAAGTAACTCAGTGATTTGCTTTTTAAGTTCCTTAAACATCCAAATATAAAGTAACGTTTTTAACGGAATGGAATGACTCTTATTTTTCCCTTCTTTGCTCAAGACTAGTCTGCATGAGATATAACTCGAGGTCTCATGCATTCCTTCTAACCTGCTTACTTTCAGCTCAACAGAAGAACAAAGAAAGAACTCTTTTCTTTAAATTAATCAAAGAACTCTATTTTAATAAAGCTAATCCATCAAAGTGTAAGTCAATAAATAAGATGTGACTGACCTGTGAAATCAAAATATTAATTACTTCATTATGATCCTATAAAATATAATAAAGTAATTAATATTTTGATTTCACAGGTCGGTCACATCTTATTTATTGACTAACACTTGGTTGGCTCAACTTTATTAAAATAGAGTTCTTTGATTAATTTAAAGAAAAGAGTTCTTTCTTCGTTCTTCTGTTGAGATGAAAGTAAGCAGGTTAGAAAGAATGCATGAGACCTCGAGTTATATCTCATGCAGACTAGTCTTGAGCAAAGAAGGGAAAAATAAGAGTCCGTTACACATTTCATTACTATTCTGAATCAGGAGTAGTCCTAGACCATTCAGCAACCTAGGCAAGCTCAAGCCCCCCCCCCCACCCCCCCCCCCCCACCCCCCCCCCCCCCCACCCCACCCAAGCAGAAGAAAGACCTTGTTTCCGAATTGGTTCAATGGAAATTGAAATTCTGATCCCTCATTTTCAGTTAAACCTTTTGGGGGTGTCATCTGTTGAATAAAACAGAAATACTACCCCCACTCTGCTCTAGAGAAATTATTTACTAATTCATAGTACTTTTGTATAAATGATCATTTCCCTTTTGATTCAGAGATATCCAACTTTGGTGGAAAAGTTGTCATCTACTAAACACATCCTGTAGCAAAGAAGTCCTTTTTAAACTTTTCATTTCCCCCAAATGCTCCTTGAAGTGGGCCTGCTGCTTTAATCACATGCGATCCTTGCAACTACCTCCCCATTTTTTGACCGTTAAGCTGAGTGGAGACATATTAATCAGTGTGAAGAAATATGTTTTTGGCCTGCAGGGCTTGTTTTACCATGTGACTTACCTCAACAAAGCAAACCGTAATCCACCAGATGTTTGTAGAGATGAGAGCGAGCGCAGAGGAAGTGTCATCATGTTACTAGAGAGTCAGACTGGGAGTCGATTACATCTGTGAAGATAAAAGGCTTCTAGGACTTCAGTGGTCTGTGGTTCGTTTATAAACGAAGATAGATAGATAGATAGATAGATAGATAGATAGATAGATAGATAGATAGATAGATAGATAGATAGATAGATAGATAGATAGATAGATAGATAGATAGATAGATAGATAGATAGATAGATAGATAGAAAGATAGATAGATAGATAGATAGATAGATAGATAGATAGATAGATAAATAGATAGATAGATAGATAGATAGATAGATAGATAGATAGATAGATAGATAGATAGATAGATAGATAGATAGATAGATAGATAGATAGATAGATAGATTGATAGATAGATAGATAGATAGATAGATAGATAGATAGATAGATAGATAGATAGATAGATAGATAGATAGATAGATAGATAGATAGATAGATAGATAGATAGATAGATAGATAGATAGATAGATAGATAGATAGATAGATAGATAGATAGATAGAAAGATAGATAGATAGATAGATAGATAGATAGATAGATAGATAGATAGATAGATAAATAGATAGATAGATAGATAGATAGATAGATAGATAGATAGATAGATAGATAGATAGATAGATAGATAGATAGATAGATAGATAGATAGATAGATAGATAGATAGATTGATAGACAGACAGACAGACAGACAGACAGACAGACAGACAGACAGACAGACAGACACAGACAGACAGACGGAGACAGACAGACAGAGACAGACAGACAGACAGGGTTTTTGGAGAGTGGTTGTGAACAATTAATATTTGACCTGTTCTAAATAGCTCTTTGATCAACCTTAGTTTGGAGAAATAGAGATTTGTCTTTTTTGGCCAAGACCAAAGTTGATTAAAGTAACTAAATCATAGTGATTTATGCAATACTACCTTAACATCAGCACTTTTAATTGTAGTTACATGTTTTGTATGAGAGTTAGTGGGCGTTCCCTACATTAGTGCTGGAGCCCACATTAAGGGCATCCAGAGGAAGTGACCGACTAAGCGCTTTGCTCCTAATGTTTGGTTCAGAACCACAACCTCTCTCATGTTTTCATGCCTTTAAAACATGTTTGTTAAAGTTAAAGCCCCATTAGTTGTGTGTGTGAAATCTGTCCACATTTGACCCATTCCCTTGGGGAGCGGTGAGCTGCAGACACAGCAGCGCTCGGGAACCACTTGGTGGTTTAACGCCCCAATCCAACCCCTTAATGCTGACTGTCAAGCAGGTAGGCATTGGGTCCCACTTTTTAAAGTCTTTTCTATGACCCGACAAGGATTTGAACCCTGATCTCCCAGTCTCAGGGTGGCCACTCTACCAATAGGCCACTGAGCTGGCAAAGTAAAACATGTTTTTAGCCTGATTAACTGTTTCATCAGGCTTCATAGACACATATAACATAACATAACATAACAGCATAACAATGCTGATGATACTGCTGATTATTCCTGTGCTGTCCAATAAACTCACCCAATGGAATCGAAGAGCATTTGTCTGAGCACCAAACCCTGAGGAACTCCATGATAAACTCAGGTTCAAGATTAACATAAACAAACTGGATTCCATCAGATAAAGACTTAAACCAGCTTCATGTGACAGTTATTCTAGCAGAAATATCATAGAATTCCTGCTGGATGTTCTCCAAGCAGAACCACAAGCACCACAGCTAGCAAGCTAGCTAGCTGTGGTGCTAATACTAGTAGCTCTTGTTGTAATGTGAAAATGTTTCAATTATTAAATATAGATCTTTTGCGGCAGAAATCCACTTTAGCCTTGGCCCATTGTAACCCATCAGTCTAGTCGAAACTCATCTCTGTTTATACAAACTGAGATTGTTCAAACGGCTAATCCACCAGATAAGAAAGAGTTCCTCAACCACAGAAACACAATTCAATCTAAACTATTGTTCTAAAGTTATTAGTAATTATTCTAAATAGAGGACAAACCTCCATTGTTCAGTTTGGTGTTTATATGATGAAATTTGGGTCTTCTGCACAGATTTATTCTCCCTGCAGGCTTCTTGTGACTGAAGTAGACACAAATAAGCTGAATGTTAATGATGTTTAGGAAGTTTAAATTTATTTGTTGCATTCAATAAAAGTTTTTTCAATTAGAATTGTATTAACAAATTTTTATCAGTTGAATTGCTTGTTTAATTCTTGAATGATTGTTTATATCTTTATTTACACACACACAAAAAACAAGATTTTATCATTTTTAAAACAAGTTTTATTTTTTTCTTTGCATCAGGGTGATCAGGGCCAAGCCGGACCCGCTGGTCCTCCTGGTCCTCCCGGTCAACCTGGTGCCCGCGGCCCCCCTGGAAACACTGGCAAGGATGGGCCTCGTGGTCCTGCTGGTGAGCCGGTGAGTCCATCAAAACATTCAGGCTCAGATCTCAGACCATCAAATGAGGGTTTTACCACAAAGTGTTTTGTGAGTCTGCATTGACTCACACCTATCTATGGCGGGGGGTCTTCACAGTAAACTGCCCCTTCTGTCTCTTACGGGGATGCCTGTGAACTTTGGTTTACCTAAAATAATCCTCCAAAAATAGCAACTCTGCTTCTAGTCTCATCTGTTTTATGTAAGTCAGCGGCCTCAAAGTTCTCCTAAACACCCTTCGTTTCTGCCACCGCAACTCATGCCGCGCTCACTGAAACAGATCTGCCACTGCGGTGAGTTCATGGGCAGTTTGGCGGCCTCAGCAAACAATAGTGTGCTCCTCGCCCGAGGCAGATTTTTGTTGCTTAGAATTAAGTGTCTGCCTCCCCGAGTTTAGTTCATGAGTCGTGGCAGCATCAATCTGTGGTTCTTGAAATTTCAGAATTTTTTTGTTCAATTACTCAGAGAAATAATTGCCCTGCTGCTCTCCTCTGGTGCTGAACAATGAGGGATTCATGTGAAAAATGTTGGTTTTGACATGGTTGACTTGAGAGCATGTGCTGAGAGAAACAGATCAGCTCAGGATGTGACAAAAAACAGACGGGCGGAGGGACGGGGTAGGGGCCGTGTTGTAAGCTAGTCCATTGCTAAAGTACTCTTCATGTTGATTAAAGGCGTTGCAAAACCCTAAACTGTCACGCTGTGAGTTGGGGTAGGTTAGGACCCAAGATGCAGACCCAGGATGACACAAGGCAGGAGTAGTGAAAACGTAAAATCCTTTATTTTGGGGTAAATCCAAAGGGCTGGAAGCCAAAAACCAAAAATCCAAGAATCAAAACCCTGGGAATATCCAAAACCACAAGAGACCTACAGAAATTCCAAATACCTAGAGAGGGGGCGAGACAATGCTGACACAAACAATGGACCAACAACCATAGTGAGATGCAGACAGGGTTATATACACAAGGGCTGGGTGACTAGGGGATTGTGCACAGGTGAGACCAATAAAGAGAGGAGGAGCACAACAGAGCAGGGGAGGAAACCAGACCTAAAAATGGAAAAGGGAGCCAAATGAACTAGAGGGAGAAAACAGACTAGATAAAACACTTAACAGAAGACTAATGATAAAAGGTGTCTAAGGAAAAAATGTAAGGGAGACCTAGAGAGCCTGGAGGGAGTTGGGGACACACAGGGACTCTGAAACCTGGGGGGAACACCTAAGGGGAAAAAAACCTGGAGTGGGCTGGGGAACACAAGGAGGCACATGAGGAGGGATGCAGACAAGGAGACACATAGGGGAAACCTAGAGAGGGATGGAGAACACAAGGAGACACATGAGGAAGATGCAGGACGCAGACCATGACATAAACAGCCAAACAAAGTGGTTCTGAAAGCTGCCCCATGTTGAGGGCAGATGTCTGAGTAAGTAAGCCTGCCAGCACCCGCATCCTGAGACATTTGAATCTCTGAGTCTGGGAGAAAAAAAATATTGTTCTGTAAAAACATTTAAAATAAACATTTACTTTGATTTAAATTATCTTGAAATATGAGTGTTTTAAATGTACCTGACATGTGGTTAAACATATATAATTTCCTGCTTCCTGAACAGCCTCTGTTCAGAGAAATAGCTTTTAGCTTCTTCAGGACTGATTGGTTAAAGTCCAAGTGAAGTTCAATTCCATCCGAGACCAAAGTGTGTTCCTACCATCCCAAAGTGGAGAATTCAAAATTTTAAGTTCTTCTTTTTAGCATCTTAATCATTCAGTTGCGGTACAGTGGAACTGCATTTCTTAGGTCTGAATTCCTCATATTTGTAGCTCTATAGACCCATCTTCTACCCCTGTTCTAAGGAGTCTGAGTGAGCGGTCTCTTTAAAACTGCTAATGCTAACAAAACTAGAAAAATTTGCATTTCTTGCAGAAATGCTGTTTGAATGCTGGATAGCCGAAACTGTAAGCTGAAGCTACTGAACAGCTGAAATGAAGCTGAAAGTAAGCAAAACTGTCAAAATGAGCTGAATGTCTTGAAAGATTTAGAAGCAAAAAGCACGAACAACCAAATAAAGCACAACAAGTAAGTGAATAATAGAGAAAAATAATCCTAAACAGCAGAAAACTGAAATCTGTGAACATTGTATAAAAATCTGGACAACTAAAACGTCTAAACGCCCGTTATTTCAGTAGGGCAAGTTTAACAGTTTAATCTTTACATTTAGCTGAACTGTGAAATTAGCAGCATATGCTAAATTTGGAAACTGATTGCTGAAGCTGCTGAGTAGCTGAAGTGAAGCTGAAACTAAGCTAAACTGTCAAAATGAGCTGAATGTATTTAAAGATTTAGAAGCAAAAATCACCAACAAGTGTAATAAAGCTCAGAATATAGGTGTAGAATGGACAAAAAACTGCTAAACGGCAGAAAACTTTAATCTTTGAACATTGATTAAAAACTTGAAAGTTGAAATGTTTAAACAGCTGGCATTTGAATAAGAATAGTTTAATAGGAACATTTTTGATATTGGCTGAAATGTGAAGTTAGAAACATTTACTGATATCTGAAATTGATAGATTAACATATGTTCAGACTTGATATGGAATGGATGAATGGTTGGATGAATGAAATGATGGATGGATTGTTGGATGGATGTTAGATGGTTTATTGGATGGATGGATGGATGGATGGATGGATGGATGGATGGATAGAAGCAACATCCATGAATTATAGCTCAAAACAAAAGTATATTCGTAAGCTGTAAGCCAGCATGCATCTCATTTCAATCGGACCTGTGGTTCTCTCGGGACAATGCCAGAAATGGAGCAAGGGAGGGTCACCGCTCCTCACTTTCCCCATTATAATTTTTGTGATTTTTTCTGAAAATCTCAAGCCGTACCTCCTGTAATTTTAGAAAAACTGTAATAGATATCAAAAATATTTTTAACCGGTAATAGCTGAAAGTCTTGTGAGAAACTTGAATGAAGTCTCTAGGTTAAAGTTAAACTATAAGAGTAAGAGTTCAAAAAAGTGATAGGATTTAGCTGAAAATTGAGCAATCCCATTCATTTCAATGGGACCAAAAATACCAGAAAAAGCTGAATATCTCAAAAAGTATAAAATATTTTAATACCAAAAGCCATTGCCGGCATAAGCACAACGAGCTGAACATTTTGATACCAAAATTGTGTAAATAGTTGAAGAATTGTGGAAGTAGTTAAATGCCAAAAAATGTACGGAAGCAGAATAATAAACTAAGTAACTAATTAACTATAAAGAGAAACAGGATCACTATAGTTTGAATGCTTTACAGCATTCAAACATTAATAGCCAAGAGCTCATAAATGAATGAATGGTTCAAATAAATTTGCCAATATTGTAGGGTTATATGATGCTTACCGCTTTGCTGTTGAGTGCGTCATTCCCTAGGGGTGTCAAATTATTGTGTTAATTGTGAGTAATTAATTAATTTATTACAGCCACATTTAGCACACTGTGTTTTTTAATTGCGTTCATCTAAATTTTTATATACAACCTTACTGTTTCTGCTTGTGAGTTGCCTTGAAATAAAATCCGTTTTTAGGCTTCTTTTGCTTGAGTTGTTAGGGATTTAACCACTTAGACATAGACACCCCATTGGGCCCTGGAGAGCGTAACAGCGTTGCCTCAGTAAGCACTGGGGGCAAATAGAGACCCATCCAAGATGGTGGTGGGCCACTACGGCAGCTCCCATAGGCAGCGCCAATCAATGGGGTGTCTACATATATTATGTCCGGGGTTAACCAAGCCTTGAAGGGGGCATTGATTGGCTGCTGACTGACTTCCTGTGACTGCCAGGTGAGCAGAAGCAGTTAGTTGCAGAGACGAGAAGTGAAAATGGAGGAGCACATTGTCGGTTCTATGGATGGAAATTTTGCTTTTCAAAAACAGGCCATTGGACAAAAGTAGAGTGATATGCCTTATTTGCAAGGAGATTGCTAGCAGTTAAAGTTTAGCCTACCACATCAGCGGAAAGCACCCAGCTGTGGCCTTAACCATGGCAAACATTAACAGCAAAGATGCTAGCAAGTTGGTAAGCCATAACAAAACTTTTTGCCAAACAAAATTCAAGGAGAATGCGCAATAAATGAGCAGTTTCAGCTTTTTTGCACACTCAGAGCCACACCTGTTGCCTAGCAGGCCGAGAGGGCGGAGCCGCTAACAAATACACACATACACAAAGGCTCACAACAACATTGTGACATCATATGGTACCAGCTAACGTTCTAAGGTACCGCTTAGCCAACAGTGATGGCAGATTTAAAGTCAAATGCAATGCAGAGTTTTTACCTGACAATGGCACAACACTGACAGTTTTAGGCAGAAAATTAAAATTTTAATTAATATGCACTAAAGTGCAAAACTATTGACTACACGTGTCTGCAGCATGATTAGAAACGCATTTATATAGTTTATCAGAAAATAAAAGTTGATTTGGGGTGGCTTGCTCTTTAAGGGCTTCAAAAGTACCTTTAAAACAGCTCCAATCTCTTATATTTGACAGTCCTTCATGCAACATGGTTTCATGAACCTTTAAACTGAAGTCAGTTTACCGTTAGATAATTTCAGCAGAAAGAGTAAGAAACCCCTGCTGGACTTGAACGCTGGATGCACCAGGTGGGCTACTGATATTTCCACACATTTAATCATGTATCACTGTGGGTAAAATAGTAATTATTTATACATTTAGCAAAGAAACACACTTGAAACAGCTTCAAGAGTCCTTTTGAAAGGCAGCTTGAAAGGATGGAAGTAAAAGAGGACCACATAGTGGCTGAGGGGATCAGAATAACGGTTTGTATGTGTGAGACGAAAAAAAACCAGCTGGGAGACATCTCAGCTGCTCCTGTGCATTATTCTAAAATATGAGAAATGAATAGAAAGTTAAAAACTTCCAAAGTATACACAGTTTGTTATAAACGTTCACTGATGGATCAGGTAAACATCACTACTTGGTTGTGTGTGTGTGTGTGTGTGTGTGTGTGTGTGTGTGTGTGTGTGTGTGTGTGTGTGTGTGTGTGTGTGTGTGTGTGTGTGTGTGTGTGTGTGTGTGTGTGTGTGTGTGTGTGTGTGTGTGTGTGTGTGTGTGTGTGTGTGTGTGTGAGTGCATGCGTGCGTGCGTGCGTGTGTGTGTGTTAGAGGTAGAGAGCTCTAAAGCCAGATCTCACAGCAATCTCCATGGATGACTTCATAGCAGATATTAAGCCTCTTTTAGCCCTTGTCCACATGGCTCCATCCAACAGTCTGTTAAACTAAAGGAGCCAGATGTGGACAGATGTAACTTATTATTCATCATATACAGGCCTCATGTTTACCTCCTTTCTGATCCTATAAAATGAATCAAAACACAACGAGGCTTTGTGAAATGTCTCTGTACAGGATGAAATCATTAGGGAAGACAATTAGCCTACAAACTGCCGTCTGGCAAACAAACAGTGAGCTGCTCCACTTCTGATCAATTATCTGGCCAGTCACAGAGGAGGAGTACTGTCAGCACGGAGCCTTAAACAAGGGATAGGAAAAAACAACTGAAACGACTGAAAGACTTTCAAATCACATGAAAATCTGGCTCATTCAGAGAAAAGTATGAAGAAATCAGAGGTGGTAAAACTTTTCTGCAGAACTTTATAAATATTCTTCATTCAAATTTGGTCTCTAAGCAACCACCTTTGTGTATTCGTGCTCAAGCCATCAGTGTCTTCTATGAATGCATCACATACATTAGCTTTCAGAGACTTCGCTGAACTCTCAGTTGCTTGTCAACAGTGTCATCTTGTGGCCAAAATGATTAAGTTTTTTGTTTTCTTGTTGAATTTTCTTTCCTGTGTGTTCTCAGGGTTTGCCAGGTCGTGATGGAGCTGAGGTGAATGTAGTTTACACCAAATTTATATGACTCATATTAGAAGATAAAGATGATTTTGTAATTTCAATTGAAAATAAAAGCTCATATATATATTTATATATGCTTTGCTTTAGGGACCACAGGGGCCGCCTGGGAAGCTGGTAGGATTACCAGTAGATTATTGTTCTGAACTTGTCAGATCTTTTCTTTCCTGTGTTTGTTGGTTTGGTCTTAAGGATTTTGAGCTGTTTTGATCTGCAGGGAGAGGACGGTGAGCCAGGCTATCCAGGACTTCAGGGTCCTCCAGGGTCAAAGGTACAGCTGAGCTTTATGTGCCTACTGGCAGGTATAGGTAATAGATGGATGGATTCATTGATGTTTATCGGCTGTTGCTGATTGCACCAGGGAGAGCCAGGTGTGGGAGAGAAAGGAGAGAGAGGCATGGACGGGCTCCCAGGATTTAAGGTAAAAGTCTATATTGTGTTTATGTACAATACAAAGAGGGAGTTGTGCTACTATGTTTGCTTCTTCCACAGGGTGATAAAGGAGAAATGGGAGAACAAGGACCTCAAGGACCCATGGTGTGATCTTTGTTTATCACATCAAATATATTTTTCACATTATTTTGTCATCCCAGTTTGTCATTTGTGTTCATCTTAACATAATTGTCTGCAGGGTCATCCTGGTGAAAAGGGCGCTGCAGGCTCCTCAGACATTGTGGACTTCAACGGCAAACTCCTGGATGCTTTCCAGGTCCGTTTTTATCAAATATTCCATCAGAAATGTAACCTTCAGTCAAAGAACAGCCCAGATATGGCTTTGTGGTGAGGAAATTCATGCTGGAGATCTAATCCAGAATCTGCTGCCGCTTCTTGTTGACAGGCCATCAACACCATCAGCGTTTCGGTAATCCGCTGCTGACGCTGCACGGTTTTATCTAACACCACTGTTCAGACGTTGTGTGCTCCCACCGCACACCACACCTGCTTTGATTTGAGGGGTTTGTGTGTTTTTGTGGCTGCTCACGTGTATTGGATGTCACTCTTTGAGCCACGCGTGAAGAGCCTCGCCGAACGTCCGGCTCCTCCTGTTCTAGATGTGACACGAGACCTCAGCAAACCAATTCCAGCTGTGTGTTTTAATCAGATAACATGTTTGGAGAGATGTGCCTAACCGTGGAGAAGGATCAGAGAGTTGTGATGCTAGAACTCACCACAGCTGCATGGTGTTCTTCATGATGTACGTTTGTGAGCTTTAGGAAATCCTCATTTGCCACAATCCCATCTTTGCATCAAAGGTCTTGATCCTATCAGGTGTTGCTACTGAAAGATGGCTATCTTTGCAGTGTTGTGTGCATTTGATGTAGGAACCAGTCTGAGCTCTGATCTGAAATGACTTCCTGCATGGAAAGCTGTAACCTGCGGCCTGAGAAAGTTACAGGGCAGGCGATGAAAACACGAACCTGAGATCTTATCAGGAGCTTCTTGCCTATGAAGATCAGCCAGCAGACATTATCTCACACACACGCACACACACACACGCAGTAAAAACACACACGTTCGTTCTCTAGGCCACCCACTTTGAGTTTCGATCTCTTGCTTGCGAGAGAAGCAGGTCTTCACATTTCACCCCCATAAAACGATGCTGAAATAGTTTGTTTCTTACTGTCGTCCATTTTTCTGTTGTTTCCATGATCGTTGGCATGCGTAGCCATGACTTTCCCAATGATGAAATATCCCAGATCAAATAGCTGCTTTTAAGCGTCTTCAGTTTCCATGATTTTCATGGAGAACAAAGGGGAAAAAAGGAGCTATACACCTCTGGGAGGCAACGTGGTTTCCCCTCTTATGACTTCAAGATGGCCTTCAGAGGCAGGAGGAACAAGTGCAACATTGTGGACGTAGAAATTAGGGAGTTTGATTTAGAAGGCCTGTCACCCGTTACAGGCTACACTGAGTAAATATGTCATGCATGTGCGTGTGATTCCTTATCCATTGTTAAATGTACTCACATGAATGTTTGGGCTCTCCTCCTTTTTGACTCATTCTGCATCAAAACAAGCAACAGAATGAGGAAAGATGCCAGGGTGCATTGTGCAGCGCAGACCACATTTTATAATATCTGTGAGATAAAATTGCTTCAAGTTGGTTGTGATCAGCAGAGTTCGGATTTGTTTACTGCTCTGTGTATGAGGAGTTTCCAGATCTGATAAACAGTGAAAATAAACAGCAGCAAACATGTACAAGATGTGCTGCACTTAAAAAATGACTCGCCTAATTGGAGTTGATATCAGTTATTGACTCAAGGTTTGATTAAGCTGCAGTTTACTGACAGGGTGATGTTAAATGACTGCTGTGTGGTTTTTCATCAAACACCCCTTCTCTTATTATGTGTTTTGTCTCCAGGGCCCACCGGGACCACCGGGACCTCCTGGACATTCAGGAGAAAAAGTAAGACATTTAAACCTTTTCCCTTGTGGTTTTGGTTGATTTGCATCCTTAAAGTGATCGTTTTGGTGTTTTTAAGTCTTTCATGTCTTTGTGTTGAGGTTGTAAACATCTGATGTCATTGAACAACCTCAGTTTGAAGAAACAGAAATGAGCTCTAATCGTATTGACAAGCTAATGGCTAGCCACAGCAGGGTGACAACTAAATGAATATTGCTTTACAGCAGGGGTGTCAAACTCAAACTCACAAGGGGCCAAAATGAAACTCTGGGATGGAGTCGAGGGCCAAACTTAATATTTTTTGAAAAAGTGACGGCAAATTTGCACATTTTCTTTATCAACAAATATGCAATTTTGAACCTTTTAATTAGGAAACAAACTTATTTCTGCATTAACACTGAATGTGGAATAACCAAATTACACACGAGCAAGTCAGTTTTAAATAAAACACATCAGTGGTATTCATTACTTGTGGTATATTCAGCATTTTTAAAATCTATTCAGGATTTATGTTTTCTTGTTTATTCATTTTTCTTATTTTTTATTCTCCTTTTTTTCTCCTGTAATACGTGTCATCGCTGCTGTGACATCTAGCTTTCCCCACTGAGGAACAATAAAGGGATTTTCTATTCTATTCATCTATCTGCAGCCTTTCCACTTCCTGTTTACTGTAGGTTAAATCTTTTCTCACGGGCCAACAACAAAATAAAAATATCATTTTATCTTAAATGAAAATGCAACATCTCACCTGTTAACTTTCATGTTTTGGAGCAGAAAAAGAGCAGAAAACCAACATATTTAAAGCTCAGTTAGCTCCACTGGTTTACTGTGATGCTCACCTGTTCCAGCCAGATACCTGCATCATGGGGTTGATCTGAGCTGAGGAGGAGACTCCTGTTGTTTTGTTCATCTTCATCATAATAATGACAACATTAGATGACAACAGGTGCTCACATAGGTTTGTGCTGATGAACATGTCTGAGCAGCTTGACCACGTTGTTGTGTGTCGGGGAGGAAACACAACGACAGCAACCACAGAGCCGTGCTGGTTTGAGCGTGTCGCTGCTCGCTGGAGTTATATCAGCTCTGTCTGGACGTTAGTTGGAAAACTTTCTCTTTCAGTTGTGAACACATTACTGAGCGGTTAAAATCTCAATTTCTGGGCTTCAACGTCGGCAAATAGCTGAGTAAACTCAGCGCTGAGTGAGAGGAGTGTTTAGTTTGTCCGAGACAGCGGAGCTGCAGAGACCGGCAGCAGACGCTGGAAAAAACACAAAGGAGGGGGAGCTTCGGCTCTGCGCTAACGCCGCAAAGCATCAAGGAAGTTGTAGTCTTTGCGGTAAAATCAGCCAGCGGGTCAGTTTTGATATATTTTTGATATTTATCTCGCGGGCCACATAAAAATGCTCCGTGGGCTACATCTGGCCCGCGGGCCTTGAGTCTGATACGTGCTTTAAAGAAAAACAATCTCAAAACCCTCATAGCAGTTCAGCCCATAAATTGTATTTTTCACTTTTAATTATTTACAAAGACAAATTGTTGTGAAAAACTTTAATTAGGAAATTAGCATTGGAGCTAGCTAACTGTTTCTGCATCTAACTCACAAGCCGTTTTTACATAACAATGCCGTCAGTTTGTCACAACGCTGTGGCGGCATCAGGGCATCTTTAGATCGTATATGAGTGGTCAGACCGTGGCAGTCGCAATCGTGTCCTATTCATGAAAGATTACCTGATGACGGCATAAAGGGGGTAAGGGGGTGGTCTCTATGCTGCTGCAGACTTCCATTTATCTTGGACATAACTTGCTTTTTATTGCGATAAAAGCCATTCCCACCTAAAGGTGTCTGTCCCCGTGCAGTCCCTAGTGATCTGAGCTCCAGTTCTGACAGAGAGAAGCTCCAGGAGCTCTGCATTGCTCAAGATTATCATCTCAACTAATTCTGTTTACAAAAGCGAAACTTACGGCTTGTCATTACTTTTATTTTCAAAATGGCTACCAGCCAGAGCCGCATCATTGCGGTAACAATTTGCTGATTTGCCGGCACGGTGTTTCTTGTAAAAGGGTTACAATCAGAATTTCCTGACATGTCTTCCAGTATAACAATGTGTTTGTATAAACCACCAGAACATTTTTTGTATTAGATGTTTTTGAAGATGGCTCTAGCCCTCTTTTTCTATGCCTTTCTATGCCTAGCCATTAGCAAGTCAATCCAGTCAGAAGTAATCTGGGTTTTTTCAAACTAAAGCTATCCAAAGAGCTACTCATAGCAATTATTTACAGCCCAGAACCATTCACTTCAAAAGATCCTAATAGCCATGTTTGTAGTTCTGTTAGTAAATCTTCTGTCTCTCCTGTTGTAGGGCGAGCTCGGTTTACCTGGACCAGCAGGAGTCGACGGACAAAAAGTACTAACAGAAGCACCCTGCCTGTCTGAAATCAACGCATATGTCTTCTCATCTTCTTATTTATTTGTGATTTTCAGGGACAAAAGGGCGACGTGGGTGACTCTGGCCCTCCTGGTGAAAGAGGGGAGAAAGGAGAAATGGGTCTATCCGGGCCTTCTGTAAGTGCTGATGGGAAACAAGTCACTCGGGAATTTACAAATGTGACAAATTAAAGTAATTCCATGTTTGTGGATCAGGGTATGGATGGACAGAAAGGGGACAAGGGTGACTGCAGGCTGGATGACAACCTGGTTAGTGTGAAACACACACACACACACACAGTTTTACTTTATTTCACTGCATTAAAGCAGGCAGAATTTTTCATTATTAAACAATTTTAAAAGTTTAGTCAGTTTGAAGTTTAGATAACTTCAGTAAAATGAGCTTTATAAAATGTACCATCACATCACAAAGGTAAAACTCAGGTTTTTATTTTTTTGTTGGTTATTTTTTGTCTTTTTGAGCATATTTGACTAAAACTTATTTTCTTTATCACATTTTCTAATTAATTTTATTTGCATTTTTTTGCCCCATTTTTATTTTTCTCACCTCATGTCCACATTAAATCATTTTATAAATGTTGGTCATTTATCTTTGCTCGTGATCTTACTCCTTTGCTGTTTAACTCTTTGGATCAGATTCAGATGATTTCTCAGCCGGGTCCTCCAGGCCCTCCTGGCCCTCCAGGAGTCCCTGGGTCTCCAGGATCCATGGTGAGTCTCTGCACCATCAGGTTTGTGGTTATGAACCTCCACCGTCCCTCTGACTGTTCATGCTGTGTTTCAGGGTCTACATGGGATGCCTGGCCCTAAGGTGAGCCTGCGAGGCCTGGCGTATCTGCTTTAGGGAGGTGTGTTGTTTAGGACTCAGGGTTGTGCTGTCTCTACAGGGTGAACCTGGAGTTGGGGTCAAGGGGGAGCAGGGTGAAGCCGGAGCTCCTGGATACAATGTCAGTAGCACCTGGATCCTGTTATTTTCATACATTATTGTATTTTTGATTAATTGCTGATGGGAAATTTTATTTCAGGGACAGGACGGCCACCAGGGTCCACCTGGGTCTCCTGGGTTGGTGGGTCTTCCCGGTGCAAAAGGAGAAAAAGTAAGAGTCTCGTTTTCTGTTTTATAAATGATCCTGAGATATGAGGCGTAACTGTGGGTCTGTGTACACAGGGCAGACCGGGAGAGCCAGGACTAGATGTGAGTGAACTTTTTCAGCTGCAGTATTTTCAGTTTGACTGACGATACCATTTTTTAGCTTCTTTGTGTTTCTGTGTTCAGGGTTTTCCAGGTCTGATGGGGGACAAAGGTGACCGAGGGGACAAAGGAGAAAAGGTGAGTTTAACAATAACCCAAACGAGTGGTGAGCACGGATTTAATGATGATTTGATCTGCAGATCTGTCTTCAGCCTCATTTCCAGGCTGTTTCTGTAGCCAGGTTGTTGTTTCTGACTGTGGTTGTGTTTCAGGGTGACCGGGGGTCAGTGGGAAAGAGAGGACTGAAGGGACAGAAGGGAGAACAAGGTCCTCCAGGACTGGACCAGCCGTGTCCTGTGGTACGACACACACACACACACACACACACACACACACACACACACACACACACACACACACACACACACACACTCACACACACACACACACACACACACACACACACAGAGCTCTGTGTGTCACTTTGAGCATCCCATCTGCTTTCTCTGTTTCCTCCTGGATGCTGTGTAACTGATACCCTCTGACAGGGCTGTGATGAGACTAAGGGTCTGTCTGTGAAGGCGGGGCTTTCTCCACCTGAAACTCCTCCTCTTCCTCCTTCTGGCCCCGAGGCCCCCTGTCCTGTGGTACAGTAGCTCTCTTTCCTTCTTTTCTTTTATTTTTCATCTCCTACATCACATCTAATCTATCATCTTTTCAAGCATTTCACTTCCTTCTATGTTTTAGTCTTCTGTTGATCTCTGGATGTCATGAGTGAACCCCTCACTTACTTCCTGGTTCAACATTTAGTGTTAACAGTGGAAACAATGATGAATGTTATTATCCACTGGCTGTTCGTGTAAAAACCAGGGATCCCGCTATTAATTTGCCAAAGTGCCGAGAGATACCAGATTTAAATAGTATGCCGATCTGACACCATAAAAGCCTAATTTAAGAACATTATTAGCTCTCTTAAATTGATGCTACTAATGTTACTAATACTAATGTTAGCATAAAGCTAATGCTGAGTGGTTCTTGTTTTATATCCTTATTTCTAGTTAGCATCACTTAAAATGTGCAGAATTTGCTTCTCTAATATTACAACGAATCAAAATGATCAAAAAGTGAAATAAACAGAAAATATCAGTTTGTTTTTAGGAGACACATCATCAGTGATTTTGTTCAGAGACCACAGTAAGACTGAATAAATTTAGAGAAGCAAAGACATTAATCAGCTTAAAATAACATATTCTAATGAAACGTTGAGATAAATAGCTGCGGTTTAATTCAGGACATAACTGAAAAGAGAAATGTTTTATCTTTTTTCTTTTCTGCTTGAAGCTGGATATAGTTCATTTGGTCAGGATCTAATCGTGTTTTAATCATAATTGCAGATAAGTTTCTTTGAAGAATTGAGATTTTGTGTGAAATTTTGGGTTTATTCAGGAACAGCAGCAGCTCAGGAGGTAGAGCGGGTTGTCCAATAATACGAAGGTTGCAGGCTCGATCCCGGCTCCGACCAGAGAATGCTGCTGTTGTGTCCTTGGGCAAGACACTTAACCTGCCTTGCCTGCTGGTGGCGGTCAGAGGGACTGGTGGCGCCTGTGTTTGGCAGGCCTCGCCATACAAATACAGACCTTTTACCATTTATTTAGCATTTGTCTGGTGGAAACAAGACAGCTACAAGAGCTTTTACAGAGCTACATCCTTAAAAAGCTTCCAATCTGAGAAAAACTGGGAAATGTGATACTTTGAGCACAAATGTTTGTAATTTAATCTTTTTGTTCACCAGTTGCCTGAAAAGAGCACACATCAACATTACTGTTATGATTTGTTTGCTGATGGTAAAAAATAAAATTTGTGGAGCTTCACGGTAAACATGCATAAACGTTCCTCTTTTATTAACCCACAGGGACACGATGGGCTACCAATACCAGGCTGCTGGCATAAGGTGAGTGTAGTTATTTTATAGAATAATGCAGCATAGTCCCTTGTTAAATAAAAATACAGAGAACTGGTGTGATGAGTTTTTAAATCACTGAAATGATAACTATTGGCTTTGATTTAACACAGGGCCGTGTTGTAAGTAAATTTCTGTGTGTGTGTGTGTGTGTGTGTGTGCGTGTGTGCGTGTGTGTGTGTGTGTGTGCGTGCGTGCGTGCGTGCGTGCGTGCGTGTGTGTGTGTGTGTGTGTGTGTGTGTGTGTGTGTGTGTGTGTGTGTGTGAGCTACTTGGAGACTAACCAGTCATCACTATTCTCTCTTTGCAGTGATGACTAACCAGCAGCATGGAGACTGTACATATTGATATGGTATATTTTGCAAGTGAATACACACCAGCAACATCCCCTTTTATAAAGTCCTATTTTATAATATATTGAGAATGTAAGGACATTTTTCGGAGCCGACTCTTTTTTTAACTCACAATTTGGTGTTGTGAACGCAGCCGTGAACTGGCAGTGGGACTTTTGGGTTTGAAGGACAGTCCAGGCGGACGTGCTGGGGTTAGAAGAGTGCCTCACTAACAAACTTGTTGTAACCACGGCTGGGAGACGTGTGATGTGTGTGCACTCAGCCGCTCTCAGCGATGGATGGATGTTTGGACGAATGGACTTCTGTTGGTTTGTTTTGAACAGCTGGAGGTGTGTGTTGTCAGTGCTCTCTTGTCCTCTGTTTTCTATAAAAAGGAGGAAATGGCGAGGCAGAAGCTCAAACGCAAGCGTCTCTCTCAGCCTTGAGAAGGGGGTGGAGCCTGTCGGAGGAAGAGGACAGCACAGGACTGGAAATGGGAAACCTTAAAGAGCATACTGGCTTTTTTTCTGAAACAGAGCTTGCTATCTTGATGCCTCTGCGTCACACTCAGATCGTCTGTTGTGGAATCGGTCCAGGAGGGGGCGACAGAGCTCCACACACACCTCAGAGGGGAGGCGGGATCTGTTGCTGATGATGTTGCTCTTACAGATTTGAGTTATTTGGGAGTCTCTGGCACATAAGGAAGGAGTTTGCCGTGGAGATATGTTGGACGTGTCACAATGATGTTTTGTATGACTTTATTAATGCATGATCATCCCCGTGTTGTTTAGCATGCAGATTGTGTGACTCTCACCACAATGAACAAAACAAAACATATTGGTTTATTCTTTTCCATTTTTCTCCAGTTCCAGTTTGCATTCCTGAAATTTTCCTTAAATATAAGCAGACGATGAATGTTAAAGGGCAGGTCTGAAGGAACCATTTGCAGTATTACTGATCAATCATTGTAGCCTTGAGAAATAATCACCCTCATCTGATGCATTTTGACTGATTATTTAGTGTTTTAACATCAAAGGAAGGTGTGTTTGATCTCTGCTTCCAGCCTGTTTTGGACAACAGTAGAACTTGTTGCTGCTGACTTCAATTTGTTTTGAAACTAACATGAAATTTGATTGAAACGTGTGTTTTTATGAGTTCATAATTCATTTTCACTAAGCAGCGTGCCTTAAACTTGTCATTTGCTTTGCATTTTATACAAACCTTTGTAACTGCTCTCAGAAAAGTCTTTGCCTTTGTTTTTTTACCTGGGTGTTGCAACACATTTCTCTCGGATGGAAAATCTGTTGGTGCTTCTTTAATTTCAAAGCTATTTTATGAAACCACTTAGAAAAGGCACGCACAGATGCAGAATTTTATATAAAAATCTGCAACAAGTGCACTTTCTGGTTGGTACTGATAAACGTTTATGTCAGGATCCACAGGGATATTGATGGAAGATTAGGTAGATTTTTAAATAAAGGCCCTGCTGCTTTCCTTATTCAGTGTTACTCTGATGGAGCCTCATGGATTTGCTTCAGTCATGCTGCAGATTTCTAATTTCTGCTGTTTTATTGGATTCTATGTTTTTTATTATTTCATCTTGCTAAATAATTTCTGTATCAGTCTTGTTTTAATTTAAGTTTATTGAGGATTTGTTTATTAGAAAAGAGTGTTTCAGATATTAAGCTGAAATCAACAAATTCAAAAACGTACACGATGGGTGAAACATTTTATTTGAACACTTGTGTATAACTGAAGACGATTTAAAGATCAAGTTTTGCTGTATTTCAGTGTCAGACGGTAGTTATCTGTTGCATATCTTCATATGTGTTTATTTCTTTTACAGATTCTATCAGCTCCTTTTTAAAATGTTGGTTTATTGAAGTACGTTCATGGCACAGTGTCTGATTGGAGTTTCACATTGTAACAGATCTTAATACAACAGTATTAGCTAAACTTTGTGTGAATGTTTTTACTTTTGGTTGTGTTCATTGGTTGTAAAAGATTTAAGCTATTTTTGTAATTACTTGTCCAAATATAAATATATATGTGAAATAAGTAAAACAAAAAATCTGGTCCGTAAACATGCAGACAAAAATAAACTTTAAAGTGTTATGGTTTCATTTTATCATGCTAATGTGTCTTTTCCTTTTTGGTCGTGAGGGCAGCTTGAGCAGAGTTCTGTCTGTGTAGGTTTATCTAATTCCATTATTTTGTTCTTTTCCAAACACAGTGATAGATATTTGTTATTTACCTTTTTACAGACAGGTTTAGGCTACATCTGTAGCCGTTTTCATCATTGGTGACGCTCTGAAGAAGGCTACAGATGTAGCCCAAACTTGTCACCAAGAAGGTAAATAACATTTCTAATACTCAGTGTTCAGAAAAGAACCAAAGATGGAATTGGCTGAGCTCTCACTTCGGCATAAGAAACCGCTACAATGCCCACATCACTTTAGATGCAACACCAATCCTATTGATCGCCCACTACATTTTCCCTCACTCATTAGGAGAAGGCATTCTACCCTTTTCTGACTCAAGACCATGGTCTATGATTTCCAGGTGGGATTCTCATTCCGGCTGCTTCAAACTCACCTGTGGCCGAGATCACGGTCTGATGAAGCCAACAGGAACACATTATCTACAAAATGCAGAGAACTGATCCTTGGGCCACCAAAACAGATCCCCTCAACACCTTGGCTGTGCCTAGAAATCCAGTCCATAGATGTTAGGAGCAGAATCTGTGACAAAGGGTAGCCTTTGGACAGAGTCCAACTCATGGGAATGAGCCCAACTTACTGCAGAGTCCGATAAATTTTAGTGGCTGGGCTGCAAAGTGAAACAGCAGTCCACGGGGGGCGCTCATTACTGGCCTCCATCCAGGCACGAATGGATGCAATATCTGCATCAACATCCTGGGCCTGGCTCAAGTCCCCCATGGTCCAACCATGAAACAAAGGAACACATGTACCTTCTCAGTCTGCTTTACAACACGTGAATCAGTGGGAATGTTCTGATGTATTGTGTCTGTATGTGTGGAAGTGTTTTGGTCTAGACTCTAGAATATTTGTGTTGGGTGTAGGGGTGCTTTGACTTACCCCCACTGGACAGACTGTTGTGTCAGCCCGCCGGTCGCTCTTCCACCCCCACTGGACTCAGCAACAGAAATCTCCCATCAGAGTCCAAGCTGCACTGGAATGCCAAATGTGTAGATGGGTTCGGAAGTTTGCATAGGCTAGACAGGTGGCATGGTCTTCTGGAAAGACTATCAGCATTTGTGTGCACCCGACCCGGGTGATGAACGATCTCAAAGTCATATTTGGCAAGCTTCTCAAGCCAACGAGCTAACTGTCCTTCGGGCTCTTTCATCTCTGTAAGCCAACGCAGGCTTCCATGGTCTGTGCACACCTTAACCCTGTGGAGGCAGGCGTTGCTGATTTGCAATGTTAAAACCTACCTACCTGGTGCTCCACATACATATTTCATGAGCATTTTTTAAATTAGAAGTACCCCTGAAGGACTTAGTTGTTCGTCCTTTTATCAAAACTTATTTTGAGCCTGAGAGGGTTAAAGGGCTGCCCCAGGAGATACTGGCGGAAATGGGAAGTGAAATCCACAATGGCCAGCAATTGACTAGTAATTAAAATTGCGCCCACATTTTCTAAGTTAACACACATCTCTTTTAACAATGGTAGTTTTTGCATCTTTACAGTTCCCCTGCTTCAGAAGTTGAGGGCTTCCAGGAGCTCCCTCTAGCTCACCCATATTTCGAATGTTGCGTATAGCACAAGTTTGTCACGTGAGTTGCTGAATCCTAGCAGACAGTTGCCTTTCAAAATAAAATGGTTCCCGGATCTTGTTCCAGCAAGATCTGGCTCAAATTAAGCCCTGTCTACAAGTCTACAAAACACGTAGATTGGTTGGATGAACTCCTGTGCACCCTCTATGACCCTGCTAAGGGTATAGAGCTGGTCTAGTGTTCCACAGACCAGGAGAATATCACATTTTCCTCCTAAATCTGATTGATTATCCAGGGGACCTTTGTCTCTGGATCCTTTGAAGAGACTTTGCCTGCTAAGCTCAGGAGTGTTTTCCCCCTGTGGTTGGAGCACACCCTCCAGTACCTCTTTATAAATAGGGGGATCATCACCCCAGTCTGTCAATCCAGTGGAACTGCCCCCAGTATCCACACAATATTTACTGTGCCGCATCAACCAACACAGTCCCACAACATCCAGCGCCTTGAGGAACTCCAGGCGAATCTCACCCACCACTGGAGCCCTACCACTAAGGAGTCTCTTAACCACTTTGGTTGCCTCAGCACTAGAGACTTGATAGCCCAAACCCCCAGAATTCACTTCCTAAATGGAAGATGTGCCAGTGGAATTGAGGAGGTATTTAAAGTACTCTTTCCACTGACTCACAACATCCCAAGTGGAGGTCAGCAGTACACCATCCCCACCATAAACAGTGTTGGTGGTGCAGCTGTGTCACCCTCCTGAGACATCAAATGGTGGACCAGAATCTTCTCAAAGTATGAAACTCCTCCATGGCCTCATCAAACTCCTTCCAGCAGGTATTTTCTTCCTCCACCACCTGAACCACACTTCACTTGGTATCTGGTGCCTCAGACCAAAAGACTCAACAGGCACATACTACTCTGTGGCCGTAGCTCTAGTCAGCTGTTTCAACTTTTATTTTAGTAAAATAAAGCAAATGACTAAAGAAGTTTGAAAATGACATGTTTTAGAAAGTAAAACGTCATCTGCTAGGATGATCAAGTCTTACAGTGGGAGGAGGCTTACCATACAATTTTTTTCTAAGCACACAACACTGTTACCAATATTCTCACTTCAACCTAATGTAACAGTGTTGAAATAGTGTAGCTGTGCAGTAGTTTACATATAGAAATATCAGATTATTCATAAAACATACCAGTAGAAAGCCTGGAAATTGAAGGATTCCAAATGTTGTTCAACATGTGAGATAAAACATTAATTATTTTGTAGCGTGGCATCATTGTCTTGTCTGTAATTGGCCTTTTTTTTTATTAGGTTATATGTTTTTATGGTTGTTTTATATTGTCTTATTTGTACTTGTTGCCTGCTGTATTGTCCAGCACCTTGGGTGTTTGATGAGATTGTGGAAGGGACATTACAATCTTCTGTGCATTCATTCTGGGTCTTTTTAACTTGTATTTTTTTTTTTTTTGGTTCTCTTTTAAACACAGGAAAGAAAAGTTTTCTTCTCTGTGTTTAAAAAAGAACCCATAAATAAATAAATACAAGAGACTTTACAAATAAAGTGAAATGAAATGAAAATTCAAATTTTAAAGATTGTTTGTTAATCAGTACACAAGTATAGAGCAGGCATGTATGTGGCCCTCATTTGTCGCCCTTGGAGCAATTTATGTCACTGTCGTCCCCCCCCCAACATTGTATGTTCAAACTTAATAGTCCATTTTGACAAATTTTAGGGAGTACAAATGCAAGAATAAATATTTTTAGCATTTAAAAAATGTATATGTTGTGGCCTACAAGGACAGTTAACTTGCTGATTTTGGCTCTTATCTAGGAAAGTTTGGACATCCCTGGTATAAAATATATCAAGGCGTCAACTTTAAAGCCGCCTTTCACATGAAAAGAAACAAATATTATGGGATTAAAGCTCGTGTGTGTGTGTGTGTGTGTGTGTGTGTGTGTGTGTGTGTGTGTGTAACATAAAGTATAAAAAATACGGACGTTTGTAAAATATAGAATATTCTAAAATCAGAAAATTTGTGTCCATCACAGACATTTTATTTTACTGGTGCTATGTTTCGTAAGAGCTTAATTTCCTTTATTCATTCAGACAGAAACATATCAGGGATGTGCACAGCTGTTACCAATAACCAAATCAGTGTGTATTACTTATATATAATGGTGATGTGTTGTAAGTGAAATGTTTTATCATGTTTCTAAACAGTCCCCTTCAGTCTTTTCTTGTAGCACACTTGGATGACTTGGGGAAAAAAACATATCCCAGAATGCTCTGCGAGCCCTTCACCCCTCTTAGTTTTTGCATCCGGGTCTGTACTTCCTTTTCCTCCGTGCCTAGATGCGATGAGGACCTAGGTTTTTACGAACCTGAGAAATATCCGAATCCATCCTTGTAAAAGGCACCACCGAACCTCGTCAAAATGACCGAGCAGATGACAGTGAGGGGGACCCTGAAGGGCCACAGTGGATGGGTCACCCAGATCGCCACTACCCCTCAGTATCCCGACATGATTCTGTCGGCGTCCCGAGGTGAGGCTTCCCCCGCCGGCAGCCGCCAACATGGCTACAGCTAGCTTTGTAAGCTAGCAGTGACTCTTTGGTAATGTTACAAAAATACGATTTTTGCGGAAGTGGCAGAAGACCGCTGAAATGTGATTACAACAGCCTAAAGGCTCATTAATCGCTTATAGTGAACATTTGCGACTTCAGAAGTGGAGGAAACCTGGTGTAGTTAAACTTGTGCTTTCTAGCGTCATTAGCTGGATCTACTGTGTTTCACTCCTGGGTTTACACCAACATAGCACCGACACTGATTCATCCAGTTAAACATCAGACTACTTGACATGAGGTTATAAGGCCTTGAACCAAGCGCTGCAATGTGATATTAACTTAAGTGCTAGCTTCGCATGCTAATGCTACCTACCTGCTCTTTGCTTTAGGCAATACTCCTGAGTCCTGAACCTTATGTGTTAAACTTTCAGACAAGTCCATCATCATGTGGAAGCTGACTCGTGACGAGACCAACTATGGGATCCCTCAGCGCTCTCTGAGGGGCCACTCTCACTTTGTAAGTGATGTTGTCATCTCCTCGGATGGACAGTTTGCTCTCTCAGGCGCCTGGGACGGCTCCCTCCGACTGTGGGACCTCACCACGTAAGTACAGCTAGGAAGAAAGCTTCTACATCAGATCCGCTGTCCTGTAAATATATCTCTTTACCCGTTTACCTGCTCCCAACATATTTAAATGTGTGAGAGCATCTAGAGAAGTCAACTTAGGAAGGTTGTGATGAAATCAGTTAATCTGGGTCCTTTAGAGCAGGAAACGTGTGGAACTTGCAGGATGGTACCCCTCAAGGAAAAAAGTTGCTGACCCTTGATCTGCATCATCTAAGCATCTATGTGGAACACAGTTTAAACTAGTTAATGCTTTTCTTTTTAGAAATAAGTAAGTTGGTAAAGACTTGCATGTTTGTATTAGCTGGAAGTATGTCCTTTCTAAATTTAAGTTGTAACAAACATCCTGGATAGTTTTAAAGATATGATTTGTCACCTTTGTTCTATAAATGAAAATGTGTTTGAACCGATGTTAACACACAGTCCGCGCTAATGCGTATTTGTTACTAGAGCTACAAACATTTCAGCACTTATGACCTCTAAATACCAAGTTGCCAGGGAACATAACTTAAGCCATAAAACAGTTGGTAAATGACATCTAGTTAAGCTACACCATGTGTAAACCCAATCTTGGTGAACAAACTTCATTTGCGTGTACATGACCGTGCAACAGCTTTTTATACTAGTGTTTTGTACCACAGATAGAACTTCAGTAATCTCGCACTAAATAATAAACAGCTGACATTTAAAAATGCAGTTATATACAATTACAATGTTTGTCAGAGATCCTATAAAATAAATTCTCCCAGTTTCTTGTACCCGACACTGTTGTTCCACAGTGTTATTGTCCTTACTACACCTTCATCACTTTATACACTCCTTAGTTGTGACTTAAGAGAACAGTAGATCTAAATAAATGGGTTTGGGGTTTATACAGGAATAAAACTACAGTCCATGTTTGAACAGTTTTAATCATCTAAGTGAGGAGCTGGAATTTGATTCTGGCTAAAGTGCTGGAACCCGATATAAACTGAACCTAAAAAAAAATTGTCATTGATCGGCATTAAGGTTTGTGTACTAAAGTGATTTGTTTGAATACAAGTGGGGAAAAAAACTGTTTTTAACTCCTTAAATGACTGTAGCTTGTAGAGGCCATAATTAGTAGAGGAGGGCAGGCATTTTAAACTGTAAACTTAATATAGCTTTATTCTAATCGGACGTCTTAATCTTGTGTTTTTCTAGTGGCACCACCACCCGTCAGTTTGTTGGACACACAAAGGATGTTTTGAGTGTGGCTTTCTCTGCTGATAACCGTCAGATTGTATCTGGCTCCCGAGACAAGACCATCAAGCTGTGGAACACTCTTGGAGTCTGCAAGTACACCATTCAGGTGAGCTGTCACTTAATGCTGCTGCTGCTGCTGCTTAGAGCTGTTCCTTCTTTGGTTTTCATTTAGTTTTTGTTCAAGCTTTTTTTTTTTTAACTAGTTTTACATTTTCTGAGGTAGAGCACACAGCTCAGCCATCAGCTGGAGCATTGTGGACTAAATCTGTATGATGGTTTTAAGTGTGTAGTGTGTCAGGATCATGGAATAAGTCTCGGTGGTTACATGAGCTAAAGTGAGCCATTGTTGGGATGAGCTGAACTTTAAACTGTTCAAACTTGATTTTGCAGGATGAAGGCCATTCTGAGTGGGTGTCTTGTGTTCGCTTCTCCCCCAACAGCAGCAACCCCATCATTGTCTCCTGTGGCTGGGACAAGGTGGTCAAGGTATGGTTTACTAGTAATTTGCTAATGTTTGGTCCTGGTTAGATGGTTTAACTTAGTTTGCATTTATTAGCTGACTACTTGCGTAAGACAACCTTTTTTATGATTAGCTTCCATGTTGGATGTTGATGTTTGTTCTGTCTCGGGTGTGATGCCTCTCAGGTGTGGAACCTGGCCAACTGCAAGCTGAAGACCAACCACATTGGTCACACTGGCTATTTGAACACAGTGACCGTCTCCCCTGATGGCTCTCTGTGTGCATCTGGTGGAAAGGTAACATCTGCTTCCAGTAATTGTAGATTTCTGTAAAATGTTCTTTTTTAGAATCTTTAAGTGAACGGACAAGTTTTTGCAATGATGGAAAATTAATCATACATCTGTTTTAAAATGATGACAATAGAGGCTGTTTCTGAGCACGACTTGAACTTGTCACGATCCCCGTTTGTGGGGTTGGGTATCGTGTTAAGAGCTGCGATGTAATCACTGAAGAATGTTTTCTGTTGGTGTTCAGGATGGCCAGGCCATGCTGTGGGACCTGAATGAAGGCAAGCACCTGTACACCCTGGATAGTGGTGACACCATCAACGCCCTTTGTTTCAGCCCCAACCGTTATTGGCTCTGTGCCGCCACCGGCCCCAGCATCAAGATCTGGGTAAGATGTTAAGCTAAACATGTTATCAAGGAGGACTGTGATGAAATTTAAAATGTTAGCTGTATTGTTTGATGATATCAGAGGCTGTTTCTGAGCTCCGACCCAATAGAGAATGTCAATAGATTCAGGTATGTTACTTATTACCTTGGTTAGAGATACCATCACTCTGGTTCTCTTTTACCTCATTCAGGATCTGGAGGGCAAGATCATTGTGGATGAACTGAAACAGGAAGTGATCAGCACGAACAGCAAGGCAGAACCGCCACAGTGTACTTCCCTGGCGTGGTCTGCTGATGGACAGGTACGACACTCTCTGGAGGACCTTTAAATGCAGATTTCTGTTGTGACCCCTGTGATTATACCCATTCACTTTTAACTCTGATTAATTCTGCTGACAGTCCTGCAAATATGAGGGGCACCAGAGAACCACTCACATGATTGAGCCTTTTTGAAAAGCGTGCTATTATGGATGCTAACTTCTGTTCCTCTTTTACTCAACAGACCTTGTTTGCTGGCTACACTGACAACCTGATCAGAGTGTGGCAGGTCACCATTGGAACACGATAAGAACAGCCTTGCTAATGCAGCTTTGAATAAAGAGACTCTTTGAAAATAAAATGTTTTGATCTTGTATTTAATTTTGACTGTTAAATTGTTTTTTATCAAAAGGGAACATCGATCACATCGATTTAAAAAAATCTGCTGAAACAATGATCAACAGTAACGTGAAAAAATGATTGAAAAATTAGGGAAAACTGTAAGTTTCTGTATTTATTTATTTTACTTATTTTGCCTTTATTTAACCAGGTTGGTCCCATTGAGATACAAGATCTCTTTTGCAAGGGAGACCTGGCCAAGACGGACAGAGCAGCAGCACAAGTTACAAAATTAATACATTCACATTTAAATACATTTCCACATAAACTCAATTAAAACATAAACACACTGATGGTCTGGATTCCAGTGACCTAATCAGTCAAATCCACTCAAGGAAACCAAATCCTTGATTTTTAGATCTTTTTGTAGTGAATTCCATGTTGATGGAGCAGCAAAGCTAAAAGCCGACTTTCCCAGCTCTGCGAACCTTAGGAACAACAAATTGCAAAAGTTCACTTGAGCGGAGGTTGAACTGATTCTGCTGTGAGGATGGAAACATCCCTATCAGCTTGGACCAGTTTTTATTAAGTGAAATGGGGTTTAAAGTCTGAAACATTTCTATTTTTTAACACTGTTCAAATAACTGCTTGTACATTAAATCTTGGCTGCTAATCTGAAATGGAATACAGAATTAAAATTACACAAAAAAAAAAACCATGGGACAACCGGTCATTAAAATTTTGATTTAACTGGTGGTTTTCTAAATCTGGGGCTTGTAATTTGGAAAGTTCAACTGACGTTTGCAATTCGCATGGATTGTCCTACTTCAGACGCCGTAATTGTATCCTAGCAACTAGTCGACAGAACGAGCCCAGAGTGCTGCTCCAGGTTGGAGTTCCTTGTTTAGTTTACTGCTACATAGTCAAGTTTTGCGTGAGCCGTATTTCGTGGCCATTTAGCGTTCAGATGAAGATGGATCGTAAAAGGCCATATCACCGTGTCATCGTAGAGAAAACGCTGGCCGTCATTAAGCCAGACGCGTTTCAGCTGGCAGATGAGATTGAGAATGTTATCGTCAAATCTGGCTTCAGTATACTTCAGGTGAGTGAAAGTCACCTACTTTCTAGAGGCGCGTTTTCAATATTTGTGGAAGGAAGATATTTTTATTAAAATAGATGTATTTAGATGCCCGATAAACGCTGATTTCCATTGATCATCCTACGATCTGGTTTCAAATATTACGCTTCATGGTGACCGCTTTTTGAGGCCGTGTGGCTCTTACGTAGTTTTTTCAGTAGAGGGCAGTAACGGGCTGTAATTTTACTGGAAACCCTATTAAGACACCTTTTAAACGTTTAAAGGTGAATGTCTGCATGGTGTTTCTGTACATCTTTTTTCTTTCTTTTTCTTTTTTTTTTTTTTTTACTAATTGCACTTCAAAGATACTTATTGCTGTTAACTGAAACATGTCAACCATTTGATCTAGGAATGTGTGGATGTTAAATACTTTAGATTACTTATATTTTTTGACTGAAATTTCACATTCACTCTTGACCATGACCTGTCAGTAATTTGGATAGACAAGTTAGTGGAAGACCTAAAACAGTGAACTGTAATGTGTGCAGCTACACACCAAATAATATACATGGGGGTGGAAGACACCCTCCTCTACCTGCAGCACTGGGTATATGTCGATGGTGCTGACTCACCTCAAAATGCAAAAAAGCAATCTCAAGTGCTTTTAACACCATACAGCCGTGTCTACTGCAGCAGAAGATGAGGGGTGCAGGAGTGGTTGAACATCTGACTGCATGGACCATCAACTATCACCAACTGGCTACAGTACGTGAGGCTGCACAACTATATGTCTGATGTGTTTGTGTGCAGTACTGGAGCTCCACAGGGTATGGTGCTCTCACCCTTTCTATTCACCTTCTATACCTTGGACTTCAGCTACAAAACCAGCAACTGTCACCTCCAGAAGTTCTCAGATGACTCAACCACTGTCGGCTGTGTGTCTGAGGGGAATGACCTGGAGTACAGGTCAGTCACAATGGACTTTGTGGACCGGTGTGAATGTAACCACCTTCGTTGGGGTGCAGGCAGCTCTGACCAAGACTGGAAGCTCGCTTCTGGGCTGCCAACTAGTTTCAGTTGAGGAGACATGTGAATGGAGGATGGTGGGGAAAAGGACCTCCCATTTTGGAAAACCCCTCCCACCTATTGCATTCCACTGTGGAGGCCATGGACAGCTCCTTCAGAGGCAGACTGAGACATTCAAGATGTAAAACAGAAAGCTGCTGTAGGTTATTCATCCCCTCAGCAGTAAGAGTGTAAAACTCCTGAGATCAACTGGTACTGGCATTATCCTGTTACACAATAACATCTGTGCAATATTTAGTATGAGTTCAATACTTGTGCAATACCTGATGTACATCAGCATGTCTGTGTCCCTTGTGCTGCATAGTTCTGGAATCCAAGTTTTTCTTTTTTTATTTGTGGTTTTTAGTTGTTGAAGCTAACAATAATACCTTTGTGTATTTACCTGTGATCTTCTTCTTCTTCCTTTTCTAAGCATATGCGCCGCTGCTGTAGAAAGTGAATTTCCCCATAGTGGGATTAATAAAGTGTATTCTATTCTAAAACATTGTTACAGTTTACAATTGAAATTACTGCTCCCCTTGGTTCTATTTTTGTCAGATATTGCAGTACTGTACAGAACTGCTTTAGACAGATTCATGAAAAGTTGAAGTATAATGTCTGTGAGAGCTTCACAGTGCCACTTGTCCATTTAAACAAATCTGAGCTGTCTGAACTAGCTTAATATTTTTGAAGTTATATTCTATTTTCCACCACAGTGGTTCACTCACTCCACTGCTCTGTTTTCTGTGGCAGAAGAGAAGGCTGCAGCTGAGTCCAGAGCAATGCCACGACTTCTACGCAGACCAGACACTCATGTTCCCCAGTTTGACGGCCTTCATGAGCTCTGGTCCCATTGTTGCCTTGATGCTGGCTCGTGACAATGCTATCGCCCACTGGAAGTCCCTTATAGGGCCTGCCAATGCTACCAAAGCCAGAGAAACCCACCCAGAATGGTAAATCGCAGATATTTCTGCCAGTAGAAAAAAAGCATTTATGTAGTAAAATCAATGTTTGTCTTTTTACAAAGACTCAGGATTTAAATGTCCTCTTGAGGCAGGTTTCTACTTACATCCCAATTTATTAAGACATACCGACAATTTTTGCATACCGTTTCCCCTGATATATTTCTTTTGTACCTACAAAACCCACTGCCATTTTTCCGAATATTATGTGCTCACCTTGAGTTCATTTGTGAATGTGCTACTGGTCTGAGCTGTAAATCTTTAGTTTCTATTCTGCCTTTAGCCTCAGAGCAAAATATGGAACGTCTGAGCTGAAAAATGCCCTCCACGGCAGCGACTCGTGTGACGAAGCTGAGAGGGAGATCAAATTCATGTTCCCAAACTGTATGTTCCTCTCTCACCCATGCGATTATTCTTAAAGGTAATTACTATTGACTGTGATCTATCCCTTATCCTCTCTTTCTGTAGCTATAGCTGAACATGTTCCTTCAAGATGTGAAACAGAAGAATACATGAACCAGTATGTAAATCCAGCCCTGCTGAAGGGACTCACTGAACTCTGCAAGGAAAAGCCTCTGAACCCCTGTGTAAGGACTGATGCTCAGTGTGAGGAAAGATATTAAATATTATTCATCTGCTGTTGAAGGGGTTATTGTTAACATGTTGATTTCTGTCCTGCATATTTGTATTCAACAGATCTGGCTAGCTGACTGGCTTCTGAAAAACAATCCAAACCAGCCTCAGATATGCGACAAGGACACTGTGGAAGACTGATGGAGAAACAAGGAGGGAAGTCGGTTCAGTGGTTTTGCTTTTGACAAACTCTTCAGTCTGTTGGTGTACAATAATAAACAGGATTTTCAGCAGTTGACATGTTTTATTTTTCTGTTATATAATAATTATCTCAGGCCTTATTCTCCAATGAGTTCATCTTGCATCATTGATTAATTCAGTGAAAAATGTCCCATCAAATAATTGAATGCAAGAGGTTACGTGGTTAAAACAGACACCATGTTCGTTAAACACTGTTTTGGCCATTTTATTCATCAAAACAGATTGTGCTGCTGCTCTGGAGTAAACCCCACCGGAGTCTGAGTGAAAAGCAATAATTGTGGGTCAAAGCTGACAGTTTGTAGGATTTATTTTTTTTGATCGACAGCGTGGCTATCTCCACCGAATACACAAGTTTTAGCAGCTGAAAAAAGGTTCATCGAGTTCCTTCCTGTGTTCTGAAGGCGTGAACGACTTGGGCGAAAGAGACATTGACGCATTGTGATTGGGTGATGCTGCGATTGACAGCTTGCCTTAACCAATCACGTTGCCTCTTGGCAGAACTGTCTCCCCCACCCTACCGGTGCTGAAAAACCAACCACGAGTTGGCGTCGTGTGGGAGAATCCATCTTGAAGAGAGCTCTCTGGTTGTGCGACCAGTAAGTACTGTTCTATTTTTATAGCTTGATCGTGTTTTAGAAGACTGACGCTTAGACAGTCCGGTATTGTGTTGCCCCTCCATATTTGTTCAGGTCAACGTTGAACAAATGTGTTAACCGCGTCACGAGGCCACATTTCGTGCCGTTACGGCCTCTTGTCTGTAGCTTACGTAACTGCGAATTTTAGTTGCATAGTCCAGCCTTGGTTTATCTGTGTGACACAGAGGGCAACAGCGTTGCTAATCGCTGCCCTTCAGCAGAAGTGTACGATAGATTGCGTCTAGTTAACGGGTTTTGTGAGGAAGCGGCCAAGTACTGCTACGTGCGTACGCGGCTTCGCCGGCCAAAATGGTGGGGTACGCACGCAGTGGCACCACGTCAATGGCGAGGCTTTGTGGAAACACCGGCGCTTATTGTGCAAAAAACTAGGTAATTCTTCTGTGTGGTTTTAGGTGCATTAGTGGAAAATGTCTGAGGCGGAGCAACAGTACATGGAAACATCGGAGAACGGCCATGAAGTCGACGATGATTTTAACGGAGCCGGCCACACTGACGAGGGGGACGATGGCGGCGCCGAGCTTGACTGCGGACAAGGTGCGGGGACTGACTCGCAAAATGGAGGCTCCGATGGCGGCCAAATCGACGCCAGCAAAGGTGAAGAAGATGCCGGGTGAGTTTTGCACGTCTTAAGTTGTGTTTGTATGAAGTGGGCAATAATAAAACGTGATCTTGTTTTACAAATGTCTCTTTGTTCAGCCGGCCTTTTGTTGGCGCCATGTGCAGAGTGGAGGGGGATGGGCGTTTCGGAGGGAATGGCATCCAACAGCACTGACTTATCTGCAGAATCCACACATAAATGGGCATTTTACTCGTTTATAACATCATAGATTTTTCTAATCATATTTATGAAGTAGCTCAAGGCTATAACACCATAAGGTGCCCCCTCCCCCACGCGCCACTAGGTCAACAGATGTGTTGGGAACACTGTGTACATCATGTATACTGACGCCCCCTCCGCTTCTGCACCCTTCCCCTCTGCCACCCTGTATGACTAAATGTGTACTTGCTTCTGTGTTTAGGAAAATGTTTGTTGGTGGCCTCAGCTGGGACACCAGTAAGAAGGATCTCAAAGATTACTTCTCAAAATTTGGTGAAGTGACCGACTGCACCATCAAGATGGACCAGCAGACCGGCCGATCAAGAGGCTTTGGTTTTATTCTCTTTAAAGATTCGGCTAGTGTAGATAAGGTCAGTAGGAAGGCAGTGATGTTGCGTGTATATTTCTCCAAGGCGGGGTGATTAAAAATGGCCTTTTCTTGTCTGCAGGTTCTTGAACAGAAGGAGCACCGGTTAGATGGTCGACAGATTGACCCCAAAAGAGCCATGGCCATGAAGAAGGAACCAGTAAAGAAAATCTTTGTAGGAGGGCTGAACCCCGACACTTCTAAGGAAGTCATTGAGGAATACTTTGGGACCTTTGGAGAGGTGCTTAATCAGTTTTTCTAATAATTAAGGACTTTTGTTTTTACCATTTTAATCATTGGCGCTCCTCTTTTGTAGATTGAGTCCATTGAACTTCCACAAGATCCAAAGACTGAGAAGAGGAGAGGATTTGTATTTATTACATATAAAGATGAGGCTACTGTGAAGAAGGTCATGGAGAAGAAGTACCACACCGTTGGTGGCAGCAAGGTGAGGAAAGCATACCTTTTTGCATGCCAGATATGAGCGTTGGTCATGTGAAATGTGGAAAAGTAATCTGTGCTAATGTGTGGTGTTGCAGTGTGAAATCAAAATTGCCCAGCCCAAAGAGGTCTACATGCAGCAGCAGTATGGAACCCGTGGATATGGAGGACGTGGCCGGGGACGTGGAGGTAAGAACCTCATTTGCTTTTCTGGTGCGCTAAATTGCCCCCACCCCCAAGTTTGAACTTAAACATGTGACTGCTTCTTGTGCAACTGAGAGTTGTGACAATGGCCTCACCTGCTGTTTCTAGGGCAGGGCCAGAACTGGAATCAAGGCTACAACAACTACTGGAACCAGGGATACAACCAGGGCTATGGATATGGACAGCAAGGCTATGGATACGGTGGCTATGGCAACTATGACTACTCTGCTGGTTATTACGGCTATGGGGGTGGCTACGACTACAGTAAGCGATAAGTGCCCCCAGGGAAAGACAAAGAATGAGAGAAACTTTATTTTTCTTGGTCCTCTCTTGTTGTACAGAAGAACTCAGTCCCTTTTTCTCTTGTCCTCCAGACCAGGGCAATACAAGCTATGGGAAAACTCCAAGACGTGGAGGCCACCAGAGTAGCTACAAGCCATACTGATCACACGTAGTGCAGGTATGCATTCTTGCATCATCCGTGGTAGTATGAGAACGTAGCTGTAACCATTAGTGCCTTTTGACCCCAAGATCTCATTCTACTCTAAATCCATTCAAGCATTGTGGTGGGGTTAGAGTAGGCCGTGATGTGGGAGTCATTGATCATTAAAGATGGATTCATTCCACCTGTCTGCCATCTTGAGATGCATCTCTACAAAGACTACTTGATCAGTAAGGGTTGGTGGTGGTTTAAAAAAAAAAAAAAGGACCGTTTGACCTTTTAACCAGGGTGCTAGGTGTCACAGCTAGCGGTCGTGTCCCCTCCGCCTTCCCTCCTCCCCAAAAAAAATGTCTGTCCATTCACTGACCTGTCAAACCCATTCATGCACCTGTCTGTCTTTGTGTAACTGCATGCCACCTTCGGCTTATTCTCAGTAACATAAAGCACCATGTTTTTCTCTTAAGGTCTAAAGTAAATAAGAAAGAGATCCATGGTCTGACCACAGCGAACATGGACTCTGGCTTTTCCTTTGGAGTTGGCAGAAATTTGGACTCATGCTCCATTTGTACAGATCAAGTGAGGAACTGGGGAAGCAAATGTCACTTTTCCACTTTTTATTTTATATTGTCTTGTGTCCATGTCCATTTCCAGTGATGGAAGTGTTATTTTTACTGTACTTTTTGGTACCTTTTTTGAATCTAATGTATTGTATGGTTGTATTTTTACATGTCTACTGGATTTTTGGACGAGGAGGAGCTAGAGCTTTTAAAGCTCACAAATAAAACGTTATTGGTTTTGTTACTTTTTTTTTTTTTTTTTTGGTTTTCTAGATTTAGTTATTTTCTGAAATGTCAAGTGTTGGACATGACATGGCTTCAGGTGTGGGGTGAGGTAAAGAAAAGAGATCTAAACAAATTCTTTGTATGTCAAGTGAGTTTTGCTGATGGCCTTGTAGATGAAGACATCATGCTGTTTTCCCCCTTTTTGTTTTGTGTCTTTTGGCTTTTAGAGGAAGTTCTTTTCCTATCATGTCTGCAATTTTTAAGTGGCTTTACTAGTGTTAATGAACTGAACGCAAGCCTGTTAATGTAAGAAGATTCTCCCTCGGTCACTGATAACTCATTCCTCTAGTGTCTTGGGCAAATTGGTAGAAATAAAAATTTGGTTTATATTACAAATTGCGCTTTTTGTTATTATTTGTAAAGTTAAAGTTACATGTTCTGTACTGTTAAATGGCTTGCTTGTTTTGTCTCACGTAATGCTAACACTTCTTCGGAGGCCTTTTTGAGGAGCTGTGGGTGAGGGCGTCTCTACTCCCAGGAGAACTTGGCTGAGTGTTTGTACCCACCCCACTAACTGTAACAACTGCATATTTGAGCATTTTTGTGAATGTGTCCGAGGTTTAAAGAAGGTGCTCTGGTAAGTTCTAGGAGTTGCAGCTGTAGGTAAGAGAAAGGCGACATCATGTTTACATATGCTTTTAGATTTAATCGATTTGCAGAAAATGTACACGGGATCATTTACATCATCTCACAAGGTTCCTCCTCAAGTCTTGAAACGTGTAAAGTATCAGATCTTGATGCGTTATCAGGATAAACAAGACCTTTAATTTCCATATGGACTTGTAAAAATAAGGGGAGCAGAGCTTTTGAATGAAATGGAAAGCTACTCCCAACGGCAGCTCTGTGATGTGTGTGTGTAACTGCTTGGATCACTGTTAGTATTATAACTTCTAAAACAGTTTTTAATGGGGCATTAAAGGAAACCTTGTTGAATACTAGGTTTGTACCCTGTGACTATGAAAAACTTAACTAGAACATGTATTTGAAGCTGCAGGAGTAAAACCCTGACTGGTGTTTTTGTATTGGTGTGAAAGATTAGCTGGGAAAGATGTGAGTGGTGGAGTTGAATCGAGGTTTCAGAACAAGTTTCATCTCCATGTCAATATTGTGCTTTAGCTGCTCTCAGGTGAGGTCATCTTATGAGTTGGCACCAAACACCTGTAGGGAAGAGAGACGACGCTGCTGTAAAAACATCTCCATTACTATGATTTCCACTACATTTAATGCTTTGAGTCTTGCAGCAGAACTGAACATTTACAGCGTTCTGTCCTGAGTGGAAGAAAATAAAACATGTTCTGCAAAATAATCAAACTGTTTGAACTACCACAGCTTCAGGTATTTCTTCTACCTCTGAACTTGATGAATGTGATCATCTGACAATGTCTGATGCAATTAAAGGTTTTCTACAGGTTTAACAAACCTTACATGTCTTCATTTTCCAGTTTTAGGCCACTGGTCTTGATGTCTGAAAGCAATTTTATATATTCACTGCTCAAAATGTGCGCCATTTCAACATCATTTGCACGTACGTGGTGTCATGTTTGAGACCAGCTTAAAGACTGAGAACGTGTAACTTACCCGTGAGGATGCGGTCGATGCACCGTACAACTAGTTCTGCGTTTTCCACACTAAAGCACATGGGAGGTTTAAACTTCAAGACGTTTTCCCAGGGGCCATCCGTACTCACACAGATCCTATCATCCTCCTTTAACCTAACAGAGATCACAGGGAGATAAAAGCCACTGCAGTAGAGTCCAGTGGTGACTTGAAGTCTGACCTTATACCTCTTCACCACCCAGGCGGCTGTTTTAGGGGCAGGAGTCCTTTCTTCTCTGTCGGTTACCAGCTCAAGGCCCACAAACAGACCGATGCCTCTAGAAAGTCAGGGGATGAGGAATTAAACATTTTTGACTGATAAATATTGCAACTACCATGATAAACGTTTTAAGCTCATCAGATCTCAGTTTTTGTACCGTTTATATAATTACGTCCTCTGGCTTTGGAGTAGTTCTGAAATCTATTTTCAGAATAACTTGACGAACATTTTTCATGCAATCATTTAATAGTGGATTAGAAAAGGAAAACACACAGAGGGCCATAACCAGATGCTTTCATACTTAATTTGTTAATATTTTTATTTTGAGGTGGCGTTTTGCAAATGTTTCCAAGGAATGAATAAAATGTACTCTCACAAAAAATCCATGCTCTCTAGATTCTGTAGTGAGCTGCTTTATTAAGAACTTCTGAAAAGGTCTTTTGAAGCCGAGTAACAAGAAAATATTTTTAGAACACCACCACAGGCATTCATGATGAGACATCAGAGAGCAGTAGAACCTTACCTGACATCCCCGATTATTTCATGTTTGGCTTGTAGTTTTCTAAGCAGATCCATGAGCCGCGTTCCCACTCGTGTGGCGTTTCCTCTCAGATCCTCCTCTTCTATCACATCAAGAACTGCCAGGCCCACAGCGCAGGATACTGGATTCCCTCCAAACTGGACAGAAAATCATTATTACTATGTTATTAGAACAGGTGAAACATCACAGAGATGTTGGGTTTAAAACTGATGCACACCGTATTGAAGTATTCCACTTGATTAGCAGTGAAAGCCTCAGCAATCCCCACTGTTGTTGCCACACATGCCAGGGGATGCCCGTTACCCATTGGCTTTCCCATGGTCACAATATCTGGACAGAAGCCCTCTCCCTGCAGCTGGAAGCCCCAGAAACAACTCCCTGTGCGTCCAAATCCTGTCTGCACTTCATCTGCCACAAACACTCCGCCAGCAGAGTGCACATACCTGTTGAGAGTACGAGTGAAATATGCCACATCATAGTTAATGTGTCACTGGAACCAGAGAAATAGATCTCTACTCACTCTGCAACTTTAGAGAAATATCCTTCAGGTAGGACGATCTGTCCGCCGACACTTGGCAGGGACTCGGCAAAGAAGGCTGAAATCTAAAGGGAGGAAGTAAAGAGATATCTGAATTGTTTGCAACAGCGGAAAAGACTTGTATGTATCTACAATGAAGCGGATACCTTGCGATCTTTCTTGTGGACTTCCTCTATTAGATCCTTGACAGTATCAGCATATGCTTTCCCTGGAGCTGGATGGTCCTCTCTGTACATACCTCTGTATGTGTCTGGTAAGGGTGCCTGTGAGGATGAAATGGTTGATTAGAGCTAACCAGAAGTCCACTGCTGGCTTGTGTTGGTAGTAGTTTTACACACCACATGAACCCATTCTTTCTGTCCTGCCAGTTTCCGGAACTTGTAGGGACTAATGTCGATGAGGGACTTCAGATGGCCATGGTACGCACTGGTGTAGAAGAACAGCATTATATTTGAAAATCATTTTTGTCATGCGTGGCTTAAGAGTCAGACACTTACTGGTCGAGCACAATGACGTCTTCATGTTGGGTGTACTGCTGAGCCAAGCGTAAGGCAAGGTCATTGGCCTCTGACCTGTAAACAAAGAATAAGTGATCCATGGAATAAGATACCTTAACAGGGTGTTAGGTGAAGTTCTTACCCAGAGTTAACGAAATAGAAGACACCCAGTTTCTCAGGCAAGGTGGCAGCCAGGCGGTTTGCATACAGAACTATGTTGTCATGTAGGAACCGTGTGTTTGTGTTCAGGAGATCCATCTGAGCAGAAGCAGCCTTTGTAATGGCAGGGTGGCAGTGGCCCACTATGAAGAACACATTCAGTCAATCTTCCTACCACAAGGAGACACTATTGCTATGTGCTATACGTGTTGAGGATGCATGCAGAGGTAAAACGTCATACCATGGTGGACGTTGCTGATGCAGTCTAAATAACGTTTGCCATTTTCATCAAACAGGTATTGCCCTCTAGCTCTAGTTATTTTCACTGGGTCTTCTGAATAAAACAACTTACATGACTGGCTGTTGTAAAATAAAATATGAAAAGTTTTGTGTTAGCAGCTACTTGTGCACATGAATCCATTATTTAGAAGAAAGATTTCGGCAAGAAAATGCCTATAAACATTTTACTTTACCCGATTAATTTAAGTCTCATTACGAGAGTTTCTTCTTTCTTGAGTTTTTCTTCTGCCATGACTTCCCGATTCCCGTTTTTATGACACCGCGCACCTAAAGAGAGGAAACGACAAAGACAGAACTGCGTGACAGGAGCAGTTTGAGGAAACTTTTTAGCTAACTAAACCGTTGAGATTAAAACGTACATCACGCATGCGCAAAAATCGGTGCCGTGCGAGTAGTGAGCACATTTTTATTTAAATACTTTTCAAAATCTCTACATTTTTATTTTTACTTATTTTCCTTATAATCAAACTTTTATTACCAACCATTTATTTATGCCCCTTTTGAAATTGGGCTAGTTCTTCGTTTTGGACGGTCTGAATGATGAGCTGTAGAGGGGACAAAGCGTCATAAAAACTATAACATTAATGGCTACAAGCGCATTTAGAGTAAATATTACAGATATTGACGTATTTTTGTTTATTTACTATTGCATGTATTTTAATTTTTCGTGAAATTCTTATTTACAAAACAATAAACCGAAAAGAAGCTCTGAGTTGGTATCGCCCAGAGGATATAAATATTGTGTTAGCGTGGTCTCGCGCACTCGCTGTGCAGTGTTGGTTGCTAAGGAACCATATAAAGCAGGTAATGCATCATGTCAGCTGTAGCATGCTAGCATTCAAGATACTGCGTGTCTAAGCTAGCAGCCATTTCATTCAGAAGCGTATATTTCATTAGCCGTTACTAATGATGGCAACCACCGACTTGCCTCCAGTCAGTTGACATAAAATAAAAAACGACAGTAATTTTTTTTTTTACATACAAGCATATTCTATTATCGGCTAGCAATCGGCTAATGACAATGTCTCATGGGCTGCATCGTGTGACGAAGTTAGCTTTGTCATTTTCTTTATCTAGCTAACGTCGTTATGGGATTTATTGATAATATCAATAATCGGGTTACATCTGCGTTACAGCTGGTGTCACTATAAAATAAATTCTAGCACTCGAACAGAATGTGGATCTGTTTTAAACGGACACACTACGCAATTGCACACAAATAATTACTGTTGCACGTTATACGATATAGAACATTATCTCCCGTAGTATTTTATGTTTGTAATATTTCACTTAGTAATTTTGTATAAGCGTTTTCTACAGATATGGTCTGGTGCTTTGCTTCATTTATAAGAGGTGGTTTAAAATGAGATGATTGTCAACAGCACGCATTTGCTCCCATTCAAGGCCGTTTCTTCAAGATTAGTTTTGGATTTACCTTTTGGTGGTTTGTCTGTGGCTTGTGGAACTAGGCTATCAAGTGTAGCATCGAGTTCCTTTCATGAAGACCAAGGCCCAGGAGGCCACATTTCATGCCAACAGTGCAGCAGCAAAAGTCTCACCAGGCCTTTCTCATAGATCTATTCAATTGGTTTAATAATGTCTAAGGTAGTGCGAAGTGTTAAATTTGGCCCAGTTTGTTACCAGTTTGTTACGACTGAGATTGGTCTATGCACCACATGAACTTTAGTCTTTGCACTTTTAAACACTAGTGCACATGCTGTGTTTTAATACAGCTTGCCTTTTTTAGTTTCAGTTTAAGAAGCTAGGATTTGTTTCTATTCAATTATTTGCAGAGATTGCTCATGTTAGTGAGCCAAAGATAACTGTTAAACAATAATTTAGTTTTATTCTCAGATATTCAACCAAAAGCTGTTTTTTCTCTTGTTTACAGAGAAAGTATCTCAAGAATGTGTCCCAAAATCGGATTCACAAATTGTTTTGTGGCCTACTACCTTCTGGAAAGACCACATCATCTTTTCTTCAGAAACAAGTCCATTGGACCTGTTCACTGTTTCTTTGTCTCCTCTCCTTCACAAAAAATACTATTGACATACTTCCAACCCCTGTCCCATTCATTTTTTTCACACACTTCCCCCATCCTCTCCCTCTTAGTTTGTCCCTCCCCCCTGCCATTCTCTGCTCTACTCACAAGTCTTGAAGTCATTGGAGTTTATTGGACCCAACTAACATTACTGGCCTTGTATTACCCCACAGGTTTATGCTCGGTACCCAATGGGCTCTGTAATGTCACATTTTTGTTGTTCCCTTTTTAAAATCTATACATGTGATGGAATGTGGAGTGCTTCTTTGTTCTCCTTTATGGCCATGTGTCTCTGTCTTTTTGAATATGAACTTCTGCCTTTCATGTTGGATTGAGACCACACGTAGAACCTGATTAGTTTCTCTAAATATACTCTGAGCATTTAAACATTATGCATATTTTGTATTTCAGAGTCTGTAGGCTTGATTGATCTGTGTAATGGGTTTATATGATACAGCTTAATCCAGTTGCATTTTGCTTAACCAGTTCTAGTTAATCATTGACTATATGATTCTAATCTGTTCCCATGTGTCGTTTAGGTGGTGTAAAGATGATGGCACTGTAAGGAGCCTGGTCAGTCAGGCTGGTCAAGGTGTGTGTGTGTGTGGGGGGGGGGGGGGTTATGCCACAATCCTGACTAGCTAGAGGTTCCCCCAGCCTTTGTGTAAACATGGTTACACTCATCACCGAGCAGCTCCGCAAGCAGAGTTTAGAGGAGCCTTATCAGACTTTCTCCTTCAACAATGATGTGAGTTTGATCAACCAAATATTGTCCTTCAAGCTAATTCAGTCACAGGTTTGGATGGTGAAAATGAATCGCTGTTTGTTACAGTCACTACCTGCAGTGGGCTCCAGTCCCACCACCTCGTGGGGTGCTTGTAAAACAAAACCGGGTAAGTCAGAAGAATTAAGAAACTCGTTGATCTTTTCAAACATCTTTCTTATGTTTTTGTCTTTGTGTTTTTAGAGACGAGCTCTGCTACACACTTATCGTCCAAGGTGTATGCTTTGGCTGATGCTTGTGAACCAGACTCCCTATGGCCTCGCTCTTGCTTCGGAGAGCCCCTCCAGAGACCTGAGGTAGCCTTCGCCGACAAGGCTTTCCAAAGTTCACCCCCACCTCCTCCAAAACGCCACTGCCGGTCCCTCTCGGTTCCAGAGGATCTGTCCCAGTGCCGCTCCTCCTGGCACCCGAGTGCATCAAAAGTTTGGACTCCGGTCAAACGTGGCTGCCACAGTAGAGGAGCATCCAGTTCGGGGTCTGGAGCGAGTTCTTTGCCCCTTTGTGGTCCCAGTTCTTCTTTCACTTCCTCTTCTTTACACTCATCATCTAGCCCCAACTTCTTTAGTTTAGCACTGTCTTCAGACTCCGCTTTGTCGTGGGGCTTCCCATGGGACCCCTGTGACACACTCAAAGGAGCTTGCACTTCCTCCTTTGCGACTCCTTCCTCTTGCTCATCTTCACCGGCCCCTCTAGTTTCTCACTCGGTCTTGCAGCGACGCTTCTCCCTTTCTCCCGTACACATTCACAATCCCTCCGTGGCATCCTTGCGTCCGCAGCGCTCACCTACATCAGCTGCCACATATGGCCTTTCTGGCTTGGAGCATCCAGCTTTGTCTCCATCTCCCACATCTGCCTGCAGTACACCATCATCCTCTAGACGTGACCTGCCCCCTGCACTGCCACGATGCCACTCGCAGCCCTGTGACTTGCGCAAACCACGCCTGAAGAGGCGCCATGACCCAGATGTCCTGCCCTGCCCCAGGCCAGGGCTGGACTTCAGCAAAATGACACAGGTGAGCAGAAAGATTCTGGATGCTCCCTAAACAAGTCTGTTTCTTCTTTTTTATATAAATATAACCGTATTGAACATCCCTACAACTATAGTTCATGTGATCAGTAAGTAAATGGGTTTGTTGGACCCGGACCCACTGTTTTTTATGCTCCAGCTAGTCTTTTGAACATTCCCTATGAGTCGCAAATCTAAAGGAAGTAAAGTTAATTTGTATTGATAAAGGAATCTCACAGCCTCTTTGAGCTGCAAAGTTAAAACACTCAACTTCTGTTTAATTTTTCAGTAAGGGGGTTGCATTTCTGACACTTTTCTCATGTTGATAATCACACTGTTTTAAATACACCCGTTTATTTTAGATCAAGTCAAGCTCATGAACAACACAACGTTTCAGACGCACTTTGCTGTGTGCTCTGAGACAGCCCGCGATCAAAGCCGTGACCATCGAGTCACCCAAACGTTAGCTAGCCATCGCGCCTCTAACCTGCCTACACAATCTGTCACTTAGTTAAACCACTTAGTTACGTATTTAATATTTTATTGGAGACCATGCATCACCCATTAAGTGTGATCTCGAGCTTTATTTTAAGATGTCGCACAAACTTTTAACAGGCAAGTACACTCTTAGCTACAACATCAGATGTTAACTCGGCATTTGTAAAACTGACTTTTGCCCTTTTTGTTCATGTTAAACTTGATTATGATAAATGAGCTGCAGTTGTGTAGCACCTTTCAGAGTCAGAGGACTCCAAAGTGCTTTACACACATTCACACTCTGGTGATGATGAGCTACGATGTAGCCATAGCTGGCCTGGGGCGCACTGACAGAGGCGAGGCTGCTGAGCACACAGGCGCCGCCGGTCCCTCTGACCACCACCACCAGCAGGAAAGGTGGATTAACTGTCTTCCAAGGACACAACAGCAGAATTCTCTGCCCAGAGCCGGCATTGAACCTGCAACTTTCCGATTACTGGACAACCCCCTCTAGGCTACTGCTGCCCCTATTGGGTCAGACTGCTATTTCTTCAGTAGGATTTGCAGCTCTAATTCAGACTTATTGGAAGCTATGGAAGTAATATTGGACTGCCTATTATTTATTTTTCTTTGTTAAAAGATGATGTTTTTTTGTAAGGTTATTTTTCTTACAACAAAGATGCAATTCTCCCATGATACTGTTTTTCTCCCATCTAGATTAATTATGAGAGCCTGTTCTGCAGAGCTGGTGATGTCATGCTGCCCGTGTCATCACACTCAGAGCAGCGTTTGAGCGTCTCCTCTGCTGAAATCCTGGGACGAACCAGCATTGTCCCTCTAAGTGAAAGTGAAGAAGAGGAGGATGAAGAAGTGGAGCAAAGAAAAAGAACTGTGTTGGAAGCTGGGAAAAACATATTTGAAAGGGACTGTACAGATCTGGACTTGAGCCTTATAGAAGAAAACTGACTGCTCTTCGGTGCTTACCGTGTGATTACTGCATTTCTAACCCTGTAAAGCACACCTGTGGGCTTTGCGCAGAGCCCTCGGGAACAATCTGCCCTCATCTGGCACAAGTCCAGGGTTTATCATAAGAGCCCAGCAAGTAGAAGCTCATTTCTAGTTGCATTGCTGTGATTGTAACACCAAGTAGCTCACAAGTCAACAAAATGATCAGTGCCTGCCTGCCTTTTCCGCGTCCCCATAGGGAGATGTGCACGAGCAAATAAGCAAGCTTTCATGTGCACAGATTTTAAATCATTTTATACTAAGTCTTAAGTGGAACTATCCTACACTTGCCTCTCAGTAGTCTTGCATATCGAACAAAACATGAAAGTGAGCATTTACTGAGACATGCTTTGTGCTTACATGATACATGCAAATATTCCATGTTTCACTCTCCAGTGAGAGGCTGCAGTAGGCTGCTGTCGGATCCTGATCTCTTCATCTAAAACTGAATGAGAACTCTTTAAACCTAGCTTGATGTGGAGTCAAACACTGAAGTAGCCTAAAATCTGTAGGTTCTCTCCAGTACACCAAACACAATACATTCCAGGATAAGCCGTAACCCCCGTAGATACATAAACACGCAGCCTGTTTGTGTGGATCAACTCTGTTGTCAGAGGGAAGTTGTGGTTGTAACTGCTAAACTTGTATTTTCTTTTGTCTGCGTGGAACTTCTGTCCTTGTTTTGACGTCAACACACATTGGCCACATTAATACTGATGATACTGTTAACGTACCACGCCTTAAGCCTCGGTGCTCTGGTTATTTCCCAGCCAGACACTTTTGTAGTCTTCGTTTGCACTGATTCAGATAGGTTTGAATGCGTGGAACGATGCACTGGAACAGATGATTGAATAGCTGAATCTGGGCTGCAGCTGGACTCTCTGGCACACCATAACACAATGTACAGCGATGAGAGTGAGCGCACATGTCCAGCCAGTACTGTGTGTGTGTGTGTGTGTGTGTGTGTGTGTGTGTGTGTGTGTGTGTGTGTGTGTGTGTGTGTGTGTGTGTGTGTGTGTGTGTGTGTGTGTGTGTGTGTGTGTGTGTGTGTGTGTGTGTGTGTGTGTGTGTGTGTGTGTGTGTGTGTGTGTGTGTGTGTGTGTGTGTGTGTGTGTGTGTGTGTGTGTGTGTGTGTGTGTGTGTGTGTGTGTGTGTGTGTGTGTGTGTGGTGATGCAGATGACCTGGTGGCCTTTCAGAAAAGATTTTTGTGTTTTACAGATGGAAGTATACTTGTTGCACAATTTATGTATGAATAAAACTTAATAGAGATTGCTTTCTTTTTCTTATTTGCTAACAGTCCTTTTGCCTTGTTTTTGTAATTAAATCACCCAGCCATGAGAGAAGGTCATTAGGGTAGGTACCACGCCTAGTGGTGAAAAAGCAGAAGACTTGCATGATGAATGAGACCAATGGACCGAGTTTAAATCCACATTAAACTTGAATAACACATTTAGACATAAATTGTAATCGTCTATTAACAAAGTTACATTTATATTCATGTTCGTGTCGGATTTCCTTCATGAGCTTTTGGTCCATGACCGGGCGACCACTCATATCTGATAAAAATCGAACTTTAAAATTGCCCAAAGAAATCTTTAAATGAAAAAATAATTCCATTGAAAAGATGCAAAATGTGACCATAAATCTGTAAATTCCTAGCTGATCTTAACTAAAATTAACTAAAAAGTGCCTTTACCAGGAACACTAACGATACGTTTTAAAGACTTTTTTAATGTCCAAACTGTTAAACTAAATAATTAAAAGAGATCAAGTTTCATTTCAGTGAGTCTGATTTGAGACTTGTTGCTTCAAACCCACCCCGAGTCACGAACGCAGCTAAAGTTCTACACCAACCCTGCGGCTCGTTGAGCTGAAGTTACACCAGACAAGACTTTGGCGTGTCTGACATATTTCGTCGCTCCGCCGTGGAAGGTGAGGGCGCTCCTTCCAGTGCTTGGACGCTTCTCTGTTTTTTTTCCCCAGCCTGTCTCTGACCCCCCCTCACCAACAAGCCACTTCCTCTTTTGTCTAATTTCATGGCGATCGGGAGAGAGGGAGCACCGACGCACGCACACTGTTTCGCCACTCTTCAAAGAGTTGATTTGGGGTAAATAGTCCTCGTTTTTTTCCCTCTTTTCGGTACTGGAGACCAAGCGTATTCAGTTGGATTTAATCTAGCTGGAGATGAACATTTCCCAGCGCAGTTCTTTATTTGCTCAGCTTCTGGGTCAGATATTTCACATTGTAGCGCCACTCGCTGATAACAAATCGGACGAAATGGGCTCCCCCTCTCTGCCTGCTCCGCTCCCACAGACTCAGCCACACGCTACTTAACGGCGCAGGCAAGCTAACGCTAGCATCGCTGCAAACGTCTCAGATATGAATAGAAAATAAGTTCCGTGGACATATTTATGAGTTGGTCGCAAGAAATAATAATGATGTTGTTGAGAGTTAGAAAGTTGGAAGGTTGAAAGAAATAGTTGTAGTCCCCAGGTGTTTGGGTTCGGGTTAGCAACCAGCGGGTAGCTAGCCGCCGTGCTATGTTTTTAGTTAGTTGACTCAAACGCGGTTCAGAAGTTTGTGTTTGTTACATTCCTTCAGAACAAAGATGCCGAACTGGGCAAAAATTACGTAAACCACCCCAAAAATACATATAAAGCTTGCACTTGCAGATAAAATAACCAGCAAACATCTCAGGAACCCGGTGTCTGTGGAATGGACTAGAAACTAGCTAGTTAGCACCGTCAGCTAACTTGTGGGTTAACGGTAACCACTTGGCCACCGTTTAAAAATATCCATTCATTACGTATTTCCACATTACCTCCTGATTCTGAGCGGTTGGGACACAGTAACTGTTAAATTCTATATCGAGTGAGGCGTGAAAGCCAAACTAAAGTTTACCAAAAAGTTGCAAACCAGAAAACAACAGCAGGCGAGAAAGTTGAATGAGTTTGCTCTAAAGATGTCCATCACTAACGGTTGCAGGCTGCTCGTTCTGTCTGCTGTTAATTTTACATTTAGTCTAGTTTAGCTGCAACAGTCTAACTGTTTTGTTTGAAGAATAATTAAAAAAGTTACACTTGAAGAATTCTGAGTATCACTTACATGAGTTTTTGTCTTTATGCTGCTGAGGTACAAGTTGTTCTTTTGAACTTTCACCCACAAACAAATTGTATAATCATAATAATGTTAATGTTAATAATCACAACCCTTCTGTGTGTTTAGGTGTCTGAACAAGTGTTAAACATAATATAAGAAACATTTTATTACATCTTTCTGGGTTCCCACATTAACAAAATATCAAACTGATTATAAAGAAAATACTCAATTGTACTATTTTATTACAGCTGGGAGAGAAATGATGGAAGAACAAGTGTACATACAAACTTTAGAATGAAACTTTCTCCCTAGAAGCATAGGTACCTAAATTGATCCAACACTATTATTCTCATATTCTTGATAAATATTAAAATGAATAATGATTGGAGTTGAACAGCATTTTGTTTTTGGACAATATCACAAATTAAGTTATGATTTCTGAGAAAAGAGATGGCAATGAAACACAAAAACCAAATAAATGATGCTTTAAATGGAAATAATTGTTCTGAAATCACACAGCAGATCATTTCTATAAGCTAAAGTGGTCTAGAGAGCACACATTAGTTAGTTTTATTAATCAAAAAGTTTTGATGAATTCTGTGTTTGCATGATGCTTAAAAATCATGAAGTGTTTTTGTTTGCTCACCTGCAGAGCTGCCAGCTGTATAACACTGTTTACTTTTTGCTTTGTTGACAGCCTAAACTAAGTTATAGACCTGACTGGCACACCACACGACGTTCTCCAGGTGAGTTTTGGTATCACAGATAAAGATTTATGGTGTTGTAATTAGGGATGCAACGATACCACTTTTTTTCCAAACCAATACGATATCGATACTTGGATCTGAGTACTCACCGATGCCGATTACCAATAACGATACTTCTACCACACAAAAAAATGCAATGATTTGAATACAGATTTTATTTTCTTCTCTGCTTTCAACAGAGAGACTGTGAGGTAGATAAAAAGTAAAATATATGAATGGAAATCATAACAAAACTAAAATATTAGGTGAACAGAAATGACAAGTTACAGTGAAGCCATTTTCAAGCAATTGCATTGGTATTGGTTAACCTTTACCGATGCCGATACCAGTATCGTATCGGTGCATCCCTAGTTGTAATTAAGATTATACACACACACACACACACACACACACACACACACACACACACACACACACTCTCTCTTAGTTACTCTTTACTATTATTCACCTGAGACAGAATAAAACATTTCACAAAGAGTAATCTTTATTTAGCCTCTTGATTTTGGTCACAGATCCCCTAAGGCACTTATGGACCAACTATATTTCAGAAGTATTTTTTTTAGTGTTGAACTGACACTACTGAGGTGGTTTTTTCATCCTTTCATCTGTCCATTGGGTCATTTTTGTCTCGTAGGGACTCCAGAGTGGAGAAATGCTTTATGATTGCATTGGTCCGTGCAGAAGTGTGCACTGATCAGTAAAGCTAGCTGAATGCTCTTCCAGCACCTGCACAGATAAAACTGCACACATATTGCTATAATTGCAGTTGTCAGGTGATGTGTCGACAAAAAGGTAGACTGCTCTATGCAAGTCCTCGTCTCCCAGCTCTCCTCCTGAATCTCTGAAACCTTCCGTCAAACAGCTATAAAAACCAAAGACCAGTGGCGCACAGCTACGACTACAGTGTTCGTTATTGTTGAGGGTAAATGTCAGGTGTGTAAACATGGCTGCACCGAATGTTGCGCAGCATTCCTCTGGCACTGCAAAAACAAACACCCTGGTCATTGGAACAACTCCACAGCAGCCCGAACAACTGTTTGGTCAAAAACACCTGTTGGGAAATCGGTAAAGACTATTAAGCCCAAAGTAGAGGAAATGTGTTGTGTTGATGGCTAAATTTCATATTGCAGGCACGACTTAACTGGGCAAAAGGAGTCCATTATGACACCTTCTGTGTAATAAACTCAAACGTGACTTGCTCGTAGAAATGAAATGGGATCATGAATTTTTCTAACAAGAAACATACCTCGTGCAGCCATGTAACGCTTTGTAACTGACAAACATACAAACGACTGACTGGATTCCTCTTTTGTTTACAGGTGATTCTAGGTGGACATCACTGAATCCCCCTCCCCCTCCCCCAGCACTTAGCTCTGTTCTCTGCTGTTCCAGGTTAAGACTTCTTGGTCTATGGCTCTGATGGAAAAAACCAAACATGTCAAGCGGCAGAGACTTGACCGCATTTGCGAGGGTAAGAGCACGCATTTATACATGATGCAAAAGCATTAGGACGTTTAGAGAACAAAATAGGAAAGGAGTCAAAAATAAAAATGAAGTTGCTAATGAATGCAGAAATGCATTTCCTAATGACTATTATTCATGTTAGATCTTTAATTCAGTTTTCAATTCAGTTTGTTTGCATAGCGCCAAATCACCACAAGAATTGTCTCAAGGGGACTTCACAAAGTCGGCATTCCAATTGATTTCAGTTCATCAAGCCAATCAGCTAAAAGTTTCCTATGTAAGGAACGCAGCAGATTGAGATCGGGCTGTTCTAACATGTATGCACAACTCAAAAGTTGTGCATACATTTTAGAACAGCCCGGGGTTCCACCAACTATATTTACTGTCGATTCACCTTCAACAGATTTATGTTTAACGTTGTATTAGTCCACTCGTCACACACTGGTGAAATTTGTTCTCCGTGTAGCTGTCCCTGGCCCTGTGAAGAAAGACTGGGAGCCTCGACGGGGGCATCAGCTTTTATTTGCTGCATCCATTGATCCCTTGTATCTAATGTAGAACAGTGAAACCTTGCTCCGCTAGCCAAGGGTGCTAATGAATAGGCAGTCAACTGCTGACCACGTCAGGTGATATGTGGGGATGCGGCATTAAATACGCAGCTGAGGTAAAGTTAGACCACAATGTTTTTAGACCTCTAAGCAGTCTCCACATCTAATTTGCTCATGATTTCTCTCCTGCTTCCTGGAAAGATGGCTTTATCTAAGTTTTGTGGGCTAATCATGGGGAATCACCAACAGCTGCTCAGCTGGCAGCTACACTCCGCATTTGACCCATCCCCTGGGGGAGCGGTGAGGTGCAGACACGGCCACGCTCAATCCCCCCAATCCGACCCTTAAAGCTGAGTGTCAAGCAGGGAGGCATTGGGTCCCATTTTGACCTGACTGGGATTTGAACCCACAATCTCCAAGTCTCAGGGCGGTCACTGTAGCACTAGGCCACTGAGCTGGTGACCAGGCTGTAAACGCTGCTGTTCTGGTTACAACAGGCTGGATCTTCAGTCAGTCAAGTAACTAAAGAATGTACTCAAGTAAGAGTAGAAAGACTTCATAATAATATTACTCTAAATAAGTAAAAATAAAATACAACACAGTAAAATTACTCAATTTCTTTTCCTCAAAAAGTTACTCAGGTAAATTAGTTACTACCCTCCTCTGACATCACCCAGAAGAGGACACAGATGAGGTTTTTCTTTACCTTGCTGACGGTTTCGCTTGTGGCTGCAAACATCTTCAGAGCTGACGCTGATGGCGGCGTCACTTCCTGCTCCTTTATCCACGGGCAGCAGAGGTCCTCTGCTGCCCGCTCTCCCTTACCATACATCAAAGGCATAACAGAAAAAATAAGAGCAACAATGAAAAACCACAACATAAACACACCAACAAAACCATACACAACAGTTAGAAACAGACTAGTGCACCCAAAAGACAAGATACCAGCTGGACTTAAATGTGGAGTCGTTTATGAAATCCCATGCAAACCCTGCAATAAAACATACATAGGAGACACCGGACGCCAACTCAACACACGAACAATAGAACATAGAAAGGAGTGCGAGAAAGAAACAAGTCGAAGACACACAAGAGCAGCAAAACAAGAAGCAGAAAGTACAATAAAGAAATGGGCCGTAACAGATCACTGCACAAGAGAAAACCATATAATGGACTGGGACAACACAAGGATCATAAACACCGAACAACAGAAATACAAAAGATGGATAAAGGAAGCTACAGAGATAAGGACACGTGGATGAGGGACTATGAACAGAGACAATGGGGTCTATACATTGGATCGTACATGGGACTGCATCATCGGAGAGGGGAGAGCGGGCAGCAGAGGGCGACAACGTCCTCTGCTGCCCGCAGATAAACGGAGTAGGAAGTGACGCCACCATCAGCGTCAGCTCTGAGGATGTTTGCAGCTGCAAACGAAACGTTAGCAAGGTAAAGAAAAGCCTTATCTGTGTTTAACAAAGAACCAAAAAGGGAATTAGAAGACAAACACAGCAAGAACTTACAAAAGATGCGGGTAATCTTTTTATTTGCTGAATCCAGGCTAGAATGCTCCCAAACCTGAGATGTTTTGGTACGCGTAGCGTTTCATTGTCGACTATTTCTATTGTCGATATTTGTCGAAAACGTCGCCGAATCGTTGCGGCCCTAATCGGTTATCGGCCATAACAGGGTTCTTGATATCGGTATCGGCCCAAAAATTTCATATCGGTGCATCACTAGTGTGTGTTGTTTTAGTCAAGAGTGTCACACTTGTCATATTAGATGGATATAGTTTGTCCTGGGTGAGGGATGGGCCATCATCATGCATAGGTCAGAGGGCATCTACCCCTCCCCATAAAAAGGCTGCTGTTTGATGTAGTGTTGGTAGTAAAACATCAGAATCAGATTTATTACCATGTACATGTGAGTCATCTACTAGGAATTTGTACAAGGTACAAGGAAGGTGCAAACATACATTCAGATTAAAGTCAGGTGAGGCAGTATTTACATTAGGATACATCAAATAAAGATAAATAAAAGAAACATAGTCAGAAAGCAATCATAAGCATAGAAATGTGGGTGATCAGGGCATTTGTGTGTGTTTTGACCATTCATCGGGTGTTCAGGAGCCTTACAGCGGAGGGGAAGAAGCTGTTTTTGTGACGCAAGGTTCTAGTCTGTAAGGACCTGAACCTCCTCCCTGAAGGCAGGGTGTCAACAGTCCATGACCAGGGTGAGAGGGGTCAGCATATGAAAACACATTTCAGAGGTAGTAAAAGGTAGTAAATTAAACTCTAGGATTCCTGTATAAACCTGCTCTTTCCTGAGGAGACACGTTATTTCTGAATTAGCCTACTAGCTAACAGCCACCGCTGTAAATTGTATGATGTTAAGGCGTTGTCGTCCAAGAAACAAGGAATACTGATGCAGAGGAAATAGTTCAAATGAAAACCAAGCCACTGTTGATCTGTTTGAAAATCTCTGTCTCAGGATGAGTTAGTTGTTTTATAAGATTAAATCCGATCTATTCCACTTGACTTGGATCATTTTTAAAATGATGAGATCAGGGCCGATTTCGTGATCAGATCAGACGAGCAACCCCTAATCCTTGCACTACTTTTCAAACTCTGGGTGTCTCTTCGCTGAGACGAGCCCGCTCGCTAGAGCAGTTTCCCAGGTGTCATGGACTACCATCTGAACAGTGTAGAGTCGAGCTGCTCTAAGTAGTGGAAAAGGCCCGTTAGCTTGGTTTGACACTACTAGAAGTACCATGCATTTGATGATGGAGAACCTTCACTAGCATCTTCTGTTGGTGGAGTTGAAATGTAAAAATTTGCTGCCCAGAAAGTGCTCTGTGAACTTGGTGCTTCTCTAACACACAGCCTGGTACGATAAGCAGGAATCCTCCTTCAGCAGCCAGTGTTCAGAGTCTTTGGCGATCAGACAGAAATGGAGGAGACAGTCAGGGAGAGTCTCTGGAGACCAATGAGAGGAAGAGGAGAAGGTGAAGGGTTATGGCCGAGGCTGTGGGGAAACAGGCCAGCTGTCTCTTTAAAAAACGACAACAGCCCCAAACCGCCCTCAGCCTTGGCTTGGGCTATGCTAATGAGGTTAGTGCTGGTTGGTTGGTTCACAATGGCGCGCCCTGTGATTGGATGGCGTCCGTGGGGGAGGGGCTGGGCGTGGATGACAGCTGGGATCCAGTCAGCCTAGAGCAGGCTGGCAAGAGAGGGAGGAAAAATAAGAGCGGTAGAGAGAGGCAGGAAGACGGGCTGACACACTTCACAATGCAAGGTTAGGCCCCGGTGCTTGTGTGTGTTTTCTGTTCTGGCATGTGTTTTTAAGTTTTCTAAACTGTGTGTGAGATAGGTGGGGGGGTCTAGGGTTTGGGTGCGGCGCTGCTCTGTGAGCAGTTTCCCCTTCACGTTCAGTGGTGTCGCAGCCGTTGAGAAGGAACTGAATAAGCGTATTTCTAGCTGCGTCTGGGTGGAGTACCGCTGCTTGCTGCATTATCATCGTCTGCTGCCCCTCCCCCCCCACCTCTTACTCTAAATACAGCCAGAGGGAGAGGAGGGAGCGGAGGAAAGAAAGGCAAAGGGAGGGAGGTTGAATGAATCACTGAATGAATTGTATTGTGTGTCTGGCCATGCTTGCTCTTCATAGGCCTTGGCTATGCCAACGTCCTTTACTCAAATTACTCTGTGTGTAGGCCTGCCTGCTTGTATATTTTGTCTGAGGGGTCTTTGTGATCAACCACTTTAGGCTTTTTCTGCAGAGCAAACGTCTCTTTGTGTGTAGCAGCAGGAATGGGAGCCTTGCTGATGCCAATAACCAAATTTGTGATTCCAGACTGGAACAAGACGTTAAATATGCTGAGATCCTCCTTTCCTGTTTGCGTTTTGTCCAGAATGAAAGCTCAGATTTTCACCAGCGGTTCCCTTCTCCTCCTTAGCCGTCTCACCATTATGTCCTGCCCTCTGTCCAAGGAAACGTTCCAACTCGGCGGGCTCCGCCACAGTGGAACACACACCTGTCACACTGCAGCGACAGGGCAACAAATACATTCAGTGTGAAAAGAGGAGAGCGACACACTAGAAAAACTCAAATCAGACGGGCATGAATGGTTTAGTTTTGAGGTGGTCGTTTTCTACCGGCTTTTCTCCTGATGGTGGTTCATCAGCTAAATGTGACTCTTAAAGACGTGTGATGTAGGTCAGGACTTAGACCCCCATACACCCCGAACCCCCCACCACCACCTCCTCTCAGCGACCCTTCCCCCCAGCCGCAACATCACCTCTCCCCCCCATCTTACCCATATCAACATGTCTTCTGCTCATAAAGGACTCGGGTCGAGTTCTTACCCAGAGCTTAGCTCCTGTCTAATCTTCACAGCAGCCAGAACTGGGCCGACGGAGGCCCGACTGGAAACACTGGTTACATGCGTTCTTAAGTGGAGCTGGAGTCCAAGTAGGCCATATTCCTGGATGCTCTCCATGCCTCGACAGAGATTTGGTTACATGTTGCTGATGAGTTTACACACATGGCTCTTGTAGTTCGCTGGATCTGCTGGAAAAACCGAGTCATAAAAGTCTGACTTCCTATGTCTGAGAGGTGAGGCAGTTAGCCGTGTTTGTGTGGAGGGGGATTTCTGAGCGAGGGTAGCATGATGACTTGCATCGCGTCGGGAAGTCCAGACAGGGAAATGCAGACTGTTGAGTCACTAACCTGAACTTAACAGATGTGTGAGTAGTGACACGAGATTTCAATCAGTTAGCTTAAAGAAACGTCAGGAAAGGTTTTGGTATTTTCTATTTAATATTTTAATAAGATCCAGCTTTGCTTTAGTTACACAGGTTTGAGATTTTCATTTTGGGTTTTAAAAAAGCTCTTTTCAAAATATATTTAGCAGGAAGTCCTGCTGATGGCTCCTAATCCATCACCGCATATTTGTTGGTAATGTTTGTGTTTTTGTGGACGCAGGTATCCGACCCCCCATCCTGAATGGGCCCATGCACCCCCGGCCCCTGGTGGCCCTGCTGGATGGACGCGACTGCACTGTAGAAATGCCGATCCTCAAAGACGTGGCTACCGTGGCTTTCTGTGATGCCCAGTCCACACAAGAGATTCACGAGAAGGTAGCTGAGGAGCTCACATGAGACGAGTCCAGGAGGAAGAGACACCAGGATGGTCGTGCTGATAACTTGAATCTCGTTGTGTGTAGGTGCTTAATGAAGCCGTGGCCGCCCTGCTGTACCACACCATTACTTTATCCAGGGACGACTTGGAAAAGTTTAAAGGCCTGCGAGTGATCGTCAGGATTGGCTCGGGTTTTGACAACGTGGATGTTAAAGCAGCAGCTGAGCTAGGTGAGTGTGTGCATTACAGACGGCCGCGCCGCATACACACAGCTAGCAGAGAGCGTTAATTGCTGTTGGTGTCTTTGTCATCCAGGTATTGCTGTGTGTAACGTGCCAGCAGCCTCGGTGGAGGAGACAGCCGACACTTCGCTATGTCTGATTCTCAACCTGTACAGGCGAGTCACCTGGATGCACCAGGCCCTGAGGGAGGGAACACGGGCCTCTAGTGTGGAGCAGATCAGGGAGGTGGCTGGTGGCGCCGCTCGAATCCGGGGTGAAACTCTCGGGATCATCGGTCTAGGTAAGTGAAGAGCGTAGATGGGGAGGAAAAGACTCGAGAATTGTGAGCTGGTTGTAAAAACCACTGGAAGTCTGACTGAAGTACTTATTTCATCAGCTGTTCACAGCCTTTACATCTCCTCCTTTCAGGTCGTGTGGGTCAAGCTGTAGCTCTGCGAGCCAAGGCTTTTGGATTTAGCGTGATATTTTATGACCCCTATCTTCCTGATGGCGTTGAGCGTTCTCTGGGTCTGCAGCGGATGGCCACCCTGCAGGACCTGCTCATCCACTCTGACTGTGTGTCTCTGCACTGCAGTCTGAACGAGCACAACCACCACCTCATCAACGACTTCACCATCAAACAGGTGAGAGGATGCACCGGTGCTTTGTGTTAATATGGTGGAAGAAGCTCACATTTGTTGTCCTGTAGCGGTAATACATTTTCTCTTCCTAGAAACAGTTCTTTGTATTTATTGCACATGCTTGACCAGAGCCTTTAGGCTTCCTACTTTTAGGATCTGCAGCTTGTTGGTGACCAGGTAGACCTGGTCGGTGTGCAGCAGTGTTGATGACTGCTTATGGAGCTGGAACTAGTAGTAGTCTTATAGCTGTGTGGTTAGTGCTGTGATAAAAGCACTGTTTGTGACTCGAGTCAGCTGTGCCAGAGTTTATCCTGCACCATTTGTTCTTGGTGTAATCTGTGTCTGTAGTCTGTATGCAGGCTTCCCGCGGGGTCTTAAATAGTCTTAAAAGCATTGAATTTAGGAATTTGGAAATAATTTCTAAATTAATTTTAAAACATTTCCTAAAAGTCTTGAATTTTGACAGCTGGGTCTTAAAATTTGTGCTGTATGTATATTCTCCGTACTGTATTTGTCCTCTAAAGTTTCATTTTCAACCACAATCATTTTTATTCAATAACGAAGCATAAATAAACTGGCGCAACCAATAATTGAGAACGCAGCACAGCTTTGGGTCAAAATACCCCGAACACGTGACGTATTCCGCTCCCGCGCTACAGCAGCGATGATACAAACGGTAAACAACACAGACCACACGAACCTCCAGCTTAGGAGAAACGGGGAAAATCTCAGCAGACCATGAGGAAGGTTGACGGACGCCCAGGGCTGGGTGCCAGAACTCTGGACCTCTTTGGGACTGAGTGAAAACATTCGGTAGGCACTGATATCACAAAAAAAAATCATTAAAATGTCCCGGTAAGTGATCCACCGCAAGTCTTGCGTCTCCTTTCAACAACACTTCTCTGCAGGCAAAAAACCCTCAAACGTTTGGGTGCGTTTTGCTTAAGTAAACAGCAACTAAATGCAAATCCGGTGATTGGTGCCACGAAAATCAAGAAGGGCAGCACCTGGTCGTGCACGGCATCATCTCGTAAAGTCTTTGACTGCAAAAAAGTAAACCCGAGTCCATCACCTTCCAAAACACTGGAGGAGTCTGAGGATGGAGGCTGATAAAGCGGAGACAGGACATAAAACCAACTTAGCTGCTGTTTACCAGCATGATAAATGCAGTTCAGCTGGGTTGTAATTACTGCTGTTACTGACATGAAGGGAAGCATTAATGAAGACTTGTTTTTTACATGTATTTAAATGTTGCACCTTTAACATTTGCACTGTAGCTTTGGTGAAATAAAGTATAATATAAATATAAAATAATATAAACAATAAGAACAAAACCTTTAAGTAGTTTGTTTTCCTCTCTTAAAGTAAAAAAATTATAGATTTCAACAAAGTATCATTAAAGTACCACCATCAAAGACCAGGTGGTATCCAGAAGTATCTCCTGATACCCAGTCCTACCGACGCTGTTATGGTTTAAACATGTGTTTTACGTTACCTAGCTACCCTTTCAGTGAAAGCGCAAGCTGCTCTACTGCTGTTCTCTACTGAGTGTTTTGGCTAAATATAATACAACAAAGATAAATAAATGAACACAGGTTCAAGGATTTAGTTTTGCCGGTAGGGCTGTGACATGGGTATTAAACGTGTTAGTGTTCTTGAAAAGGTCTTAAAGTCTTGAATTTAACTTGATGAAACCTGCAGGAAGCCTGTGTGTGCTTCATTTCATACAGACCTAAACAATGATCGTGATAGTTAGTGATGCACTGATATGAAAGTTTTGGGCCGATACCGATATTATTACCACTGTTATGGCTGATAACCGATATTTGCAGATATACTGACATCAATGCTTCTAAAATCAGCTGATTTTTTTCTAGAATGAAAATTATTAAAGCTGAATTTATGTTATTATATACACTCACACTTCTGAGATAATTACAATCACTCACATGGCTAAACAAATACACACCACCCCCTCAGCTGAAACAGATAAACAAATGGAAACAAGATGGAAAAATATCGGCTGTTAATAACAGCCTAGTTTTGTTTATCGGACCGACATCGATATGTTAAAAATGACTAACATCGGCTGATACGATATCGATCCTGATATGTTGTGCATCCCTAGTGATAATGATAAAGTTTGATAAGTAGTAGGGTAGATGGGCCCAAGCTTTTTAAAGGACCTCAAGAGCAACCAACATCCGATGTTTAGTTTTTGTTAAAAAATGCCCAAACTAATTACTTTTAGTACTAAAAAAGATGAGTGTTTGCTAAAATTCTGTTAGTATCCATCTGCATCAACAGACTAAATTTCTCTGAGGGCCACAAGCGGCCACAGCTTCCGCTTTAGTGGGACAACTCCCAAAACGAAGTTCACTGCGATTCTGCTCTTAAGTGTAATGTCAGTAGTCAAACCAGCCTGTGGTAGAAAGTGTGTTAGCGGTTTGATCTTAACCTAATGCGATCCTTTGTGTCTGATTAGTTGATGTTAAGTTTTGTATTTTCTATACTTTTGTTTAATATTCATGCACCAGGCATGAAACCATCCGAATGCTCCGTTATCGCTGCTAGGACGCTTCCTGTGTTTTCTTTTCTGATGAACACAAAACAGAAGTCTAGAAAAACCTGTTATTAAACATTCTCTATTATTTACGACATTTGTCCTGAAAAACTGAGTCAGTGTTCATTCATTTGTGTCAGAGATTGTCGGATGTACTTTATATACGTTGATGAAGATTAGGTGTTTAAGTTCTGCTCAGCATGGCTTGATCGTTTTATCACAGATGCGTCAAGGGGCCTTCCTGGTGAACACATCCAGAGGTGGGCTGGTGGATGAGAAAGCTCTGGCGCAGGCTCTGAAGGAGGGACGGATACGAGGGGCCGCCCTAGACGTCCATGAGACAGAACCCTTCAGGTAATCACTGCCCAGTTCATAAGACTCTCATGTGCTGGGAATACTGGGAAGTGTTCACAGCAAAGGGACCAGTTAAGGATCGGAGGTGGATTGGAGTTCTCGTTTTTCATTAGTTTAGACTAAAATGCTGCTATAAATATCAGAAACATAAAGTTCATCTGGATTCATTACTCTTGTTTTTACTCCAGTTTATTTAGTGCCAAATCACAACAAGTGTGCTCTCAAGGCACTTAAAAAAAAGTTTACACGTGTGTGTGTGTGTGTGTGTGTGCGTGTTCTCTGTCTTCTCGAGCCCCAGTGAGTCGTGGAGGACGGCTGCTTATACTGAGCCAGGATTCTCTGGAGGTTTCTTCCTGTTAAAAGGGAGTTTTCCTCTCCACTGTCGCTAAATGCTTGTTTAGTATGAGGATTGTTGTAAAGTCGCTGACACTAGTCAGTGACTTGATGCAACCTGATGGGTTCCTTACATAGGAAACTTTACTGATTGGTAGGGCAGCTCGATTATGTCAAAAATGATGATCACAATTATTTTTGACTGAAATCGATATCTTGATTATTTAAGATGATGTTTTAAATTAATATTGTTTTTATTTATTTATTTATGTATTCGGTCATAAAATTGCACAGGGCACAATCAGGACAAAAATCAATAAGGAACAAGATAATCACAAAATTCCTGATTCCTAGTATAGAAAGGCCACTGCACTTGATCATAGTTAATGATCCAAAGAATATTGGCAGAGGTTTAACTTATTTAAGCATACCCAATACAGACCCCAAAACCCAACCAATATACTGACAGCAAGAATTATACAGTGCATTTATATATAAAATAAGAAAAAAAAACATAAACATCTATATTGTAGTGAACTTTCACAAAGTGTTGCGTAATAATTATTTAGTCCTCTCCAGCTGTGCTGTAGGGGAGTGTACAGTAGCAACGTGTCCCTCAGAGAGATTATTTATCAGTGTGAGGAACTTATTTCTGTCCATTTCTGACTTGTTTATTTACAGGTCCCATCAGGTAATGTAAAAATTGTCCCAGGCACGATCGGAGGTGCGCTGCAAATCCCCCAACCCGTCTCACAGCAGTCGGGGGCAAGCTGTGTGTGTGTGTGTGCGTGTGTGTGTTAGTGTGCACACATTTTGCCATTTTTAGTGGTTCAGGAGCCTAGGCTGCAGGTACAGGGTGTGTCACTCACTCCATCTAATCCACGAGGGAGCCGGCTCTGAGAGCCGTTTCTTTCACAACGACACATCACTGCATCATTCTCTTTCCTAATGTCCGGATGGACGATCCGGAGCTCAGGCTGAGTGTTTTGCCAACCTGCAGGAAATGTCGACGACGGTTACCCAGAAAGTAGTTAAGGGTTACCAGAAGTGTTTCTAGGTTGTTTTCTAGGTATTTAAAAAGTCAAGAAGGGGGTCTGAAAAGCTGAAACTAGGGATGGGTACCGAATTCGGTACTTTTTAAGGTACCGACCAAATTCCATAGTACCGACCGAGCACCGATTCACGTCGCTTCAAACGGTGCCTCGTTTCGGTACCCGGCCTTCACAACGAGAACTTGCCAAGACAGCTGCGCATGCGCAAGAGCGTTATGTCGTCGGTCCCTGCGAGCGAGTTGTAAACAGAGCAGCATGGTAGAAAGAATGCACGCTAACGCTTGGGTCCACTTCACTAAATGTGATGGGTAACTGGGTGATGATGAAACCAGCGACAACGATCTAAGTGAGACATCCTCATCTTAATATGCTCCGGTAGGTAAATAAAATGTATAAGATAACGTTACCTTGATATGTTAGCCTCCGTTTCACTAATGGTGCGTTCGCTTTCTCCTCGGAACTCCGAATTTCCGACTAGAACATGAACGCGCTCTAAAGTTTGGCTTCACTTTACTAAATGCGACGGGTGATTGGGTGAAGATGAAACCAGCAACAACGATCTAAGCATCATCGTTTTAATCTGCTCCAGCAGCTAAATAAACTGTTTAAGATAACATTAGCTTGATATGTTAGCTTCCATTGCCATCGTTGTTATCAGCTAATGGTGCGTTCGCTTTCTCCTCGGAAATTCTAACTTCCCAGTAGGAAAAATCAATTGAAAAAGGACGGTAAAAGGAATGAAGATACACAGTAAATTTAGTTCACAGTAAAGATGTTTGCTTCAGTTTAATTATCAACTTATAAAACTACAAGGACGATGTTAAAATGCAAACAGTTGAATGTTATTTATCGTGATATTTATCAAATATTGTTTTATATTGAGAAAAATATATATTTACTTATAAAAGAATTAAAATAATAAACACTCAAAAGTATCGAAAATTGGTACCGTTAAGTACCGGTATCGATTCCTAGGTACCGGGAATTAGTACCGGATCGATTCAAATGTCAAAGGTACCCATCTAGTAAAGTCGTTAAGTTGGCATCACTGTGGGAGCAAATAATCTCCTTGTTTTGTTTTTATAATGGTTCAAAACTCAGATTGTAATTATGATTCAAGTTCGATTAATTGAGCAGCCCTACTGAGTGGCTTAGTGAACTGAACTGTATTGGAATGTTTGTGAATTGTCTCGAGATGACTCTTGTTGTGATTTGGCGCTTTATAAACAAACTGAATTGAATTGAATTGAACTGCAGCTGTAAATGAATCTACGGTAATCTAATGAATTTTACCCATGAGCCTCTGTTAAATGGTTTATACCTGAGCTACTGATCCTAGAGCTGTTTGTAGCCATAGATGTTCGGACCCGGATCACTCAGGCCTGTTGCCTTTTCTACAGTTTTTCAACAGGCCCCCTGAAGGATGCTCCCAACCTGATCTGTACCCCTCACACATCTTGGTACAGTGAGCAGGCCTCCATCGAGGCTCGTGAAGAAGCAGCCAGAGAAGTGCGCCGGGCCATTACTGGTAAGACACATGCTTTCATCTTCATATGCATCTAAAATAATCTTTCTAAAATTTCTCCACACAATGCGAGCTGGTTCTTTATATGTTCCTAAGCTGATTATCAGTCAGAAACAAAAACTTCTGCAGTAATATGACTGGAAATACAAAACAAACCTGTGATGAGCTACAGAAGCCTCCCATCACTGAAACAGCTCAGCCTGAAGGCCAGGTCAAATCTGATGTTTTTAGGTTTCTTCTCCGTATTTAAAAACATTTGATTACACAGTTGGAATAATAATTTCATTAGGCTCCTACAGACCAAAGACATGCATTTTAGGTTACTCTAAGTTGTCCCCAGGTGGGTGTGACTGGTTTTCTCTAGCCCCCTTCAGACAGGCCATGAAAAACGGAAATGTTCCGGAATCTGTCCGTAAGACCTTTCTGTCTGAATACAAACATCCGGATAACGTGTTCCGAAATTTATCCGGACGAAGCCCCTAGTAACAGGTCCGGACTTGTTACGGACAGGGTGGCTGCTTCAGACTGGTGAGGTAAAGTTCCGGACAAGAGGGAGGGGGAGGAGGAGGGGACTGGGGGACGCTGTGCGCACCTAGATAGCCCGCTGCTGTAGCATGCAGCGAACCACGGCAGCTCGCCTCCTACGGTACCGTCTAGACGCGCGACGGAGCGCTTCACACCGCTTCAGTGATTCCTTTAACCATTGAGCTTCATCATCCAGGTCTCTTATGCGTCTTCGTGTGCGCAGAATTATGCTTAAGGGCCTCATGATTTTTATCTTGAGAGGCGCTATAGAAATGATATTTTCTTCTTCTTCTTAACATGAGTCCAATTCCCACCCCACCCCCCGCAGCCGTCAGACATCTGGAACTTTTCCCTGCTGTGTGAACTCAGCCGAAAGGACAAGTTCCGGTACAAAAGTGGTGTGTCTGAAAGCACAGTTCCGGTTAAAAACCGGATTAAATTGTCCGCAAATGTTCCAGAATGTCTGTCTGAAAAGGGCTTCTGTGTGTCCTTGTGATGGGCCGGAGACCTGTCCAGGGTGTCCTCCGCCTCTCGCCCATGGAGATTAGCTCCAGCTCCCAACGGCACTAGTGAGCGTGAAGCGGTTCAGATGATGGATAGAGGAGACTTTAGTCACTTTTGCATGAAGTATTCTATTTCCCAGGTCATGTGGGTCACTTCAATCTGCCAGAGATGACATTTCATAATGATTAAACTTTGGTAACCAATTTCTCCAAAAGTTGTCAAATTTCTCACGCTCTGAGCTGCAGAAACTAAACTGGGTTCCAGGAAACCAAAATAAGTCTGACTTTTCAGAGAAAACCTGTCTTCCCAATTCTTAGGACAGGTGTACGTTTACTTTGGCCAGGTGTACATGTCTTTTGGACAGGTACATATTTCCTTAGGCCAGGTGTACGTATCCTTAGGCCAGGTGTATGTTTACTTTGGCCAGGTGTATGTTTACTTAGGCCAGGTGTATGTTTACTTTGGCCAGGTGTATGTTTACTTAGGCCAGGTGTATGTATCCTTAGGCCAGGTGTATGTTTACTTGGGCCAGGTGTATGTTTACATAGGCCAGGTGTATGTTTACTTAGGCCAGGTGTATGTATCCTTAGGCCAGGTGTATGTTTACTTGGGCCAGGTGTATGTTTACATAGGCCAGGTGTATGTTTACATAGGCCAGGTGTATGTTTACTTTGGCCAGGTGTATGTTTACTTAGGCCAGGTGTACGTTTACTTTGGCCAGGTGTATGTTTACTTTGGCCAGGTGTATGTTTACTTTGGCCAGGTGTATGTTTACTTTGGCCAGGTGTATGTTTACTTTGGCCAGGTGTATGTTTACTTAGGCCAGGTGTATGTTTACTTTGGCCAGGTGTATGTTTACTTAGGCCAGGTGTATGTTTACTTAAGCCAGGTGTAGGGTTGTCACGGTATGAAAATTTAACCTCACGGTTATTGTGACCAAAATTATCACGGTTTTCGGTATTATCGCGGTATTTTTTAAACGGTGTTGCATATGTTCAGAAAGCATTGATAGTCCTGTTCTACACAAACTGAAATAGTTTTGAAAATGTTTAACAGTGTTTATTAAACCTAAAATAACACAAAGCCTTAGCAAAAGTGCAACTTTTCACAAGTAAAGGAACAAATAGCTTATTTTTCTGGAACATGTTACAGTAGTCAGTGCAGGTTTAAATTATACAAATCCAAACATTCAAAACATAAACAATATGTAAACAAATCAAAGAAACACCACTTGTTTTCTCATATACTTGTTTTCTTCATTATCAAAATGAAAATCTAAAACTCCAGTCCACACTTGACTTGAGCACTGTACAAGTCAACCTTAAAAAATATGTATTTAAAATAAATAGCCACTTTAAACAAATTACTAAAATAACTACTACACTATGTAATCAAATCCAAATGTTCAAGTATAAATGGCATTGAATAAGTAAACAAATCAATGACAAGGAACTAATTGTATATTTCTCTTCATCATCAACAAATAAGATGCTTCATCCAGCAACAGGGTGTCCGTGACACGGTTTAAATGCTGGCAGAGGACGCTGCGGCTGCAGTCTATAGTGACTCGGTGCATTCTCCCTCAACCAAAAGTCCTCACGTCATGCATTTCAGCTAAAATGCTAATGTTAACTTACCTTGCACTGGCTGTGGAGACGTGGGTGATCGTCACACAGATGTGCCATTAGATTCGAAGTGTTACCTTTTGCAGACACTTGTTTCCTGCACGTTCTGCAAACGGGATAGCAGTCTTCTATTAACTGTCCCTCAGCATTTTTCAGAAATCCCAAATATGCCCATACTTCCGATTTAGTCTTCTTTGAGGGCTGATGGATGTCCTGGGCGCTGCCGTCACCTCCTTCGGCCATTATTTCAGCTTCAAAGTTTTGGTGCCGTTGCAAACTAAAAAGTGCGTGTGCGCGCCGCGGGAACTTCAGCTGAAGCGACGGTGGCTGGTAAGGGTCATCGCGCCGAAACCGCGGCCACGGTAAACCCACCGAGATAATATAGTTTTTTTAAAAACTGGACGGTTATTTTTATTGTCAACTTTTTTACCGGGGTTTACCGCTATACCGGTTACCGTGACAACCCTAGCCAGGTGTATGTTTACTTTGGCCAGGTGTATGTTTACTTAAGCCAGGTGTATGTTTACTTTGGCCAGGTGTACGTATCTCTCGCCAAATAGAATATTAACTAAGCAATCACAGTGTAACCATGGACACATTGCTAGGTGTGTGTGTGCGTGCGTGCGTGCGTGCGTGCGTGCGTGCGTGTGTGTGTGTGTGTGTGTGTGCGTGCTCTCTGTCTTCTCGATCCCCAGTGAGCGTGGAGGATGGCTGCTTATACTGAGCCAGGATTCTCTGGAGGTTTCTTCCTGTTAAAAGGGAGTTTTCCTCTCCACTGTCGCTATATGCTTGCTTAGTATGAGGATTGCTGTAAAGTCACTGACTAGTGTCAGTGACTTGATGCAATTTGCTGGGTTCCTTATATAGGACACATTTTTTCTGATTGGCTTAATGAACTGACCTGAATTGGAATGTTTATTATGTGAAGTGCCTTGAGATGACTCTTGTCGTGATTTGGCGCTATATAAATAAACTTGACTTGAATTAGGACAGGTGTATGTTTACTTAGGCCAGGTGTACATATCCTTAGGCCAGGGGTACGTTTACTTAGGCCAGGTGTACGTATCCTTAGGACAGGTGTATGTTTACTTAGGCCAGGTGTACGCATCCTTATGACAGGTGTATGTTTACTTAGGCCAGGTGTATGTTTACTTAGGCCAGGTGTACGTTTACTTAGGCCAGGTGTACGTTTACTTAAACCAGGTGTACGTTTACTTAGGCCAGGTGTACATATCCTTAGGCCAGGTGTACGCATCCTTATGACAGGTGTATGTTTACTTAGGCCAGGTGTACGCATCCTTATGACAGGTGTATGTTTACTTAGGCCAGGTGTATGTTTACTTAGGCCAGGTGTACGTTTACTTAGGCCAGGTGTACGTTTACTTAGGCCAGGTGTACATATCCTTAGGTCAGGTGTACTTATCCTTTGGCCAGGTGTACGTATCCTTAGGCCAGGTGTATGTTTACTTAGGCCAGGTGTATGTTTACTTTGGCCAGGTGTACATATCCTTATGACAGGTGTATGTTTACTTAGGCCAGGTGTAAGTTTACTTAGGCCAGGTGTACGTTTACTTAGGCCAGGTGTACTTATCCTTTGGCCAGGTGTACGTATCCTTTGGCCAGGTGTACGTATCCTTAGGCCAGGTGTACGTTTACTTTGGCCAGGTGTACATATCCTTATGACAGGTGTATGTTTACTTAGGCCAGGTGTACGTTTACTTAGGCCAGGTGTACATTTACTTAGGCCAGGTGTACATATCCTTAGGCCAGGTGTACTTATCCTTTGGCCAGGTGTACGTATCCTTAGGCCAGGTGTATGTTTACTTTGGCCAGGTGTACATATCCTTATGACAGGTGTACGTTTACTTAGGCCAGGTGTACGTTTACTTAGGCCAGGTGTACGTTTACTTAGACCAGGTGTACGTATCCTTTGGCCAGGTGTACGTATCCTTTGGCCAGGTGTACATACAGGTGCTGGCCAGTAAATTAGAATATCATCAAAAGGTTGAAAATATTTCAGTAATTCCATTCAAAACGTGAAACTTGTACATTATATTCATGCAATGCACACAGACCAATGTATTTCCAATGTTCATTACATTTAAATTTGATATTCATAAGTGACAACTAATGAAAACTCCAAATTTGGTATCTCAAAAAATTAGAATATTCTGAAAAGGCTGAATATAGAAGACACCTGCTGCCACTCTAATCAGCTGATTTACTCAAAACACCTGCAAAGGCCTTTAAAAGGTCCCTCAGTCTTGTTTTGAAGGCACCACAATCATGGGGAAGACTTCTGACTTAACAGCTGTCCAAAAGACAATCATTGACACCTTGCACAAGGAGGGCAAGACACAAAAGGTGATTGCTAAAGAAGCTGGCTGTTCGCAGAGCTCTGTTTCCAAGCACATTAACAGACAGGCGAAGGGACGGAAAAAATGTGGTAGAAAAAAGTGTACAAGCTCTAGGGATAACCGCACCCTGCAGAGAATTGTGACGACAAACCCATTCAAAAATGTGGGGGAGATCCACAAAGAGTGGACTGCAGCTGGAGTCAGCGCTTCAAGAACCACCACGAGGAGACTCATGAAAGACATGGGATTCAGGTGTCGCATTCCGTGTGTCAAGCCACTCTTGAACAAGAAACAGCGCAAGAAGCGTCTCGCCTGGGCCAAGGACAAAAAGGACTGGACTGATGCTGAGTGGTCCAAAGTTATGTTTTCTGATGAAAGCAAGTTCTGCATTTCCTTTGGAAATCAAGGACCCAGAGTCTGGAGGAAGAGCGGAGAAGCACAGAATCCACGTTGCATGAGGTCCAGTGTAAAGTTTCCACCGTCAGTGATGGTGTGGGGTGCCATGTCATCTGCCGGTGTTGGCCCACTCTGTTTCCTGAGGTCCAGGGTCAATGCAGCCGTCTACCAGGAAGTTTTAGAGCACTTCATGCTTCCTGCTGCTGACCAACTTTATGGGGATGCAGACTTCACCTTTCAACAGGACTTGGCACCTGCACACAGTGCCAAAACCACCAGCACCTGGTTCAAGGACCATGGTATCCCTGTCCTTGATTGGCCAGCAAACTCGCCTGACCTTAACCCCATAGAAAATCTATGGGGTATTGTGAAGCGGAGGATGCAATACGCTAGACCCAACAATGCAGAGGAGCTGAAGACGACTATCAGAGCAACCTGGGCTCTCATAACACCTGAGCAGTGCCACAGACTGATCGAGTCCATGCCACGCCGCATTACTGCAGTTATTGAGGCAAAAGGAGCCCCGACTAAGTATTGAGTGCTATACATGCACATTCTTTTCATGTTCATTCTTTTCAGTTGGCCAACATTAGAGAAACAAACATTTTTTCATTGGCCTTTAGAATATTCTAATTTTCTGAGATACCAGATTTGATGTTTTCATTGGTTGTCACCTATAAATATCAAAATTAAACGTAATAAACATCGGAAATACATTGGTCTGTGTGCATTGCATGAATATAATGTACAAGTTTCACGTTTTGAATGGAATTACTGAAATATTTTCAACCTTTTGATGATATTCTAATTTACTGGCCAGCACCTGTATCCTTAGGCCAGGTGTATGTTTACTTAGGCCATGTGTATGTTTACTTAGGCCAGGTGTACGTTTACTTTGGCCAGGTGTACATATCCTTATGACAGGTGTATGTTTACTTAGGCCAGGTGTACGTTTACTTTGGCCAGGTGTACGTTTACTTAGGCCAGGTGTACGTTTACTTAGGCCAGGTCTACGTTTACTTAGGCCAGGTGTACATATCCTTAGGCCAGGTGTACGTATCCTTAGGCCAGGTGTACGTATCCTTAGGCCAGGTGTATGTTTACTTAGGCCAGGTGTACGTTTACTTTGGCCAGGTGTACGTTTACTTAGGCCAGGTGTACGTTTACTTTGACCAGGTGTACGTTTACTTTGGCCAGGTGTACGTTTACTTTGGCCAGGTGTACGTTTACTTTGGCCAGGTGTACGTATCCTTAGACCAGGGGTACGTTTACTTAGGCCAGGTGTACGTTTACTTAGGCCAGGTGTACGTTTACTTAGGCCAGGTGTACGTTTACGTTGGCCAGGTGTACGTTTACGTTGGCCAGGTGTACGTATCCTTATGACAGGTGTACGCATCCTTAGGCCAGGTGTACGTATCCTTAGGCCAGGTGTATGTATCCTTAGGCCAGGTGTATGTTTACTTTGGCCAGGTGTATGTTTACTTTGGCCAGGTGTACGTTTACTTTGGCCAGGTGTACGTTTACTTTGGCCAGGTGTACGTTTACTTTGGCCAGGTGTACGTTTACTTTGGCCAGGTGTACGTATCCTTATGACAGGTGTACGTATCCTTAGGCCAGGTGTACGTTTACTTAGGCCAGGTGTACGTATCCTTAGGCCAGGTGTACGTTTACGTTGGCCAGGTGTACGTTTACGTTGGCCAGGTGTACGTATCCGTAGGCCAGGTGTACGTTTACGTTGGCCAGGTGTACGTTTACGTTGGCCAGGTGTACGTTTACGTTGGCCAGGTGTACGTTTACTTAGGCCAGGTGTACGTATCCTTAGGCCAGGTGTACGTATCCTTAGGCCAGGTGTACGTATCCTTAGGCCAGGTGTACGTATCCTTAGGCCAGGTGTACGTATCCTTAGGCCAGGTGTATGTATCCTTAGGCCAGGTGTACGTTTACTTAGGCCAGGTGTACGTTTACTTAGGCCAGGTGTACGTTTACTTAGGCCAGGTGTACGTTTACTTTGGCCAGGTGTACGTATCCTTAGGCCAGGTGTATATTTACTTTGGCCAGGTCTACGTATCCTTAGGCCAGGTGTATGTATCCTTAGGCCAGGTGTACGTTTACTTAGGCCAGGTGTACGTTTACTTAGGCCAGGTGTACGTTTACTTTGGCCAGGTGTACGTATCCTTAGGCCAGGTGTATGTTTACTTAGGCCAGGTGTATGTTTACTTAGGCCAGGTGTATGTTTACTTAGGCCAGCTGTATGTTTACTTTGGACAGGTGTATGTTTACTTAGGCCAGGTGTATGTTTACTTAGGCCAGGTGTATGTTTACTTAGGCCAGGTGTATGTTTACTTAGGCCAGGTGTATGTTTACTTAGGCCAGGTGTATGTTTACTTAGGCCAGGTGTATGTTTACTTTGGACAGGTGTATGTTTACTTAGGCCAGGTGTATGTTTACTTAGGCCAGGTGTACAGCAACACGACTCAAAACGGAAACAAACAGGCAGCTGACAACGGTTCCTTTCACTGTATTTTCTCTGTAAATGTTTTTTTATATTTGGAGATTTTAAACTAACCCGGGTGTTACCCTCTCGTTTCTGCAGGTCGGATCCCAGACAGCCTGAAGAACTGTGTTAATAAGGAGTATCTGATGGCAGCCTCACAGTGGCCCAGCATGGAGGCAGCTACTGTACACCCAGAGCTCAACGGCGCTGCCTACAGGTGAGGAGGGGGGCTAGGTCATGCCAGGCTTTGTTGTAAGGGTGAACAGAACTGATGTGGGCTCTCTTCCTTCTGTTTCAGGTTTCCTCCAGGTCTCATCAACGTGGCAGCAGCAGGGGGGCTCCCAGGAGCAGGTGCAGGCGTGGAGAGCCTGGTTTCAGGAACCCTGGCACATGGCATCGCCCCTGTCTCCCACCCCCCCCATGCCCCATCTCCGGGGCAGCCCACTAAGGCTGAGGCCGACAGAGACATCCCCTCCGACCAATAGCCCTTCTCTGCCGGCACCGGCACATTCCGTCATCTCTGGAAACCAAACCCCCACCTCCCAGGATCAGACACAACCCGAGCCTCCGGAGCACCAGTGTGACTCGTTATGGATCTCCAATCTTCTCTGATCACACAACCAGCCCAGGAGTGACCTATAAACAGCTTGCCCCATCCCACCCACCATCCCTCCATCCTCATCTCACCCCCCTCCCCCCTGCTCTCCCCCCACTACGTCAGCAATAACTGTTCTCAAGGATTCAGTGATCGGATTGGCTTCGTTCCTTAGTTGGCTGTCGTTTTAATGGAAAATGATCTTTTGTGGTTCTAGGTGTTTCTCTTTGTTTTGTTTTTTAATAGCTTTTCTGACATGAGGCTTCAGTCTGCTGCCTCCAGCAGTCCTCCGCTGGTCTTCACCATCGGCGACACCGAGACAGAACAGTTGAAGCTCCACTTTGTACATTAATGGCTCGTGTTACTGCTCTCTTCTTTTTGTTTTTTCCATCCCCTCCCCCTCTGATCGTCTTTTGATCTGGGACGATACGTACTGAAGTGAACCTGACAGACTCGGCCCACCATCCTTCACTGTCTCCCTGGCCCTAACGGAAGCTCGCTCAGCAGAGGGATCTGTAGTGCAGTCAGTGTTGAGTTCTCTAACTGTGAAAGTTTATTATCCTCTCAGCTCCTAGTCAGTTTAAGTGTTTTAACTTTATTCAAAGACAGTTTTACTCATTCAGATTCATCCTGTGTGTGTGTGTGTGTGCTATCACATCATGAAACAATGATGGAGAGCATTGCATCACAAAGCACTTTGATGTCCCTTCCGTGCTCAACAGCTAGAAATGGGAATTTTACTTTTGTGCTTTTGGTGCTCAAACACCTGCCAGCAGAGGGCGCTGTCTGCCTGGCTGCTCATATGCAAGGCCTCACATTTAGGAATAATTTACTGCAACCATTCACATAACGGACCAGAGATCAGCCTACTCATCATCTGATTGGACCCCCACCCCCCCTCCACATCCTCTCTCATGCCTCACCCCCCACCCCCACCATGTGTACACAGTCCAGGGCACCAGCTCCTAAAGGTGTGAGGGGACCGTGTGGATGAGAGTCCCTGTAGGAGCAGGCGAACAGCTTGTTTGCATTACCCCTCACTCTGCTCTGCTGTGACAAGCAAGCGTCATCGTTCCAAAGGATTTGCCCCTCGGAGTTTCTCTTAAAGCCCCGGAGTCGGGGAACACCTTTCTAGTACCTCATTAACAGATATTGAATGTACCATGCAGACCCTTGTTATCCTTTTTGTTTTGTACAGATATTCTAGATACCTGTATGATCTCCGTTACTGGAAGGTTAGAGAAACCTAAGGAAAAGTACAACGCCCCACCAACCAATCGGATTGAAAGTAAAACCAACGTGCGTTTCTCCCCAAGATTCAGACTGTAAGAGTTTTTACTGGCTGATGAGAAATGGTTAAAAAACAGGTGGTTTTTATTAAACATTGGTAATAGATGCTGTTATTGTTTTTTTCCTTCCTTCCCTCATTCTTAAGCTGCTCTACCTGTAGTGCATGTGAGGTCAGCGTGTTTTCAGCCCAAGTTGCCATTTTTGTCGTGGTCAGTTCCCAGTGTTGTATAATTTCTTTCCCTTTCAGAGTCTATGAGAGACACGGAGCATGTCTGTCCTGGCTCCTCTGTCATGTGATGAGTATATATTTTTAAAAACTAGAAGAAAAAAAGGAGTAACCCCTTCATAGTTTGGATTATGAGCATATTAGTAATCTTAAATTTTGCTGTTGATGATGATGATGATGATGATGATTCTATTTTCCAGTCCCGCGCTGCACTGTTTGCAAACCTGTTTAGTTTAGTTGTACGACTTTGGTTTAAATGGATGATGCTGTCTGTGTTCTACATGTTGTACTGAAACATTTCAGAGAAAACGAGACGCCTGCCTCCTTTTCTGTTTCGTCTGAACTCTGCTCCTCGTTGATTCGTCTTATCCCGCTCATCCTTTTCCCGGCTGATTTCCTGTGGGCCTTACTTCCTTTCTCCTCGTAACAGTAGCTGTCTTAGAAAGTCGTCACGGAGCCACTCACTGCCTTAACACAGTTGACCAGAGCAGGTGAAGTCAGGAGACGCACCCAGCTGGAGGAGAGGGGGATGAGCTAAAAGCTCCTCACACCCGACAGGCCTGAATTTACTGCAACTACACGTTTCCACATTTAGCCGTTTGTTTTTCTTATTTGATCTCATAAATCTAGTGTGGATTCTTACCTTGCATAGCTGTTTTTTACTGTTACGGTTCTGTTTTTTTGTAATAGATCAAGCCCAGCATCACGTGTGTGTTCTCACAGCTGACATTTCACTCTTGGGTGTGAGACTGCCCCGCCACCGTCAGCCACTCCCGACGGCTCTGAGAGCATCTCTCTCAGCACCGCCCGGGCCTCCCTGTGGTCAGCGGGGAGGAGCGGGGCGTGGTGCAGCGGACGCTGGCGTGGCGTTGACAAAAAAGCTGAAATTTTAAGTGGGAGTCAAGTCACTTTCTCTCTCTCTCTCAGGGTTCAAATGCACACATATCCTCCAGCAGTCGTCCCATGTCTGTCCCTCGTCAGAGGTGTTCCTCACCCCTTCTCCCTCCAAACCCACCTCCTGTTTTCAGAAAGAAACCTCCCGATCCTTCTCTGTGCACAAGTCTGAACTGTTTCTCTCTCCCCGTTTTGCTTTCTTTTGGCACTGACATCTAACCATCTAACAAGGAATGAATGAATGTTTGAAAGTGACTGCGTGTGATGTGAAAATTGGGAAATGTGTTTTTACAACATGTGAACATTTTTTTCCACTCACACTTGTGAATCGATTTTTTTTCTTTTATCAGACTGCAAAAACCAACAAAAAACACCTAAAAATCTGTAACTAGGCTCTTAAGCTTTATTTTTGTTTTGTTTACTTTTTTATTAGAAACAATCATGTTTGTGATGGTAACTTCCAATGGTAAACTCAACACCGTATTTTAATAAAATCCTAAAAATTTAACACTCGCTTTGTTTTTGCTTCCAGCCTGTTTTACTTGTTGGCTATTAGCGGTTAGCATGTTGGAGACTATTAATGGCTGTTGCCAGTATGTGGTTAATGTGGGGACCTGAAGCGGTGTTTACAAAATGTGCCACAAACAAAACAGTTTGGCAGCTCTTTATATGGAGTTACAGAGTGCCAGGATGGCTGTGAAGGCCCACGGGGCAGAATGGGGTGGGGTGGGGGGCACGGGCCCTGTAATCGCTTCCACATGCACAGGGCCAGAAGCTTTCTCCTAAAACGAGACAGATTATTTACATTTCAAGTTTTGTGTCCAGGGATTACTGTGCGCCCTGATGGCACTAACGATTATTCAGAAATGTATAAAGGTTATGCTCTAATTTAGCTCTAACCAGTCAGTGGAGCAGAAGCAGAAACTATAATCAGCCTTTTTTTTTTTTTTAGAGCCTGGCGCCTTCATCACCCACAAAACTACTGTCATCCTTTAAAACAATGTCGTCTGGAGCCACACTCGGCTCTGATGGCTGCGCTCAAGTATCAGATATTGTGCGGGTCCCTCTGCAGCCAATTACAGATGCAAGTCCCCACGTTTTCATCTCTGCAGATGTCTAAAGACTGTTGACCATTTTCCTGTATGAATGAAAGCTAATAAATCTAAATCTGGTACATTTAGCCTCCATCCAGCTGAGGGATCTGGGAGACCACACGACTGCAGGTGGATTCATTTCACCTCGGCTAAATGAGGTCATACTCCTGAACCAAGTCTTCCCATCTTCATTTTGTTTCACTGCCAGAATGTGTGTGGGCACAGCGTGGTATAACTACTCTCACCTATTTTAGCGAGTAAGTGGAAAAAGCTAATCTTTAAATGCCATGTGAGCTCATAACCACACTGCGTCATGTCAAGGCCAGGAGTTCTTGCTCCGGTGGACGTGTGATTGTTTTTCCTTACCGCTCTTGTTGCTTCATCACAAACATCCAGGTCCAAAATTAATTCAAGGGTTGCCCATCTTTTGTGGGTCTAATCCATAATAGACATTTGCAACGTATTCTGCTCTGCATCTCTGCTCTGGTCCAGTTTCTCCACACATGCATGTGTTAGAGGGGGGTCTGCCCGTGTTTATGTACACTTTCTGCTGAGCAAAAAATGCATCTGGCACAAAAAAATGTACTATTTCCACATCGCTCCATGTTTGCCTGATGATAGGAAACTGGGAAAAGGAAGGAATCAGCTACATTTAAAAAAAACAGGGCAGGCGTGTTAGGAAATGTGTGCAATCATCATTTCTAGCGATGAGTGTCAGATCTTGTTGCATCGACAAATAATTTAATAAAAATAGCATGAGCTTATGGAGTTATAACCCTCACTCACCATCCCTCAGAGTCGCAGGGAGCTGGTGCCTTACTTCAGCGGGGGGGGGGGGGGGGGGGGGGGGGGGCACCTTGGACAGGTCACCAGTCCAACACACACACACACACACACACTTGCAGATCAGGTTTTTATGTCTGAACTGGGAGAACTCTGTTTAGAAAGGCTGCAGACAGAATTCAAACCTGCAACCTTTTAGCTGCAGGGCAACAGTGCTACCAACTACACCACCATTGGTTAGATTGGAAAAACAAGCCTCATCAGTTTGAAATAGTTCCACATTCACTTAGTTATTCAGACGTTTGCTCACTAAAACGTGGTCCAAGTGGGAGGAACAGGTGATTAAACCTCCAGGAAAGATCAGTCCAAGAGTTGTTGGATTAATTCTAAACGGAGCCAAATCACAGACTGATGTAACCTTAACAGAGCCCGTTTGTAGGTCACACAGATGAGGATGTTACCCAATCACGTGAGACTGCGTGAGGCCCAGGATGTCGAGCAGTGTTTACAGGATCTGATTCACACACTTCAAACACGCATTGGCTCAGTGTTTATCTGTTTCCCACCCGACATTGGGACATCCACACGTCCCATCAGCTCTCACACCACGCTGCCAGATATTTTATTTTATTTGTTTGTTTAGTTCAGAACGAAGCGACGAATCAGGGGCCTCGCTGGATCTGGGAGCACGCTGTCAAACCAGTAAAGTATGAGCTGTGGTTCCCGTCTGACTTCTGTAGTCAGTAAATTTAGTTAACTGCCCTGTAAAAAAGGGTCCCTGCACTCCATGGTCACGCTTGTGGGTTTCAGTGAAAAACAAGTTAATTTTTCTTTTTGTTTATTCAGTTTCCAAATGCTTCAGTTTAGTGTTTATGTTTTATTATCTACATTTACTCTGAATGTACATACATTTGGCATTAAAAGATGGGATTAAGTTTTAAAACTTTCTATTTTTAGTCATCACAGTTTCCAAAAATCAAACAATAAAGCCATTTTCAGGGTTCAATAGTTACATTTCTGGCACATGTCTTTGTTCCTAAGCCAAAATAGTTAACAATTTCACTATATTCACAGTTTTTTTCTACTTTTACAGAATACGCATGCTCAGGGTGAGAACGTCCACAAGAAAATGATGTTTCAGTCCTAATAGGAGTGTTTGACAGAGCAGAATGTATATGGTAGCTTATGGCATGCCTGCACATACTTGCCCATGTGATGAATTGGTCTCTGGACAGATGAGGTATCCCATTTGGAAGGGATCGTACTACTAACCCAAAAGCGGGGGGATAAATATTTGTCTTGGGTTGTCTCTGAAAGGACTGAATATTATTTCAGCCATTGAATGGCTCAGATGCTTCTTCCCGGTATGTGTTTGCTCCATTGTCATCGTTTTATTTAAAGAGTTACTGAGTCGTTTGGGTGTCAACAAGTTTCATGAAAACAATAAATTAATCAGATGTTTAGTTCTACGTGTGAGGTCTACTTCACCATGGACTGTGTTTATATGGACTTTAGTGTTCTGGATTTGAGGCTTATCCTGGTTTTCATCTTTTGCAGAATATCCTGTTTATATGGAATCCCAAAACGAATCATGGTTGTTCACATCCTTGTGGAAAGGATCTTTGTAGTGTCCAGCTGTGTCTGATTTGTCACCATCTCAGCCGCTGTGACTGCCAGCAAAGGTTGATTGGAAACCAGGACAAGATTTTTCCCAGATTTTACACCAGGAAGCAGATCTGGGCCCCTAAAAACCAGGATTAAACGTTTTAAATCCAGTCTTAATCTGGCTAATTGCAACAATTTTATTGATGTTCCAAACATTATTTCATTGGATGGCATTTTTCGCAATTTATACGTCCATTGTTTGACCTACTTTTGTGAATATGCACTCAGCTGCAGAGTTTAACCCTGCTAGACTCAAACTACAGCTACTCTGTAGATGTGATTAAACCAAAACACAAAGAGTGCATTCTGTTATTAATATTGTTTTAGATTTAGATGCAAGCTGATTGCCACAGACAGATCTGAGAGTTGGTCTGATCTGTTCTTAATTTTGCTCTTCTGGTTTTCTGTTTCTCTGGCAGAGGGCTCCCGAGGCACCGGACATCGTTCAGCTGAGCAGCCCTCTGCCATTAGCTCATGGCTCTTCTCTTCTTACTTCACTTGCTTGGCTTTGAGTAACAGTGACGTGAGTGTGTGATTGAAGGATGCAGATGTAGAAAAAGTCCATTTGTCTTGGAGTTTTGCGTCATTTGAGCAGATCTGCTGCTGTATCAGGTGTCCTAATGATAATCTCTATGTGTGCGTGTGTGTGTGTTCGTGCGTGCGGGTGTGTGCGGTTTTACTGTGCACTGCGTGACCATATGTGTTACAGTAATAAAAACTGGTCACCGGTTCCCGTTTGCAGGGACAGATGTGTGTCCTAATGTCAACCAGGATGAACTGAAAACGTGAGATTTTCATTTACACCATTCCCGTGTACCTGCTTGGCTACATACACATAAGGATGCTGAGCTAGTTGTTCATAATCAGCAGATATATTAGGCCATGGTTAGTTAGCCTGTCCTGGTTAACAAGCTAACTTTGACCTGAGTATTTCCATCTGTAGGTGGTTGTTTAATTTTTATTAACACAATTAATCCAGATGACTAACTATGTAAATAATTATCCTAAACCGGACTGAGGATTGGTGTCCCACAAGGCTGATATCTCAGTGCCCTGTTTTGTAGGCTGTATGAATATCTGGCAAATAAACCCTCAAATTATATTGATGTTTGTGGATGATACCACTTTAAAAAGTGAAAGTGAAAGTTTAAAATATGTCTCCTCATTATAAACAATTATGAGTCTCTGTTCCTTTTTTAAAATGAACTAAAATGAAGAGGGAATCCAATTGGGTCTTTCTGGGACTCCACAGAAAAAGATCTGAAAAGCTTGGTCTTCTGGGAGGGGCTCAGAGTAGAAGAAGAAGAAGAAAATATCATTTCTATAGCGCCTCTCAAGATAAAAATCACGAGGCGCTCCACAAATCAAAAAATGTAAAAATATAAAAAAGCATTTAGAAAATGTTTAAAAATATATTTAAAATGAGCAAAAATAGGCAATTGTGATTAAAAAAATGTTAAGAAAGAGAGAGAGTGAATAGGAAAGAGGGAAATCAGTGGATCCTGAGGAAGGTGGAATAGGTGGGGAGAGCAGAATAAAGAGAGAGAGGTGAAGAAGGTCATACAAAAGCCAGCTTGAACAGGTGAGTCTTCAGCTGCTTTTTAAAGGAGATCACTGAGTCCACTGATCTCAGGCTCAGGGGGAGAGTTCCAGAGTCTGGGGCCACAGCAGCAAATGATCTGTCACCTTTGATCTTTAGCCTGGTGCTGCACAACCAGTAGGCTTTGATCACTGGACCTCAGGGACCTGCTGGGGGTGTAGGGACTAAGAAGATCACCAATGTAAGATGGTGCTTGTCCATGTAAGGCCCTACAGACCAGAACCAGGATCTTGAAATGAACCCTGAAGTTGACTGGCAGCCAGTGAAGTTGGAGGAGAAGTGTGTGTGTGTGGGGTGTCCTGTTCTGTGTGCGTACGAAGCAGTACAAGTGATAATGCTTCTGGAATTCATAATTTTATCGTTCTC